AAACATCCATTAAAATCATTGTAATTGTATACTTATCTATCAAGAGTTTGTTTTGATTAAATACAAAAATTGTATTGTCTGAGTCAAAAGGATGGTATTTTTCCATTATTCAGTTTTTGTCATATAATCAATTTCAATTGAATTAAAATGAATGCTTGTTATTGATGCTCTTTTTAGACTCAAATGTTATAAACTGCGATAATTTTATAATAGTATTTATGTATAAAAATATCAAACTAATATATGTCTAGTTTCTTAATACTATAAATTAAGATCAACTAAATTGATGTTGTAGAAGAAAATTTTCCTCTAAATTTTTATAATATTTTTATTTAAAATAAATTGAGAACTAAATACTGGCTAATTGAGACTCTAAAAAGTAATTTATACTCTAGTCAAATAATTAAAATTGTTCAAATATTTAATTGGCATATTCTAATGATGTATGTAGATATTATAAGTTAGTTAGTTACCTAAAGAAAACATAAAGTAAATAAAAAGTATAAGAATTAGTTTAATTGAGATAATAATTTGTGATAATCCTTGTTCCACTAATCCTTTTAATTTAATCTACTGTTAAATTTTTTGTACTACAATAACAGATGTAAGTACATGAATAACGTAAAAAGTTGTAGAGCTATTTATAATAATATCATTTTTGTATTGTTATACATCATTTTTTATTGGAAAATTGAGTTTAATTGAATCAACAAAAATATTTATTTATTCATTTGAATAAATAATTCATTTACTTTGACAATAGTTTGCTCTATTAATATTTCTTCTTTCTCAAATTTTTATAAGTTGTTCAATAAAATCGACTCTACATAACTATTACTTTTAATCAATTAAACCTGAATATAAAACATTTTTCATGTTTTAAAACAAAGTTAGATTATCTACAATGGAAAAAAAGTAATTAATGGAAAAAATTAACATAAAAAACTTGATATTTAAAATTTACAATGAATAAATGATCTTATTTTATTATATCTAAACTTACTTAATCTGGCAGTATCAAATTAACTTTCATTTTATTCTAGTATTATGATCTTATTCATTTTTAAGATAATGAAGGGTCGAAAATGAGGACAATGTACGTTATTTTGTGGCTTGACCTTAGTCAACAAAGAAAAATCACATTGAATAAATTATATAGTCAACTGTTTACGACCTAAATCTTTTTTTTCATTATTTAAACTTCATAGTTTCATTGAAATATATATTTTACTATTAATCAAACTTGTTGATTATTTTCAATATAATCCATATTTACCTGTAAATACTGATAAGATTTAATCAATGAAACTTGTTACAATAAAAAAAGATAAGAAAGAAAAATTGATTTTAAAACTCTATAAGAGAAGAAGAAAAATAAATTTTTTCACAATCATTATCTAACAGTTAAAAAAATCATAACTTAAGTTGATTTTAATGTAGTGTAAATTTAAAAAAAAAATGATCAGCAAAAGGTTTACTAAAAAAAAGTATACATATATTTATTTCTTATAATTTTATAAAATTATAAGAAATAAATAAAAAAGGATTTATGGTTAAATTTCTGCTGACGCTTGTTCGTTGAAGCAAGTAAACGGTATATAGAAGAGACCGTTTGATACTTCTTGAATACTGCTACGCGTTCAACAACAAGTTAAAGTGAAGAAAAGATTTACTGGGAATCCCTTTTCATGATCAGATGGAGGATTCATGTGTGAATTAAAGAATCTCTCTCGGAATAATTCAAAGGGATTTCAACTAGTACGTAGGTTTACAACAGTGTACTTATAAGGAGTACTTTTATGATAGAGGAGCTGGATTGGATGAGAGTTCAAAAAAAGATATAAAAAGAAAGATGAATGTTAGGTTAATGTCCCGTTAGTAACAAATACGTGCTGAAGTGAACTCTTAAGATACTAAGGTTCATGCCCACGCGTCATTGATGTTCTGTTGAAGCGAAAGTATACTTAGAATATGTCGATATTATTTCTGCTTTTTTTTCTTCTAGAATCAATCATTTTTCGTTTTCTTAACCTAAATAAGGTTTATTAAAATATTCCACATTATATGTAAAGAATCATAATGATTATTTTTTTTTAACGGAAGGAAGCATTTTTTAGGTGCTTCGGAATATCAAACATCAATTTTATATTGTTTTAAAAAAATTTTTACTACTTCTTGTGAAAGATTTATTTTGAAATATTTTCATTCAAAAGAATGATTTCAAAAGAATAAAATAAATGTTATTGATGCAAAGTAGGTTATTGAAATTTAAAAAGTATGGTGATTAAATAAGGTTGATACATTACAGTTAATTTTCTGTTCTGATTGCATAAAAATTAACTCAGCAATTTTTATTTATAGTTGTTATTTTATCTTAGAAAAAAAAAAACAAAAAAAAACTAAAATAAATATTTACTTTCAATCTAGTTAAATAGTTTAAATAAATATTGAAAAAAATTTGACTACTTTCCTATTTGCTATTTCAAGTTTCACCTGAAATTACGTAAATTTATGTTATCAATTTCATATTAAACAGTTAATCTATTTACTTAAATGTTATTCCTCTTTGTAGATTAAATCAAAAAGAGAATATTTATAAAAAAGTATTTTTCACTTTTTTGCAACACTAAAACATTGAATCATCATTGTTTTATGTATCATTGTCAAATGAGATTATTGATCATCAAAGAATAAAAATGACCAATCTAATTCGTGTTCATACTGTCGGTGTTTTTTGCTTATAAACACTTTGAAATTCTTAGAAAGCTGCAATAAAATAACACAACAAAATCATGCCATTCTATATGAAAAATTAATAAAAATTGAGTTATCTGTTTTTGAATGTTTTTAAAAAATTTATTACATTTTTCATGCTCACATTAATAGTCTACTGACAAATAATGTTAAACAGTTTCTTTCATATCTCTTGAAAATGCTTATACTACTCTTCTGATAAAGTTTTTTACAACTCAAAAAGACCATCTAAATTCCAATTAATATCTTTTTTTACAGCCATTTCAATTATAAAATATAATTCCAAGAGTGTAAAACGTATCAGATGAGATGGAATTTAAAAAAAAAAGTGGAATATTGTGACAGTCAGTGGAAATCTGAAACTCATACTGTGGCAAGAAGCCATAAAGCTGCTCATAATGTCGACAGAAAAATGATGTATTATCCGGATTACATATTTCAATCAATAGTTGGTTGTCCAGGTCAAAAAAAAGTACAGAAAGAGGCAAATTAAAAATGTATATAAATCTAGTCGTCTTCTAAAATATTATTTCAGTAGTAGGTTATGTAATTCGTGAAAGAAATAAATGCACGTTCCAGGGGCTCAGTCATCGTCGTGTAATATGATGTAATCATTTGAATGGCTTGGTAGACGCGCATATGATAGTGCATATAGACTTGTAATAATATAAGTAAACCAGTCTACATAATGTCATCGAGATATCGTTAGAGAAATAGAAAAATGATTTACACAACTTCCGCGTTAAATGAATTATCAAGATATATTTAAATGAAACTTTATTTATTATAATGATAAATTAATTATTTGAAATGAACAAATTCTGGCTAAAAAAATATTTTCTTATATTTCTAGTACCTAATCAAACCGCTTAGTGATAGCGGTTTTAATTGATAAGGGATTGTAATTAAAATTATGAGATAAGGTTATATTTATTCGCATTCTTTTTCACCTTTATAACTACATAGATCAGGTTAAATATGTGCGCGCCAAACTGATACCGCGGTGCGCAAACATGCGTCCATGTTGAGGTAATTTAATTTTTTCCACAATTTTTTTGTCTTCATTACAATGATTTTTAAAAAGTCTCTCCAAAAAGCAGAAAAATAACTATGCATGTACATTAGTAGCTTATTTTTTTTTCTCATTTTTTTTACCTTCTGTAAAGAATAATGTTGACAATTTGCCAGCTGGACTTGTCGAGAGTGAGGTTAAGGTATTCCTTTCAATTGCTTGAGATAAAAAATTAAAAAAATTACAACATACCTCGTTGAAGGCCATCTTCTTCGCTATGCTTCCGGGCGGTTCTCGGGTGGTGCTTCCGGCACCTCCTTGTCCCACTTTAAATCTTGGATGTAGCAGTTGGTGTTAATGATGTTATTGTTATTGTTGTTGTTGATGATAATATTGGATATTTGGCTATTAATGATTCCACAATCGTTGTTGACGTCGTTGTTTTCGTTGTCGCCACCACTGTTGGCGACGTCAACGTTCCTGCTACTTCCTGATGACCTCGCGCTTTCGTGGTCGTCCTCCACCCTCACGCCGAATAGAACGGCGCATCGAGGATGAGACGATGATAAAATGCACTCGCGGCAACTCAACCAGCACGAAACGACTGGCAACGGACCTGCTACTACGGCTTTTGTCGACTCCTGGCAGCCCTCCGCGACACACATACGTCACGAGAACAAGCCGGAGAGCACCTCGACCCCCCGACAGGTCAACACTACCTTTACAATTGTTCTTATTTATTTTATTATTTATATATATATGTACCGTACTCTATAATACTTTTGTATTTTTTTTTATATCACTTATCACAATCTCATTGTTCTTGATGTATTTGCGAGTTATTTTACAAAAGACTTACATTCCTCAGGTGGGAATTCTGATGTCTACCTGATCGTTAACTACTTACGTTGTTGGCATTTAATTGTGCGATTAATTCATTAATACCGTACTTTTAGGTTATGTAAACTCACAGATCACATTAAAACCGTATAATAAGTTGATTTGCTTGTTTCTTAATCTTCTAAACATTAAATTATTATTATTTTTTACGTATTTATAGCCGCTGAAGATGTAACCACAAACAGTACAGCGCCATCTTGGTTTACTGCTACAATGCATGCACACACAGATGTACGGAACTATAGTTGCGTGCGCATTTGATTTGTTTGCGTATTGCATTTGACGTGCGTCGACATCTATTAATAAGATATTTAACTAACTAGTGCAACTTTGTCAACATAACCTCTTGTTTATTGACGCTATTCAACTAGTGCAATAGATTCATAAAAAATAATAGTGAAATACCTGTATTAATATGATATAAATAATTAGTGATGATTTATACTAATTAGTCGATAAATTCAATTTTTTTTACAATAATGGATAACGTAGAACTTTTATTTTTTGATACCTTTTCTCATGATATCTCTGAGGTAACAATAACAATTTTTCAATTATTTTTATTAAATTAAAAAACAAAAAAAAACAAGTTATTTTTATTTTCATAAAATTTTAGGAGCTTAATTTAGATCTTGTACAATTTCCAAAACCGGTATATATTAGTGAAGTAAGAATTATTCCTCTTGGAGCACGAGTTCAAGCAGACTTTCCCGGTGGTGTACGTTTGGGGTAAAGTATAATTTTCGTATTTTTAAATTTTTAACTTGATTTGATTGTTTCAATGAATTAAATAATTTTTTTTGTACGTTTATTTTAGAGCTACAAATCCATCACAATTTGAAATTGAATTCTTTGTCAACGATCTAAGTAAACCTGGAGCATCAACATTTGAATCTCTAGGTGGATTGGAGTACAAACAAAACGTTAATATTCAATTAGAATGTGATAGAAAACAAATACCCACAGATGGTTTAGTATTAAGAGGGTGGTACACTACGATTACTTTAGCAGTGTACGGTAGTTTAACGAAGTCATTGAGTAATCCTCCAGAATCCACTCCTCCGGCTTCAGTAGCTACAGTTCCAATTCCAGCTTCTGAACCAGAGCCACCACCAAGTATACCTCAAAATGCTGAGACACAACAACCCGATTGGTTTTATGAAAATCAATCTCAAGCTCATACTGCCCCGCAACCGGAGCCAAGGCCCGCGCCTACACCATCTCCAACAATTCAGCCTGTTCCGCCTGTTGAAACAGCATCAAAACCTGTGCCAAATGAACCAGTCAAACCTGAGCAACCATGGACTGAAGAAATTCCCGAAGAACAAAATCAAAAGAAAAGACCATCATCACCACCCTCTGAGTCTTTGGTATCATTGAGTCCTGAATCAATATCTGCTGAAGAAGAGGAAGGTGAAAGAGAGCTTGAAGAAATAACTACTGAAGCTGTCGAACCATTTGAACCTATTCTTTCTGATGAAGAATTAATGAATGATGATTTACCAGCACCACCTGTGGAGTTTGAATTTGATATTCCGGAAGACATTTACACTATTGAGCCTCCTGATTTTTTGGACATTCAAAAATTCTCTCTAAAAGCAGAAAAAGAACAAAACAATCAAGAAAATACGGAGAAAACACGAGAAATTCTTCAAACTCTCGTGAAATCGGTTAATAATTTTCATAGCGTTACTGGACAAGAGAAAGAGACATTTGTTCATAATTGTGAAACTCTTTGTACTCTTTTGGGCTCATTTTTTCAAGCTGACAATAATGATCTTCAAGATATAGCTGAGATTGTTAAAGCAGGATTAGATATGGATTTAGCTCGAGCCCAACCGCAACCTACTTACAAAGTAAGACATATCAAAATTGGAGTGCGATTGGCTGAAGTGACATGTGGTTTAGAGAAAGGTGATGAAGTTATTTTAAAAGTAGAAGCTCCAAAAAAACTTTTAACACTCTGTACTCGTGAAAATGTAGCTCTTCCCGTAAAACTTGCAGCTATACGAGCTTTAGATGCTGCATTAATCAGTCCAAAAATTGTTGAAAATTATTTATATACTGAAAATTTATATAAATTTACTTTAAAGATGTTAGATGAAGCAAAGCTTGCTCGACTTAAATATGCTTTAACTTCTTTAATAAGGAAAATTCATATTTATGAATTGTTAGAAAAAAATTATTCATATAGATTACATGAGTGGCCTATAAGAGAATTAACTCAAGCATATGTTTGTGCTCCAACTTTAATGGCTCAGCCAAAAAGACAGTTACCGGCTAGTAGACAAATGGAATTTGATAGAGAGCGAAATAGGAATCCTCAAAAACATTTAGTGGCTTATTTTGAACATCACGATTTAATTTGTAAACTATTACTTATTTTAGTATCTTCAGACTCACCAGAAGGTGTGATTCGTCATGTCAGAATATTTTTTAAGCATTTAACAAACACTAGCCATGGTCTTTTATATTTATTAAAAGAACCTGAAAAAACAAAACTTTTATTAAAAGCTTTAAGATATCAAAAAGTAGGTTTAGGATCTGAAATTGCATGGAGGCTTCAAGTAGTTTATTGTCTCCTACAAATTAAATATCAAAGCGCATCATCAAAAGTGGATTGGTTATTAGTAAAAAAATTACATTCATTCTTAGTGTATCCAGATGGTTTAAGAGCTGTAGTTACAGTTTTATCAATGGATTCATTTTTAGATATTTTAATTCCTTTATTATCTGATCGAGATTTATCTGAATTTGTTGCAGAAATAATATCTACCATGATTCGTTTTAATTCAGACAATGTAAAAGTTCTTCAGGGCCGAGCTGGATCGTTGTTGGAAGAAGCGCGAAGCCAAGGATTATTAAAGGACGTGGTGCCTTACTTGAATATTGCAGCATCGTCGGCAAATTGGAATTATGGAGATGTATCTAATTTAGTTGGAACAATTAAAAAATATGCAGAAAAAGCTCCATCACTACCTGGAGAACTTATTACAGCTTGTAGAATATTACACTATCTCATTTTCCCAGCTCATGGTGACACAGATCCATTGGAAGCTTATACGGAATTAAAACATGTAAATGCATTGACCCAATTGTTTGCTGCTGATGGTTTAACAGCTTTAATATCAGTGATGACTCATTTAACAACATTTTATGAACAGCCTTATGTTCATAAAGCATCATATACTGGCCGACGAGGATTATTATTAATGTCTATACTTGTTCCTTGTGTAAAACTTACTAGAGCTCTCCTCGATCGTCTTGTTAGATGTATGGCTACGGGATTCAAGGATTTAACTCCTGTTGTTCCTCTTTTGGGAGTTTATGCTCTAGTAGATGCAATGTCTCCCACTGCTCAAACAAGATTCCTTGCTGATGAGATTGCAGAAACTCTGCTGTTATTTACTAACACAGTAGACTCCGATGGTGCGGGAAATGTTGCTAAATCTCTGTGGACACAAATGCTCGGAGAAGTTTTGAAAATGATATCTGCAAGCCCATGTAACTTTGTTCCTGGTTTAAAATTACTAGCTCGACTGCTTCCACCTATTCTATATATTGAAGAAAATTTAGTATGCGATACTAGAGAACTCATGTTAAGGAAATTATGGTCAGCTCATCTTCAAGCTCAAGCAAGTAATCTCACCGAAACATTAAAGCTTCTTTGTGCTAGCTGGAATGAAACTGTATTAACATTATTAGCAAATGTTTGTAAACAGCTAAGTGATCTAGCAGCTCCAACAGCATTAATTGTCGGACGGTGTTTCTTGGATAGAATGTTAGCATCCGCACCGTTAGAAAATCATGGGCCTACACTGGCACTTCTTGGTGATGTAGCTACTCATCCACCTTTTAAAGCTACATTATTAACTTTACTGAATCCGACTTCTCGAGCACAAGTGAAATCAGATCAAAAATATCTTCCAGTTATTGACATGATGTGTTCAGCTCTGAAAAATACTACCAACGCAGAAGTTCAAGCAGAAATACTAGAAATTTTTGGGACCCTTTGTGATCATACGTTGACTATAATGGATGAAGAAAAAATTGATTCATTGGAAATATGTCTAACTCATTCAATTCCTAGTAAAGAACCTCTTCTTTCGATTATCTCTGCGTTTATTGACATTCTTGCTAACGCTAACAAACATGCCATGAATACTTCAAAAAGTGCATTGCGTGTTCTTTTATCACTTACTGAACACAATTATGGACTATATCATGTAAAAAGTTGTTTAGAAAATAATCTCGGTGCTCTCAAGTCTTTCTTAACATACGTAGCAACTTTAGAAATAAAAGAAGAAGAAAAAGATAAAGAGAAAACAAAAATAAGTGAGATAGAGCGTCTTATAGTAACATTTTTAGAAAATTTAATAGCATGTTCTGAGCTATATAGACGATCTTTATCGTTGAGACTGCCACAATTGGCAACTTTAATTATGTGGGATAAAAATGAACATCCTCTTCAGAAAATTCCTGGAGCTCAAGAGCTAGTCAATGAATTGAAAGCAACAATTGAAGGAAAAGAAGAAAAAGAACCTATCCCGGAGATGCTTGAACCACTTTTACCAACTCCTGATGCATTATTAAATCAATTTGCTCAAAGGTCAATGAAAAGATCTTCAACAGCCGATTTTCGAGCACGAAAACGACATTATAATCGCTTTGGAGCTGTAGAAAGTATAGCTGTAGACATCATGGCTTTAGTTACTGAACTTTTACCATCTGATTTTAATTTACTATCAGCAACGCAATTACTTTGTTCTAAAAAACCAGTTGACGACAGTATAGAAATCATACAAACAAAAGAAGAAAGTTCAAGAGAACCACGAGATACTCAAAAATCTTCAACTGTTTCGATTACAAAAACGAAAATGCCTTTCGTTACTCCAATGAGAGGAAGAGCTCAGTTTGTTAATACCAGAGGAGGTTTAGCTACAAGTGGTGCTGGACGAGGAGCTGATCCATTCAGATCGCGACCTCCAAATACTTCACGACCACCTTCTTTACATGTTGATGACTTCGTTGCGCTAGAAACTTGTGGAGCTCAACCAACTGGTCCAACTGGATATAATAAATTAAGTGTTCGAGGAACAGGTCCTCCTCGAGGTGTTATCACTGGTCCTAGATGTCGACCTTGGGTATCTGAACCTCGTCCACCTTATATGCGATAATTTTTTGATTATTTTATAATAATTTTATTGATAAAAAAAACTTTGTACATATTGATAAAATTGTTTCATCTATTGACGTGCAGTTTTTACATCACGATCATTTATTTCTTGAATTATTGCATATTTCCTATTAAATTTGGCAAGTTGTGCTTGATAACGTGGATTCTTTGAGTGTTTCGATGGTATCTAAAATATTTGAATTAATTTTAATTAATTTATTATTAGCAATTATTAATCATACTATTAACTCTTTTTATGATAAACATTAAGATATATACTAAATGTTACTTTTGAATATTTATTCTATTCAATTTAGGATAGTTTTGTTAATAAATGGATTTTACATGCTCGTACTTACTCTTTCCGTTACAATGTCGGTAATTTTGTGTTGAAATTTATCTAAAATTTCGTATAGCTCTTTTGACGGTCTGATTTTATATCTCACTATTTTGTCCATCATTTCATGAATGTAATCAAAGTCATTAGTACAACTAGCATTGCCAATTAATGCACCAATTATAACGGAGTTTACTAAATGACCAGTTGTTCTCATATTTTGTATCAAAGCACGAGCATCTTCTAAGGTAGAACATGTCAAAGCAAGTACTCCCCAAGTCATAATATTTGGTGTCAAACGATGATGTTGAATATCATCTAATACAGACTGTAAAAAATCAAATTATTACAAAATCTATTCATCTACAAATTCAATAAAAAATTTGATATACCTTAGCATTTTTGTAATCTTTACGAAGACATCTTTTCTTAATCAACATATTAAAAAAATCGATATCAAGATTTATTTGAAGTTTTCTTGCATGTTGTATTATTTCTTTTTCAATTGTCAATGAATTTGGTGAAATTTCCATTAAAAGAGTAAGAGAACTTACATCAGGAGTAATACCACTTTTCATCATACGATTTAAAAATCCTTTGTATCCACCAAAAAAGGCCAATCGGTTTTTACTGTAAATTGGTTGTAAAGCTAATGATTTAGGCTCTTCTGGTAATTTTTTTTCAATTAACTCGGTGGGTGATGTTGAAATCAAGATTGGAGCATTTTCATTTTTACCACTGTCAATCGATAGAATATCGTTTTTATGTTCTTCACTTTTTATAGATTGTAACGACTCGATCAAAAGTGAAGAAACTACAGGAGGATAAGCCAATAGATCAGTTTCTTTACCGTTATTGATAATAATTCGGGATTGTTCATCTTTTTCATTTAATAAATCATTTAATTTTAAATCTCCTAATTGAGTTTGTCTTATTGCCCTCAATATCAACTTGTATGTGTTTAAAGTTGGCTTTATTCTCCAAGCTTGCATTTTGTGCCAAACAACTAAAACATGCCTTAAACCATTTTTTTCATCTGAATTAGCAGCATACATAAGAGAAGAAAACGTCGATTCTTTCAATGTCATTTTTTTATCAATCATAACATCAGCAAATTCAAAAGCTTCTAAAATACGTTTGTGTACACCGTATGCTTTTATCATTGCATTGTAATGAGTTTCATTAAGAAGAATATCTTTCTCTAGAAATTCTTGCCTCAAACTCGCTAAAATTTCTATAGCTGCTTCACGATAACGTGAATTTGCACAGGCATTGATCATATTCGTGTAAGTTGCTGCATTTGGTTTTAGATAATCCCTTTTTTTTATTATGGTATAAAGTTTATGAGTTGTACTTAAATCTCCTTGCCTTGCAAATGCTCTCATAAGAAGATTAAACAAATAAGTGGTTGGTTTATCACGATTGCGTTTTATTAAATCAAGAACTTCCATTGCTGCATCCAAATTTCCTTCTGTTATGTGCTTTTTGACCAAACGTTCATATTGACCTTTACTCAATTTAAATCTTCGTGGAATACGAACTTCATTTTTTTCAAACTCTTCAACTTTTTTCTCATCATCATCTAGTTCTTCTCGTTGATATCGCTCTCCAGAGAGATTTCCAAATACATCAGGATCAACTGGTTCAACTAGTTGTTCCGATGAAAATGGTCGTATTACATGATTTATATAATTACTCACGCAACTTTTAAGATTTAAAGAATTATAATTGATTGTTTGTGGTCTATGAATTAATGTACATGTAGAAAAACTAAAATTTGCATGTTTTTGAAGGTTACCAATTTTTTTCACTCGATTATTATACCGGATTATCAAAAATCTTATTGACAACATTGTAGCAATGTTTAAATTTATTGTCAGTTGTTAAATAAATTGAAAAAAATTATACTACTTACGGTTAATTCTTTAATTTATTAATTGTTATTAACACAAACTATTATTCACATTATATATTGTTTGTCTTGGCATGTTTTTTCAGAGGTTATCGCAACATACATGAAATTCATGCTTATTCAGGATCACAACACGATTTGAGCACGAAATATGATCATATCATTGGAGAAAACATGTGAAAATTTTCAATATTCGTGAATTAATACTAACAAAAGCGGGAATTTCAAAAATGGATGCTTTGAATTGTCAATTAAATTTATTGTTCATGGACTAATCGTTGACGTCTTTTTGTAAGTACAAAACGACATCAGTACTACAGGTTATGTTATTTTATAATTATTTTTGTAATTTTGACTCAGGGAATTTTTTTTATAAATTATACAAATCATGAATCCAGAAAGACCATGCAGAACATGTACAGACTTTAAAACCTGGGCAAAACTCCAAAAAAAAACCTATGATTCAGAAAAGGTGATGATTTATTTATCTTAAGTATTTATATAGATTAATTGATCAAGAGTTATTACATTATTATATCTATTGTTTTAAAACATAGATTGCACAGAAATATGATGAAGATGGAACTGCGATAGCTAGTAATAGAAAACGTTTGGATTGTCCGTTAGATAAAGATGAATTAGGATCAGCAACTTGGTCATTCCTTCATACAATGGCAGCTTATTATCCTGATAAACCAACAAGCCAAGAAAGCATTGATATGAAAACATTTTTCAATGTATTTTCTAAATTTTATCCTTGTGCTCCTTGTGCAGAAGATTTGAGACAACAATTGAAGAAAACTCCACCTCAAACTGAATCGCAAAAGGAATTGAGCCAATGGCTGTGTAAAATACACAATGAAGTAAACAAAAAACTTGGAAAAAAACTGTTTGATTGTAAATTGGTAGATCAAAGATGGAAAGATGGATGGTTAGATGGTTCCTGTGATTAATATAAATTAGTGAGCATTAAAAATTTCATTTTTTAATTAAAAAACATAAAAATTATTAAATATTGCACAAGTGAATAGTATTGTATATACAGCTATTGCTAAAAACATTTGAAAAATTGTAAATAGCAGAACTACTTGAACATGATTTGTTAGTTAGAAATATGAATAAATATATCATATAACATGAGCAACAAACAAGAGTTAAAATCTAATTAAGGCACTTTGATTAATTTCTAATCATGTTTGTACATTATTTACACTAGTCTTTTTCAACATAATATTTCTTTTCAGCATATTCATCCTGGTACTGCTGTTTGCTGATTTCTGAAATGTATTGTAAATACTGAAGCAGTATTAGTTCGACGAGGTTCATAATAATGATCTTGCCCTATAGCAATGGGAACCACTTGACATGTTCGAATGTGAAATGGAAAACGTTCGTTGGAAGATGCTGGTCGTGTAACGTAGAGAAATAAAGCGTGACCAACAAAAACAATCCATAAGGAGCATCCTTTTACCACGCTTTCTCGTATCCATTTGTCTACAGCAAACGTTATTGCTAGGACCTACAATTGATAGTATACATAATAAAATCAATAAAACAATAATCAGTTTAAAAACAGTGATTAATTTATGCCAATAAATATCTACCGTCAAAGGATGACAAAGGAACCATGCTGATCCTAATGTTAATAATGATGCATAAAAATGAAACTTTGTTGTAGATTTTTTACTGGTTCTAAAGCAACAAGAACAAAAAACACTCCAAGCAATAATTTTAGTAAGTATCAAAAGATATCCAGGTGGTGATTCATAAATATAAAGTACTAGTCCCGGATCGAAAACTTCTGCTTGATAAATAAATAGAGAAACTTGCATGAAAATACTCATCGTAATGAACCAAAAAACACACCACATCTGTCTATGTGAGAGAACACTTTTTGTAACTGTATATCCTAGTGCTAGAAGAAGCATTAGAAGAGTATATAGATTTTCTCCAAAAACTTCAAAAAGATTTCCAAGTAAAGTAATGGATGGTGCATTGTATCCTGTTAAGCCTCGTTGTATTAAGCTGTACATCTCGGAACAGATGCCAGTTAGTTGACAGATCATGGATCCCATAAAGATCTTGTATGTTACATGGAGTAATCTTCTTGATCGTAATTGAAGTGCTACATATATACTGATGCTTAACAGTATTATATATGCAATTACTGCAAATATTGATATTGGTAATAGTCCTGAAATAATTATTATTTCTTTGTATCATAAAGAGAGAAATTTTTTAACTGCAATTTGACAATATTTTGTTTTGTTGCATAATTACCAAATTCATCAGCCGAAAAATGTTCTCGCCAAAAACTACCTGGTGAACCATTAGTTAAACTTATATAATAAGTGATGTTTAGACCAATTTGCGACGAACAATCAGCTAAAGCGATAAACCACCAACGTGGCTTTGCAGATTGAAACATTCTGTGACTAGAGCAGTGAAGTTTAGTCCAAGGATTATCAATAAACGTGCATCCTGATACTTTCGTCCAATCACTACTTGCTCGTAAAGGGACAATTTGACCATGTTCGGGACTGAGTACAGATATTTTTTCCTCGCATGTCTTATTTGATGGATAAACACTAGGCCACTGTTTTGGACTATCATAATAGAGCAACAAGTTTACTTTTGGATTAACGTCTGGAGGACTACTTATCACAAAATCAAATTGAAATTTTCCATTTTGAGTTAGAAAACAAAATCTAGTAAGAAAAGCCCAGTTCTATCAGAAAATAAAACGTTAATTACTTCATTGCATAATGAAATGTGTGCTAATAACTGCAGATAGTGAAAATCAATAAATTCTAAGTGATTATATTAAATAAACATATTTTATTTACTTCAGAAGTAACAAGTTGTCCATGAAGATATTTAGATTCCACATGAATAAACATGACAAGTATAAAAAAGTATAATTGATAAGCATTTTTCATTTTGTAGTAATTATTGGAGTAAATTGGAACAATACCACAAGCAGGTGGCGGCAGGGTAACTTACTTTACTTCTGATTGTGACAGTTTTAGCCGCACTACCCCTGTTGCTGACCTGCGGTATAGTAATATAGAATATGTAGAGTAGAATAGACTTTGATTAATATGTTTGTATACATACACATACATTTTATTTAACGACCCGCAGTTAGTCTGACTGTCTTTATACTGTATTTACGATCGATACTCTATATTTTTAATAATTTTTATTGGTATAATTTGAAAGAAGGAATTATTTTTTCAATGAAAAACTAATTTTAACATTAATGGAGTGCTATTGCAATTTTTAATTTATTACTCCAAAAATGCGTTTGATGTTGTTAAATTTATAAAGGAAAATCATATGTTTTTTTTTATTTTGTCATTTTGTAATACCATCAAAAAAATCCAAATTTTATTGATTTTTTTAAGATTATTCACTGATTACTTCAAAATCAATTACATAATCCAATTTTTAATTGACGATATCTTGTTTATAGAAAAATTTTTTTCTTAAAAATTAAGATTTGATTCGAAGTGTAATATAAAAGTTTGTGTAAGTTTTATTTTTATTTAAAAGCAAAGTTTGAAGTTTAGTAAATTTTGAAGTTTAAATTGCAACACTGAAAGTCACAATTTACCGCGCTTTTCTTTTACTTTAGATGGCACGTCAGTAGTATGCCGTTTAGAATTCCTTAAGATAGAGCCTGGCATGACGTCGCCATATTGCTCGATTTCTGCCTAAAATCCCCTAAGAACTTGAGGGACTGTAGTCTTGCCGAACTCTATCTTGCCAGACTCAATCTTAAGGGACTTTCATGCTGTCATCATCAAGCGAAGTGTTTGCGTTCACTGCTGCCACGAAACACATTTCGATGCATTTTGATGCATGTTGACATATTTAATAGAAAATAAATATTGTCGAAATATATTTTTTTTTCTTAAATAACTAAGACAATGGCTTTGCAAACAATTGATGATACATCAGCAATATTTTTAACAATATCTGAGCAATTATTGAATGTAACTAGTTGTAGAACAGTTGACAAAAATTTAATTAACAAATATTTGAATGATTTAAATAATTTAAATTATAAAATTTTCTCTACTTTAGAAAATGATGTAAGGATATATTATAAATTACGGTAACTATTTTTTTAATTATATTTTTTCTACAGGTGTCTACATTATTAATCAACAGACTGTGCTCAAACATTAATTCAACCGAAACAACTTTAGTGAAAAATTATTGTAAATTAATTGTTAACTTGTTTCAAATTCGAATAAATATTTCGGATAGAACATTTTTAACTTGTAAAGAATGGGTTTTAAAATCATTAAAAGCAAATCAAGAGCTTCAGAATATAAATGAGATTTTCTTAGCTTTGAAGCAAATCATCGAAATTGGTCCATTTCATCTTATCAATCAGGTAAAGAAGTGATTTTTTTATTGCAACACTTATAAGTTATTTTTCAATATATAATTTCTCAATTACATAAAATTTACTTCATTAGGATATTTACAACTTATTGAAAGATGATGGATTTTTTAAACTACTTTTCACTCAATCTTCTTACAATCTCACTGAATCAGGTTTTCTCGCAATCAGTTGCATCGAAGCATTCTTAAAAAATAGTGAAAGTAATGAAAAAATTCTGTTACCAGAATATAAAACTATTATTGCTAATATAATAATAAATATCCTTCAATGTGTGTATAAAAATGAACAAAATTATTCATATTACTACCAGGTAAATTTAAATATTGGCTGAAATTTATGAATAAATGAAAGAATAATACAATATCTTTTTATTCTAGGCAGTAAGTACCTGTTTAAAAATATTATCCAATTTGATAGATAGTAAACTACTTATTGAAAATAAAAACATGGCTGGAGATATACTGGGTATTATTCAAGTATTTATTTGTCATGGAATAAAAGGTTACTTAATTGTACAACCAAAACAATTAAGACCTGCAGCAATGGTCATTCCTGAAAGGATCCAAACAGTTCCTCGTCATGCTGTCCATAACTTAAATAAATCAAAATTAAAAAAGCAACAATTAAAAAAGAAAAAGTCTGAAGTAGTCAACAATTCTTCAGATTTGAAAAAATCTAATAAATATTCTAGTGATTCGGATACTTCAGATACAGAATATACTTCTTCTAGCCGTACTGAATCAATGATTCGATTAGCAGCTATCAATTTATTATTAAAAATAATCCAAGAACTACCACCACGCGAAATGTTCGGTTATTGGCCTCAAATAATTGTTAGCACGACTGGAACGAATGCTAGAGTACTTTTGTCATTAACATTAAAAGAACCAATCGCAAAACTACGACAGATATGTCTGAGTACACTGGCTGAAGCTATTCTTGAAGCTCGTACTTTTTTGACATATGCAGAGGATACAGAACATTCCGCCTTCCTTACATTTTTTGGAGCTGTTGGTGCTATGATCAAACAATTACACATGGCTTTATCACATTTGCTAAATACAGAAAAAAATTTTGCTGTAATTACTCATGCTTTGAAATGTATCAATGCTTTAGTTCAAGTAACTCCTTACGCTAGGCTGGCTTCTGGCCTGGCTACTAAAGTTTCGATAAGTTGCAGAGCATTCATAATGCACAAAGGTCAGTAAACAATTCATCAATGTTTCTATTGATGTCAAGTTCTTCTTTTATTGAAACTATCTTTCTTTGGTTCTAATAGATCCTACAGCGAAAGTAGCTGCATTGTCAGTTTTCGAAGCTTTTGCATCTAAAGATAAATTAACATCTGAAATCATATCTATCCTTAGCGAAAAATCAGATAAATTAAGTAAAATTAATATGTGTGATAATACTTTATCACAATTAGAATTAACAATAATGAATAATGAAGAGCAATATGTTGACGAATTTGATTATAGTGATACTATAATCTCTCAAGAAGAAGAAGCAAATAAAGTTCAAGTCGATAATAAAATTGAAGACAATTATTCATCAGAAAACAAAAATTTAGATATTTGTTTCATACTTCATGTGTGTTTAGAAAATATTTTAGATAAGGTAATTTAATTACTAAAAAATATTCATTATAAAATATTCTAGATTGTTTTAAAAATAATTCTATTTTATTAATTAGGCAATGCAAGTTCCTGTTAGACTTCAATCTTTGAAATTACTAAGCGCACTTGTTAACAAAGACATTGATCATTTAGTTTTCAATCATATAGATCTTGTTTCAAGACATCTTGTTGAAACTTTACAAGAAACTGAAACTCAAGTTGCCTTGCATTCTTGTCGAGTTTTGGAGAAAATAAGTTCTAGTCTCAAAGAAAATTGTGCAATTAAAAAAGATGTTTTATTAAATTTCTGGAGCATTATTTTTCAACAAATAATCCTTCTTGTTCAAAGTATACATTTTAATTTACGTGAAGTCGCATGCAACTGTCTTGGAACTATCAATAACCAAATTTATAATCAATTGCCAGTAAGTTACATAATAATTAAAACTGCATAAATAGTTTCTATAGCTATAAAAATGAATTAAAACAAATGAAAATTTATACTAATGGTATGTGTTATGTATTTTAGTATGATCAAAACATTTTAATCATTACAACGCTATTTGGTGCAGTTCGTGATGAAGATAGTGCAGTAAGAGCAGCAGCTTTGAGATCTCTTGGTCTGTTAATTTTACTTCCATCTCTTGAAGATGATACAGGTTTTGTGTTGGATTTAGCAAATCTATCGTGTACTGCATTGGAAGATGAAAATTTTGGAGTCAGAGTAAAAGCAGCGTGGGCTCTAGCTAATGTTTCTGATTGTTTGATAAAGCAATCGTGAGTTATCATGCAGTTTATTTTATTAAACATAAACATGATTGATTGATACAGTCTATGAGTTTAATTGACTTTGTTTTTTTAGAAAAAGTAATGATATAGAATCATTGTCTTTGGACCGATTACTTCCTGATTTATATAAAGTGAGCTTGAAAGCAGCTCAAGATAATAATAAAGTTAAATGTAATGCCTTGCGAGCCATTGGTAATATTTTGTGTTTATGTCAAGATTTAGAAATTTCATGCGATATTTCATCAGGGATTGATATCTTGATAAAATGTGCCATCACAGGAAATGATATGAAGGTAATCTTGGTAATCATAATGAGTTTAATTTATTTTTATTGAAAATAATGATTATTACAGGAATATTATATTTTAACTAGGTTCGATGGAACGCTTGTCGTGCTATTGGATTTGTGATAAGTAAACAACAAATATCAGCAGTTGCTCCTCATTGGCAAGTATGTGAAATTTTCTATTAATATTAAAATGAGTGAATTGTATAACCAAATAATTTATTTTGTTTAAGGATAGGGTATTTCCAGCATTATGTGATCTGGTTTGTCACAGCCCCAATTTTAAAGTTCGTACAAATGCTGCCTGGGCTTTGAAAATGTGCGAATCGTATGACAAATATATTCCATTTTTATGGAAGAATATTATTTTAGCTCTCGATAACTCTCAACATGTGCCTAATTTCGTTGAATACCATCATCATGATGCTCTAGTTCAACAAGTTAGTTGGAATTAAATTAAATTATCAATGTCAAATCATGAGAACCATAGTAAATTCAATAACTAAATTATTTCAGCTTTGTTTAACTCTCGGCCAAATAGCATCACATACCGAGTTATCTGATTTACAAGGATTATGGCCTGATATAAAAGATAGAATACAAGATATAATGGTGCATATGAAATATTTTCGAGTAAGAATTTATTTTTTTTACGTAATTAATTACTCTATTCATTTTTACAGTATTTACATTACAAAAATAATGTTCTATCTCATAATAGCTAATTTCTACTTACTGAATATTTAATACAATTTTTATGAAATCATTTAGTATAAAGATACATGAATTTCAGGAACGAGTATTACCTGAGAAAACAGATGACTTTGTAAATGCAAAAATGAAGTTGGACAACTTTGCACGAACTGGTTTAACATTAAATGAACGTAATATTGCTAAAATATTAGCAAATTTATTTGACTTTACAAATATTAATAATGAATGTAAATTTTAATTATGTAAGATAGTTATTTCCGTTAAATTTTTTTTTCGTAAATCCATATTATTTATATTAATTTGTATAGAAATTTTTCTCATGTAAACTTAAATTTGTATGATTAACCGATTGTTAAGTATGATTTTTTTTTAATAAAAATTTTGACTGAAAATAAACTTTATAGAAATTGAACTAAAAACAATTATTATCAATTTAATTCTTCTTCCAATAGTTGATGTGATGATTCATTTTTAATTTTTTCTACATCACTTTTATCTTTGTCATCATTTTTTTGATTTTCACTTAATTCTTTTCTTTCATTATGATTATCATCATCATTTTCATTTAATTTTTCATTAATATCTTCTTCTTTTTCTCTTTCACGAGTTTCCTCTTCATTCTTTTCTTTTTTATTAATGTTATCTACTTTCTTTTCTTGTTCATTTTCATCCTCTTTTTTCTTTTTTTGTTCATTGTTATCGTTGTTTTTCTTCTGTTCTTCATGATCATCGTCTTCATCATTAGATTCTTCGTCAGTAGTATTATTTTGTGGTTCATTATTTACTTGTGTTTTCTTGGATCCGTTCATCAATTTGAGTTTTTTTTGTTTATCTTTCTTTTTTAATCTTTTAGCTCGTTTTTTTGCAGTTCTTTCTTCAGCCATTCGTTTGTTGTTTTCTAATTTTTGTTGATACTCTATATCAAGTAATTCCTGTTATACAAAATTAAAAGTTATAAAAAGTAATTTCACAATGAAAAAGATAATCACTAAAGATCAATAATCATAAACCTTTTTACTCTTTTCTTGAATAAATTTTTGTCGAGCATATTCTTTACGCCTTAGATGTCTATATACGTGAAATTCTCCACTACCGGCTCCAGCACTACTTCCCATCACATTACGAACGAATTCTGGTACTGAAGGTGTTGATTTGGTTTTAGGTCGTTCTGGTATTTGTACTGGTTTGTCCTGAATAACGGTACTAATTAATTAAAAAATTTTACAATCTCATGAATGTTAATAAATATCTTTAACGACAATGAAATTACCGGATTCTTCATTAACTTCATAAGTTTTAATCTCTGAAGATCTACTGCACTTTTTGCCACAATAGGTCGCTCAGGTTCATCATCTTCTTTATTATCCGACATTTTATTAAGATTTATTTTTTCTTTTAATTTATTTTTTATCTAGTTAATTTCAAGAAAAACATTAATTGCTCCAAAGTGTTGTTATATGTGTGTTTGGAGTATGATTTTGCCATAACGTTGTCGTTACCAATACGATCGGATTCATGTAAACTCGCCTCAAATTAACCTCAAAAAATACTTGCTCAAATGAAATTCCGGCTTTAAGTGGATTGTCATTTGTTTGCTTCATTTCGCGTTGTGTTTTCATCGTTGTAATTTTTTAAGAAAGTAAAATATTCATATATTTACTTAATAGTATATTAAAAAATATAAATGGTATTGTAATTTATCTTTGAAATAATAAAATTGACAAAATGAGCCGCAGAAGACAGCATGAAGAAGAAGATGGATACGGTAATACGATTAGTGATGCACAGTTTAGGGGTTATGATGTTGTATGTGTATCTATAAATGTTATTAATATATGTATTTATATCGTTTTAATTTAGATCGAATCTACAAAAAACGTCGACGAGTATCTGAAAATCAAGAAATTGAAGACAGACTTGAATCTTTGATACTTCGGGTTGGAGAAAAATCTACATCTTCTTTGGAGAGTAACTTAGAAGGTCTAGCATCTGTTTTAGAAGCTGATTTAGGGGTTTTCCGGAGTAAAATATTGCGAATCCTTACTGACTGTGCTATACGAATGCCAGAAAAATGCACAATTTATACAACTCTAGTAGGATTATTGAATGCTAAGAATTTTAATTTTGGAGGAGAATTCGTAGAGTACATGGTAAAAAATTTTAAAGAATCTCTTAAAAGTTGTAAATGGGATGCAGCTAGATATTCACTACGATTTTTAGCTGATTTAGTTAACTGCCATGTTTTATCATGTGGTTCTTTGATGCAATTATTTGACAACATGCTTGATGCAGCTAATGAAGACAGCGTTCCACAAGTGCGGCGTGATTGGTAAGCTTAGTGCGATTCAATTATTAATTTATCAAATTTCAAAAAATTCTTATGTATTAAATATATTTTCAGGTATGTATATGCTGTACTATCAACTTTGCCATGGGTTGGACGAGAATTGTACGAAAAGAAAGAACAGGAATTGGATCACTTGATGGTGACAATAGAAATATTTTTAAATAAAAGAAGCAAAAAACATGCACCTGCTCTTAAAGTATGGTCAAGTGATACCCCACATCCTCAAGAAGAATATCTTGATTGTCTTTGGGCTCAAGTAAGAAAACTTAGGCAAGATAATTGGGCGGAAAAACATATCCCTCGCCCATATCTTGCATTCGATTCAATATTATGTGAAGCATTGCATCACAATTTACCAATTTTAATTCCTCCACCCCATCATGATTCTTATGTATATCCATTGCCAACAACTGTATTCAGAATGTTTGATTATACTGATTGTCCTGCTGAAGGGCCTTTACTACCTGGTAGTCATGCCATTGAACGATTTCTGATTGAGGAACATCTTCGACAGATTATTGATAATTATTTTTTTGAACGAAAAGATTGGTAAGTTTTCTAAAGTATTTGATAATGAACAATTAATTTATTACTTGGAAAAAAATAATAAATAATAAATTTTTTTGTTTCCAGCGCTGCCAATTTACTGAACTTCCCATATAAAACTAAAATTCCTCTTGATTATTGTATTGTTGAAGTAATTTTTGGAGAATTATTTAAATTGCCAACTCCTAAATATTTAGAAATTTGTTATGGATCTATTTTGATAGAACTTTGTAAATTACAACCATCAACAATGCCTCAAGTGAATATATAGTTTTATATTTTCAATTAAATTTTTAATATTTTATGTAAATGTTTTTTAATTATTTTTTTTTTTTATTATTACAGGTTTTGGCTCAAGCTACAGAAATACTTTTCCGCCGTATAGACAGCATGGCAGCAGCATCATTTGATCGTTTTGTTTGGTGGTTTGCTTATCATTTAAGCAATTTTCAATTTAGATGGTCATGGGAAGATTGGGATTCATGCTTACAACGGGATATGGAACATCCACGGCCTAAATTTATTCGGGAAGTTTTATTAAAAGCATTAAGGTTATCTTATCATCAAAGGATAAGAGATATGATGCCAGAAAGTTACGCGGAATTAATACCTGCTGTACCTGAACCAATTTACAAATACACATCTGAAGGTGCAAGTAAGTTGAAGAGATTATATCTATTTGTATAACATATAGTAATATTAAATATTATAATAAGAAGATCTAATTATTTTTACTAGGTTCACTGCCTGGCACAACTGCAGCTCATGAACTGGTGGTGTCTATTAGACGTAAATGCACTACAGAAGAAGTTCTGAAAGTGTTGAATACATTACCAGGTCAAGGAGAAGGTGAAGAATTAAACAGTAATGCATTGAAAATTGATGTCTTCGTTCAAACATTGTTGAATCTTGGATCTAAAAGCTTTAGTCATAGTTTTGCTGCAATAAGTAAATTCTACGATGTCTTCAAAGTAATTTTTTAGCAATATTTTTATTAAGTTTACAATTAAATTATATTCTACTTTATATTAAATATTTCTTCATATTATAGGTTCTTGCAGATACAGAAGAAGCACAAATATGTATTTTACGGAATATGTATGCTTTATGGAAAAATCATTATCAAATGATGGTTGTCTTGACTGATAAATTTTTGAAAACTGCTATTATCGAATGTAGTGCTATAGCTAATTGGATATTTTCTAAAGAAATGGCATCAGAATTTACGAAATTATATATCTGGGAAATTCTTCATCTTACAATTCGTAAAAAGAATCAACATGTGATTAAATTGTCGAAAGAATTGGTTGAAACGAAAGAAAAAATGAGACGAGCTGAAAGTAGATCTGGCTCTTCCTCTGACGAAGATGAAAATAAAGATAAGGAAGGAGAAAGACCCACGGAAGAAGCACTAGAACGAATGGAAGAGCAGTTAGAGGCTGCACAATCAGATCAGAAGAATTTATTCCTTATCATTTTTCAAGTATTATTTAATTCTTTTAAAACAGATTCGTTACTCTTTTGAAAAAATACTTCAATTTATCATTTATTTTTTTCAGCGTTTTATAATGATATTATCTGAACATTTAGTTCGTTGTGACACTGACGGCATTGATTATAATACTCATTGGTACAAATGGACGATTGGAAGACTACAGCAAGTTTTTTTATCGGTGAGTGTTTAACAAATATTGAAATAAAGTTAAAGAGAACTTTTCAAATAAATAGCCATTATTTCTTTTTTTAGCATCATGAACAGGTGATGAAGTATTCATCAACATTAGAAACACTATTGTTCACCCCGGACCTTGATCCTCATATTTTGGATGTATTTCACCAATTTACATCATTAAGAGCGTAATTTTAAGAGCTTATTATTACAATATAAATGACGATTTATTCGTAATTCGGTTATTTCATTCAATAATTATATTTTTTGCGAACATTATATTAATTATCAGTTTTATCTCAAACTTTATTTATTAGGATCATAGAAATATTAATCAGCACTTTTTTCAGTTACTATGATCTTATTATTATACGTAATTTTGTGTATAAATATTTAAAGATATCTTGTATCGTTAAATAATATAAAAAACTCTTCAATTACTTATTGAGTCATGAGTTTAATTCATTTCTTTTATAGTAGTTCTAATATCATCAGTAAATGTATTATTTTTTTTAAATGGTTCCTTTAAATTTAATGATGGGACATTTATTTTAAGAATACCTTCCATTATTTGCTGAGTATAGAATGTTTGGGTAAGGCTACTATAAAGAGGGTATGTAAGTTCTTTCTAAATAAAGATAAAACAGGATTTGTATTAGTTATTTTTTAAGACAATAAATAAAATAATTAGTCACTTACATGATGAAGTAATTCGTTATTATCCAAAGTTGGAGTAAAAGTTCTATTGCAGAAATTTTTTTGATATTCTGATCGATTTACAGCATTATTATAATTTTGGATTTGATGTTTAGTAACATCTTTTAGAGCTTGCTCATAAAGAATGGATTGAAGTAATTGTCGACGTTTCCCTTAGAAAAAAGAGTATTCCTTATAATTACTATTTTTATATTGTATGATTCATCACTGACATTACATGTACCTAACTTTTTTTGTGAGTTCATCATATTCTTTTCCTCCTGCTACCGCTAAGTATATTTGTTGTAAATGATACCTATGAATTCCCCTGTGGAATTCGCGTGACCTTAGAATCAGCGTAAGCTATTGGGCCTATTAAATAAAGAAATAAATATTCAGGATTGATACTCGATTTTACGATTGAAAGTTTACCACTTTATTTACTTATTGATCACAGCGTTGTTAAGAGCTAAGAAGCAAGGTCTAAGTATTGATATATTTTAGTGTAAAAGAAATAATCATATTTAAATTTGGTTTTTTATTGTATGTACATATTTATAATTATAATTACATCTTGACTAATAGATATTCTTTTTAAATATCGATTGATTATAATCATCATTAAATTGGATGACAAAATTATTTATAAGTAAAGGGTACGTGTTAATTTTTCCTGTGCATCTCTCTGATGGCAATGGGCAAAGTATTCATAAGTAATTGGTTCAATAAATTTTTCTGGAGATGCCCAATTAAATATTGGCTGACCAAAGTAAGTACCAACTTCCCAACCTGGATAATCTTGCATTAATGTTGCTTCTTCATCACGATTTTTTCTTATTTGTTTGAGCATCCTTTAAACATAAATTATTATGTAAAAAATAATGAAACAAATAATAAATAAGAAAGAACTTACACTCGATCTCTTTCAGCCCAAAGTAATGGTATTAATGCATTCTGAGCACTTCTTAATTCAATTTCATTTCTTCTCCACAATCTATATTCATGTGCAAACCCTATGGTTCCAATGACAGTTGATGCTATAGTCAGACCACATGCAACCCATGCTACAAAAGTTGATAATTATATCATTAATGATCAGTGAAAATATAATATTTGTATTAGAAAGTTATATGATTATTACGAGTAACAATTCGACGAAGATGCACTCGAGAAGTTTGTATAGGATTATATCCTCCTTTTGGTGGCATATCTTGAGGACCAGATTTTGGTTTAGATGCCATGTTTATACTGTAAAGAAATATACTTTTATTTCCAAAAAAATTAATAATAAATCATCAAATTCGTAGAGGACCTGAAAAGATCCTTTCGAAGGTTGTATTACAGTCAAACTAATATTCCGAAACAAAGAATAATTCAAGATCTAGATAGAAGTGCAGCTCCAAAATGTTTGCAGCACACAGTTCTTTAGTATCTAAGTTGACTATCTGTAGCGCTATGGTTTGTTCAACGGTTAAATTCACCTATAATTTCGATTAAGAAATTTTAATCCATACATCAATACAAATAAAATTAATAATTATTACTTTCCGATACCGTATGATCTTTGAATTATTGATGAATAAATATATGTTTTCATAATGTTATCTATAATAATATCTTTTGTAAGTGTTTCCATTGAATACCGATTGACACACATCTGAGAACTAGTGCAATTGAGATGGAATAGATGGCAAATGTAGTTATTTTCTCATAATGGCGGCTAAAAAACAAAAGTTATAGAAAAACTAACCTTTCAATGTACACCATGTGGGAAAATTGTTTTGTTTATATTTTAGATGTTGTGTAATTACAATCAATTGTTTCATTATAATTTTTATATTTATATGCTGTAACAATCTATAATGATATATTTCTAGTAACGGTATCTGAATTGTTCCAAAATAGTGTATATAAGTATATTTTTATTTGTTTAATAACAATAAGTTGATATATGAAGAAGTCATAGATTCATAGTGTTTTTTTAAATTCTTCATACATCTATTGATAAAAACTAGTTCATATCCCTCGATTATGTTACTAAGTAATACATTCAAAGTTTTATTAAGATCTGTAAAGCATGACGAATTGTTTTTTGCAATAAAATGGTATTCAAAAAACTCAGACAATGGTGTTGATATAAAAAAATTTCCTAATTTGCGAATTTATAAAGAATTAATAATGAAAACAATGTATTTGAACAATCAACAAGCTATAGAATTTCTTAAAGAAAATACTCATGTTTTTCGAGTACCACCACATAAAATTGTTGAAATCAACAAACTTTGTCAGGTTTGAGTTAATTAAATACTTTCGTTCTGTTGAAAATTAATTATTGTTGAATAATATTGTTACATAATTCATAATTTGGTATAGAGCTACAGAGTTAACATGAATCACAGATATAAAGGGAACTTGGAGTTATTCAGTTTAGATAAAAATGAAATAGAAACAAGAATATTTATATTACGAGAAATAGGAGTAGAAAATATAGTTCCAGTAATGTTAAATAAGTATGCTTATTATTATTACTTAATGCATTGAATCATTGCTGAGTTGTCTATTGTGTTTAATAAATTTATTTATTATTTTACAGCTCTATTCAGCATGTAAATTTGAAGTTATTTCGAGTTTTTGCTCAAATTAATGAACATATAGATATGGGAGAAAGATTATATTCTTTTCTACTTGAACCCTCGACCTTGATGCCTCCGTTTAAAAATTTGGATGAAAATGTATCGATAAAAACTTATCGCTACCAATGTTTATCACATTATTTCCAATGGAGGTTAAAAATACCACCAGAAGAAAAACTCACAATAGATAAACTTGTTACCAATACAATAGGTCATAATTTTGCTAAATTACGTAAATCTTTCAGTGTTTTACATGAGGTTGTTGGAATTCCAATTGATTTGGTAAATAAACGAATTTTCTTTTCAATGTAGATGTTGATCGTGTTATATTGTTATTATATTAATTTTTGTTTGTTCAAGATGAGAAATCCATTTTATTTGAAATATTGTTCGCCAGATGATTTGATATGTATTATTGAACGCATAAAAACAATTTGTAACGTGCCTATTATCGAATTAATCCAATCAACACCGACACTTTGTGGAATGGATTATAAAAATGTTGTTGTAATAAAACATCTTTTAGAAAAAAATAAATATTCTGAAGAACAGTTGAGAAACTGTCCAAAAGTTTTATTGGCTGATAGTGATGAAGTAACGGACATACTAAATATTATAAACCAAAGAGCAGACTTTAGAATTTTTCATAATCATCCACAAATTTTGGATATTTATTTATTAGAGGATGAGTTTAAATTAAGAATGGGATATCTAAAGTATTTAAATATTCAAACAGCTTCAGTTTCATTGTTTAAAAAGCCCACACTGGCATTTGATAAGTAATAATTTTAGATTATGAAGCTTTATGTGAAATAGCTAAAAAAACTATAGATGCAATAATAATTGGCAATTTTATTTTAGAATCACCAGATCAGGGAAATTTACTTTTGACATTAATGAAATATATTGGATTATTAAAAAATTCTTATCAATTGATAAACAAGAAGTTATCCATTTATTAAAAAAACATCCATTCTGGAACAAAATAGATCTATTGATTATTTATGAAACTCTTCAATTTTTAACAAGTTTCTTCGATGTAAATGCAATTAAAAATAATTTTACAGTTGTTCTCTATTCTAGGTAAGTACTTAATTATCGAGATAATTATTGCAAAATATAGAGAGAAATTGGGTTTTTTTTTATTAAGAATTATTGTACTTAAATCTTTTGACTTGTCTGAACAATGTATTCAATTTTTTCATTATATTTACAGAGCAGTATTAGAAGAAGTGTTGATAGAAATAATAAACACTCATCATGTATGTTCATTTGAAAATCCATACACAACAACTCAGATTTTGGCATTATGTGAATATGAAATTGAAAAAAACTATCATTTTACGGGAGATGGAGTATGGGAGAAACCTAAGAAAATATCAAACTCATCTAATCTCTCTCTACATCTTAAAACTATTTTAATGGATGAGACAAACAGGAAAAATATGTTTAAAAATAATCCTTATGATTACTTTAGTATTAGTCAATATAAAAATGATAATTTCAATAATTATAATAAACATAATCAATGTGTAAATAAGATTCACAACAATAATGATAATTATGAGGAGACGAACGAAGCTCATAATTGTAGTCACAATCATGAAAAATATTATGATCATAAGTATAGAAACGAAGAATACAATTCTAAGCTTCAGTTAAATAGTACAAATAAAACGTAACTGATTAAAAATTTTTTTAATTATTATTTAAACAATCTTAGTTTTTACAAAATTCGTAAAAATGTCCCAATAATGAAGGCACTATTCAATCATTTGAATTTTTTTTATAAAATTCAAATAATTATAATAATAACAACTAAAAAGACAGCTATTTCGATAATAACTAATAATTATCGTTAAAATATTAAAAATATCCTATCAATAATGGTATAATAATGATTGTCTTAAATATCGATTAAATTAATCGTTTTTCTACATCACATAAAAGAGATTTATAGCTCAAAAACAAAAAAAAGCTCATTTTGTAATTGATTCTATTATATAATAATTTTAGCGTTTAAAATTTTTTATTTACAAAGTAGATAAAAAAATGTTCAATTCAAGTATACTTTAATTTCTAAAATTGATGAATTTTTAAAAAATATTTGTGTAATTTGTAACATTCTTTTGTCTTTGATATAATCAAAACTGGTGTAAAACCGTATAATCTAACATTCATAATGCACATAATGATAATCAACAATTGCAAGGCACTAGAAGTATTTTAGAATTCAACAGATTGACAACGATGATGATGAATAGAAATGGAACATTATAGTTTGCACGTTATTGCGTTGAATTGTTATATCTCACTCGGAACCCAAGGGTCCGAGTTAATTCAAAAAAGGTGGCAGCTGTACATAGCTCTGTTGTTCAGTAGGTTCTGTCTTAACAAGGACTTGATCTTTGATCGTCTGACGAGTGGAAGGAGGTGGCGAATGCATTCCATATTCTTGTTTCTGATGAGATTCTTGTTGTTGCTGATGATGATGCGAAGTATAATCTGATTGATCATGGTGATATTTGTCAGGTGGGCTTAGTCCAGCAACATAAACGAGTTGTTTGTTTTGTTGATGTTCATCTTCGGACATGGAATTAGCATTAGCTGCTCCAAGATGGTTGGAATGTTGAGGAGAGTGTGCCGCTACCATACTTTGATAATCAGCTCGTGTTAAAGCAGATGGAGGTGGACTATTATTTGGTCCAGTCATGTAATCTTGGTGCACACGCATTGTATTACCGGAAGGAGCGGAAAATAGTGATGCATCATGCTGAGGCAGCATAGTTGCGTAAGAATAAGCTGAACCATTATTACTGGGTCCAGCGAATGAGCTTGTATATGGAGAACTTGATGGACTGAGGAGGTTTAAATGAGGTGCCAAATCATAAGCTGGCGAATAGGCCCAAGCATCAGGAGGTGTTGCAGTTGCTACGCTTGTACTTGAAGCGAAAGGATTTAAACTGTTGTTTAATGATGGAAATGAGCCAGTTAATCCGGGACTTGCTGATCCTGCAGTCATATAGCCAGTGGTTTTTCGTGGTGGTTCTCGTTTTCGCCATTTTGCTCGTCGATTTTGGAACCAAACTTGCACTCGGGATTCTGATAATGCTAGTTTTAACGCGAGCTCTTCTCTGGCGAATACATCAGGATACGGTGCTCTTTCAAAGGCTCTTTCCAGTTCTTCTAATTGGTAGGCCGTAAAAGTAGTTCTAAAATTATTGAAATAATTTTTTTAAAATATATTTTACTTCTACATTAATATTCTTTATTTTTAAAGCTTAAAATAAAAAGTTGAAAAAATTAACTGATTTATCATTAATCAAAAAAAATTTTTATTCTGGTAAATAATTACGAAAGTTACCTCGTTTTCTTCTTTTTAATGCCATTATTATCCGTTTTCTTCTTAGAATCTTTTTTAACTGTTTGAACTTCACTGGTAACTGGAAAAAATATTTTTTTAATAAAATCCATAAAAGTAAATAAAAGACATAATAACGTGAATATTTACCTTGTGTTATAGAATTCATAGGATCATCAGGTTTTCGTTTGAGATTATTACCAAGCTGAAGATTCTGTTGTAACGCCGTAGATGTAGGTGTTACTGAAGATGTAGTTGAAGTCGTAACATCCTGTGTTTGCGTTAAAGGCGCGTACATTCCTGCAAGCTCAAGTTCTTTTAATTCTTTTTGTTGTTGTTGTTGCTGTTGCTGTTGCTGTTGTTGTTGTTGTTGAAGATGATGAGAGTTTTGATGATGAGGTGGTGAACCATCGGATGAATCTAATTTATGGAGATGTCCCCCGGGTGGCATGAGATCAGACGTATGATGAGTACCATGAAGACCAAGCATCACTTGGATACTATGAACTCCCGCACCAGGTCGACCTCCAAAATCAGAGAAAATTGGATCATCAAATGGAGGCCCATCCATGATTCCTTCGGCATAAAAATTGTCGTCAGGCAAATGTTGTTGATTAGATGACGGTGAGAATAGAGAAATTTCTTGAAGTGGATAATTCCTGATATTTGAATGATCTAGGAGTGACGATTGCCAGGTATAATCGACGAGGTACATGAAGCGAAATCTCAAGTCTTTCAATAGTTGAAGGTGTAAATTCTTTGAATCCGATAGTTGATTGACGTCAATTATTTATAGGATGTAATTATGCAAAAACTTGGGAACGCGCAAATACGATTGCTTGGTGGACTTGTAGCAGGTCGGTAATGGAATCTCAACCAATTGTGATCAATTGTTGACGGTTATGATTAATTTTGATTAGTTTTAAGCGGAGTTAACGAAGTGAACTAGTTATGACGGACCTTGGTGAACGACTGATGAGTTCGTCAAGCTCGCGGACCGGTCACTAGTCTGAACTGAGAACTGAGCTTATGACACAACACTTACACACGTTTATATTTAAAGGAAGGTCTGTGGCGCCGCCCACGATGGCGTATAGATGGTTAGCCAATGGGGGCTGTTTGATGAGATGATTCTGAGGCACGAGAGGCTAACGATATGAAGAGATATGCGGGTATAGTCCTGCCTACCAGATAGTTAGTAAGCCAGAGAGGTTTCTTCCTCAACCTTTTTGCCTCCTTCTCTTCTTTCATTACCACCTCTCTTTCCATCATCTTTCTATAAGTCATATGGACTTACCTTTCTTCAACGATTCATCAAATTCACATTCACCAAAGTTATCTTTGAGCATCAAACGTGATTTAGAATCAGGTAATTAATACATATCTTCAATGTTTTCTTATTTCTATCTTGATCGTTATTATCAGGAACCATCTCGTTTGGACTCCGGACAGCTACTGATGTTGAACACTTGAGCTCAGACCGCCTCAATGAAAGCAAGCAATCGCCAGGAATTGCCTCGAATTGGTCCAATCAAACTACCCCCATTCCCATTCGCATTCATCTATGGATGTGCGTAATAAGTGCTAATTCGATGAGCGTTAATTAGACCAACAAGGATTCATTTAAAGATCACAAACTATCATAGAGTAAACCTTTTATAGGGTCGTTGATATGTGTCCCGAGTGTTAAACTCATTGAGTCTACGACATAATCTCATTGTGGGGGTGCACAGTTGTTGCTATGATATTGCGCCGATTGGAAGAAACCCGTCAGGTTGATGATCGACTGCTCTCTGGTTTAGTTATCACGTTATATACGGGAAGGCAATATACAAGTCGGCAACTTAACTAGCCTAAATGGCTTTAACTCGATGTGATTTTGCTGGCGAACCACTAAATTGAACGAATACGAACTAAACTGAACTCAACTAAGCTAATCATATCACATTACTGGGCGTTATTAGCCGAGCCACGATATAAGTGAAGGTTCGGTGATGCCAGACTGCAGTACCGGGTGGGTCGCCTCTTGCACTGACCCTCGCTCTTTCCCTCTCGCCCTAATTCTCATCGATTTCTTATTGATACTCACATGTTGTTCTTCTTCCTTTCATCAATATTTTTCAGTCAAACTTTCATCTCCAAATTTTACAATCAAGTGCTTCTATTGTCCTCCATCAGCCAATCTTCAAATTTTCTTCCCCAAACTTAGCTCTAATTCTAACCAAGAAGTTCAGTGCATTTTGTTTGGTGATTATCTAGGTTTTCAGTGACTTTTATTGTGATTTTGACCAAGCGAAACTTGGTTTCAGAGTGAATTTAAGTGTGACTTTTAAAATATTTATTTGCATTATTTTATATTAATTCTATGTTTGCAAGAAAATTTTGAAAAAAAAATAAATGTTTGACAGAACGTAATCGTATGTGCAGTTTGAGCTATTGTCAGTTGAAATGGCACATGCGAGTCTCCCACTTGTGGGATGGAAAGGAAGAGAAGGAGGAGAATACGTGTACCTGGCTCCTCCTCTTGATTCTACAGATCTCTTGGTGCCGTGTGCTATTTCTCCACCCTTTCATTGCCTATTTAATTTTTATCATTTCATTCTATCCAAAAACAAAAATAGCAAATATATTTTTTATCTATTAAGATTTATTATTATACTTAGAATCAACATCATCAAACTCTTTGATTCTTTTTCAATTATACAATTATTAATATAGTTTCAATCTAAAACATTGTTGTGTTATTCACATTGTGAATCAAACATGTATAGAAAAGTAAAATAAAAAGAAATATAAAAATAAACATTTATAAATTCTTTTAACAATGCTCGTACATAAAAATGATTCAAAGATGAATGCTTTGAAAGAGATGATGTTTGTCAGTAAAATATATATATATATATATATAAGAATGTACTTAGACAAATTTAGATGGTCAACGTGAACAAGAAGAAGCATGGAAACCCGCATAGTTTAACCGGGCTTGCCGGCCAATTCAGCCAATTAAGTTCAATTGATCTAAATTGTCTCAATTGGATATAATTGCGTGAAGACGACGGGGAAGCTCCGTTTATACTACAGCACCATCCGCACCAACTTGTTGATAACTATCAGAGTCAGCGCAAAAAAACATTCCAGAGCTGTTAATTCATTTCAAAACTTTGTTTAAAAGATTATATGACTAAAATTTCATCTATCTCTATGAATCTATGTATCTATAAAAATGAAAAAATAATTTTAGAATATCATAAAATTTTTTTAATATTTACTTTTATCACTAATTAATTAATGAACTTTTTCTATAAGCACTTTATTTAAATTCTTTTCTTTTTTGTTTATCATTTACATTTACCAAAATTATTCTTTATTGAATATCTAACCATTTTATTTGCTGTTGTAATTGTTTCTATTTTCTAATTGTTATTATAAATACTTGATAATATCACTGTTGACATTGTTGTTGATATTATTACATCATTAAAATAAAAAAATAGTAATGAATAGGATATGAATATTTTTAGTGCAAAGTATTCGAGGCAATTTGGGAAAAAAGAATGTACGTAGCAACTCGGATATGAAGTTGTACATCAGTACAACGCTAATCCGTGAGAACGCCCGCACTTTTATTTATCCGCGCTTTACTACCATCATCGTTCATATAATTCTATTTCTCACGATACCACATTTTAAGCATAAGCCGAAAATTTGAAATGATGAAAGAAATAGAGAAAATATCCCGCATCACTTAGGTGCATCTTAGTCATATATTGATGTACATTTTTTATTCCCGTACCCTGCGGGCGGTCAGTTTCATATCTTTAGATATCTTATAGGACTTTTTGTATTATTTTATTATATACCTGTATGATGGAGGGATGATCTCAGATGTAATTTGCTCTAATAATTATTGTTGTACTAACACCCCTATCGTTTTCTCCCCTTCTCTCCTATTTTTCTATATAGAATCCCTTCTTTTTTCTAAAAATTGTCATTATAACTTTTACGTCGAAATGTATTTTAAATTGTAATAAATGAGTTGGACTAAAATAAACATGCAGGAAAATAAGATAAAATACTTTTTATCAATGATGTTAGAGTAGTTGACATAGTTTAGATGTTATTTATTGATAAATTAATGAAATTGACATTTAAAAAGTTGTAAATTCTAAAAATTTGATTAAAAAATTGCAAGAAAATACATAGTCTAGTAAATAAATAATAAATTCAACTGCATCTTAAATTGATTAATGTCAAGAGATCTTCGTTCTATTTGAGAATTTACTTTTTAAAAGGTAAAAATGAATTAATTTATTAAAATCACTACAATCTGTTGACCTTTTCAAAAAGACCTACTTTATGCCTTATTTATATAATTTTACTGACATTTATTGGAAAAACTCAAACATTATTTACGTAATCAATTTTTTGTAATTCAGATGAAAATAATTCAGTTTGATATTTAAATTTAGAAATGTACACAATAAAAGTTAATTCACAATACAGAAAGAATGATCTTATTATTTTTAAAGATATCTCATCATCAATGAAATATATACCTTTTTCACGCTCTTCAGTTTCGTATCCCCTATTTTTACCATATGCTATTGAAAATCCATAATGCTGGTTGGGGAGTATACTCTGACACGTGACCCTCAGTCATTCAAACTTATTTACTTCATAAAATTCTTGATTTTTTTTATTAAATTTTGAGTGTTTCATTGTCAATAATATATTATAACATTATATTTTTTAAATTTAATTTTCTTCAACGGTTTAATCGGCAAATGTAGTATCGATGATCAACAATACTGTTCATCTTTTTTATCTTCAATAAGTATTGAATCACTTACCAACAGTCAAATATTTTTGGGTTTCATGTTTACTACCAGAGGGAGCACTAAGATCAATTTTAGCGTCCAGTTGAAAATGTTAAAGTTTAACGATAATAATACATACATACATTTGTTAATAATCGGATAAATATTGATTGATTAATACTGAATTAGAAATTCGATAATTTTATTAATAATCATTGAAGTATTAGAAGAATAACTATTATCATTAAATAGTGAATTTTCATCAATAAATATTCAGAATTTATACGAAGTAAATAATCTTGTTTTTTTTTTTTCATACCTCTATTGTTATTATCTATCTGTGGACCTAGTCTGGCTTTGCTGTTAGGCCTGTGTGAATGTTTAATAAATATATAACTAAATAAAGAAATAATAATATTCTATTAAAAATAATTGAGTTGGATAATATGAAATTATTTGGTATATCTACATTATATTTAAATTACAACAGTGTATATAATTCCCATTGAAGATAGAAAAATTATTAATGATTGAATGAATTTATTCTTCAATTGTTATTAAATATTGAAAAGTTATCAAAAATCTCTAAGGTAAATAAGTTCAGTTAATTATTTACTTGATTTAAAATAAATATCTCCTTTTCTGTCAATAATAATACTTTTTTTTATTCATTCCATTATAGCACATGATTAAATTTCTTTTTAGTGCAATTTTATTATAAATGAAATAGAGTTCAGTCAAGACGAAGAAGAAAAAAGATAAAATCAACGAAAATCCTAAAAAATTAAAACGGATAAAAACCAATTTAGTTTAACGGAAAATCCTCTCTTTTTTGCATCTTTTATACTTGGGTATATTTTCCGTTACTTTTTCACCAACAAAATCATCTTATGGATAAAAAGGTTCTCCATGCTTTTACTAAATTTCAGAAACTCATTGTCTAATAACTCCTAAAAGAGACAGAAATGAAGGCAAGTGAATTAGCGAAACTATATAGAAAGTTTACAACAAGCTATAAAAAAAGTCAAATCAATCTACTAAAGTTTCATATCATAATTCTTGTTCGATTTTCCATTTTACCTTATCTCCTTTTTTCACCTTCATTTTCAAACTAAAGTAAATTCAAATCCGATTCTCAGTTTTATTACCTTTTCTCAAACTCGTACAATCTTTCAAAGCTCTCCTAGATGTGACTTTATTTACTCAGCGAATATCTTTTGATCTCAATCATTTTGAATGAGTACGTTTTCACGCTGTATTTTTTCAATGCCATTACATTACGTCTGATTACACTTGCTTTCCATTTCAAAACTTTTTAAATCATCAATATGTCTCCCTTTTCATATATCATCACTAAAAAGTCCTGACATATAATAGCTTGAAATCGATTGGTTGTTGAAGCAGCATCGTGAAATCCTCTTGCTCTCTTCAATATTACCCCTAACGCGTGCGCGAGAAGCTACTTTTGTGTGCATTTCAATACATTTCCTTCATTCAAAAGACTTTTAACATCCCCTGAGCTCATGTTAAAACTAAAAGCGATGATTACTTGGTGATTATGTGGCTTAAGATTACTTGAAGAGTCAAGATAATGAAGTAAAATACTGTAGAGAAGTAGAGTACTGTCTGTTAAAAATAAATCGTCATGGAGAGATACTTCAAGTAAGAAAACTGTCTGAAGTCTGGTGAAACTTGGAACAGATGTAGATAGTGGATACGATGTTCTGGTAAGAGCAGAAAAGACATAGCCAACCAACGTGACATGACCAGGGTTGCTCAGCTTCCCGGGAGAGCCGCGCGCGCCTTCAATTGCTTTCTCTCTCATACACACCCTCTTATCACTCTCTCTCTAGACTTGCTACGAGTGAGACTGTTTAGCTTGGCGCGCTCAGTTCGATATCGGACACCGAGCCAGAACGCATCCTTTGTCATTCGATCCTATCATTCCCGCGATTTGCGAAAACACCAGTTTCATGCGATCAGTTTTACGTTCCTCTGGAAATGTGAATGATTGCTAATTTTATTATTGATTTATAATTTAATCAGAAGTTTGGCAATACAGTTAGTTATTAATCAATTTTATTCATTTTTTTTTTCAAAACATTTAACGAATGATTTAATACAAAAACTATTTTTTTTACTTGCTTGTTGACATTTTCAACAATTTGTCCATTAGGAGTTCTTCAGCGGAATTTTTTCGCATTAAGTCTTTTTTTTATGAAGATTTTATGAACGTGTAGATTTTTTTTTTTGAAACAGCTGAGTATAATTAAAAGAAAATAGCTGTTAAGCACATCAAGTACATACTTATTAAATACTTTTATTACTTGTTAAATCGCAGCTAAAAGCTGATAAACGGTTTAAGAAACATAAAAAATTTATGTTCTTTCATTGGTTAATGTATAAACGTATTATTGTGAAAGTGATTATAAATATTTTATTGTTTTATACAATAGCTTAACAAATTTATAAATTCAATCAAAATATAATTCTGCTTCATTTTAAATATTCAAAATTCATGAAAATTCGTGATGAATTTTACCTTTACCCCCCCTAGATTACATTAAGAAAAAATTCAAAATCATAACATTATCAAATTGGGTAAAAATTTCATTGTTAGAAATTTGTGGTAAATTATTTTTTATTTTCAACTAAGAATGTGAAAAATATGAAATTTATTCATGTAAAATATTTTTATCGAAATAACAAAAATGCCTACTTTGCTAGAGAGTAATGAAATAGATCACAAGCTAAATTTTTTCTCTCAATTAAATTTTTATTTTTTTATTTTTCAACATGATTATTTCTCGGTTTATCTTTCATATTTTACTAACTACTTCGAGTACATTATAAAAAAATATTATTCTTTAGCTCAACATTAATAAAATATATCTGTTCAAAGTAACGATATTCAATGGTATTATTTACCATAACTTTTGAGTTAAATCAAGTAAAAGAACAATTGTATTGCCAAATATTTCCGAGTTTTTACTGATATTTTTTATCGTTTATGCCAGGTTAACGGAGTGGAAGTGTGTCTAAATTGCTCTTAAAGGGCATAACAAAATAAGAGAGAGATAAATATACTGAATGTCTCGGAAACTGTTGTCTCTTACATTACCTAACAACGTGAGAATTTGAAAAATAATCCTTGTCAGTTGAGACGAAAAGTCACGAGACTTTAAGACTCTATAAAACAGCTTTAAACACTACCTCAGGGTCAGAAGAGCTCATTTAAACATGACATTTATGTAATTCTTCCTTTTTTTTCACGTAATTTTATTTATTTTTTCTTTCCTTGTTTAGTGAACTTATTTTAAATTCATTCTAGATCAACTTTATCGGCTTTCTTTTTCTCAAACTTTTTATTTTTATTGTTTCTCATTTATCTCATTGCATTTAATTGACCGTAAACTCTACATCAAAGACAAAATTTTTATAAAATTTTACTTATTTTAAAAAAGTTCTTTTTAAATATATTTTTTTTTATTTTTTCATGTTTCAGAGTTTGTTTTTGATGTTTTTGTTGGTGATACATGTTTACAGATAGGATGTAGCTCCTGAAGGGTTGAAAAATATTAGTAGAATAGATATCCAAGATAAAGAAGACGTTTTGTTGATGAAATAGAACAAAGAATCGATAATAATTTTACTTTAGTAAACAAAGAGAAGTGATAGATATTGAAAAGGAAAAAACAATAACCTGATCTTTGAAATGAAAGCTTTTGTGATAAATGAGATAATACGATATCCTGTGGTCTGGCAGGTGGAACGGAAATCACCGCCATGAGATAGTGGTACATATAATGCTACAAAGATATATGAAATTTGGTGGTTACATTAGAGGACTTTATTGGTTTTGCTACGTTATAACAACACACTCGGAGGTATACTTTCAATTCATATAATTTTCGTTATTTATTCGAATAATTCGGTCGTTTCAATTTGAAATAATAACAAAAAAATATATACATTTTTTGACAAAAAATACTTTTGATATTTGATTAAACTATTTTTTTTATTTGTTTACCAGTTTTTCAGCTTATTTTATGAGTATATTATCTGGAAAAGTTTTTATCAATTTTATTTTTAGCTTCATACTGCTTTCAATCGTGATTTAAAGATCAAAGTTGAAGTAGAAAATTTTGTCCTTGGTTTAAAAAAATATGTTACATTTAGAATTAAATAACTTATTTCTAGAAATATTCCAAAAACATTTTAAACAATGTTGAGAAATAGTTGATATTCGTTGAACAAATTGAATCCTTGTCGTCACAAAAGGAAATGAAATTCAAAGCTTTAGGATTTCTGGTTTTTCCGCATTTTGTGTGTAATATAAATACAAAAGTTACTGAAACCGTGTGGCAAAAAAGAATTAACTCTACCGTTTTGTTCTTTATAACATCTCTTACACCTTATAAAATTTTGTTGTTTTCTAAAAAGTCATTTAATTTGATTCTACATTTAATCAAAATTTATAAATTTTTTGTTTATATTCAACTATACTTATTGAACAGTTGAACAAATAGCTACTTCAATTAAAGTGATGAATTAAATGAGAAAAGTTTTTTAAAAAAGAGGCAATCTAATTTATTGAAAATTTGTTCTAGGAGAACTGTTGTTGGTGGGGTTGCACGGGCTAATGGCCCGGAGCCGGCTTCACCAGCACCGGTGGTGGCTCGTAATGCTCCTAAGTCTTGCTAGTTATCTCTCAGCAATACCTCAACAACCAATTCGCCGCACTGGGATTCCTATGATTCACGAAACATCCATCAGTCCGTCCTCAGAAATTATCGTTTTTCTACGGGACAATTGTGATCCTATTCAATCAACAAATGAACAGAATAATAATGAAGAAATTATCAAGGTACTCAAGAGATTCAATGCCAACAATAAGTTTTCTGTCAAAATGCTCCCCAATTCAGGTAAGTAATATCATTGGTATAATCTCTATTATTAACTCATTCATGTTGAAAATTCTCTCTGTTAATATGATATACTACCATTCATTACATGATATCATTTATATAAAGAATAATTATTTACTAAACGACAATCATTAATTATATTTTTTCAGTTACTCGGTATGTTACCGTTTTTACAAAAACCGATAGTTATAATAGTTTTGGTTGAGTAAATCTATTACTTATCGTTAAAAAGAGTTATGACTTAAGATAAAACTTTACAATTATAACTTATGTAGAGTCATTATTATTTAAAGTGCAATTAAGTGAAGCTCTTAGTAAAGTTACTTGACAAAATTCACTTAATACTCAATTAAAAGATTTTAAACATCCAGTTTTGATATTTAGATGTTATATTTTTTATTTTTTTGAATAAATTGATTTGTTAAGCAATTATGAATAATTTTTTTTAGTAAATGTCACAGAAACAAATTTCAATCCATCACAAAGTATTATTTAAATCATTTTCAATAGCTTTACTTGAGTTAATATTTGTAGATTTATTAATTAATGAGTATCAAAAGCTGTATTCAAATCATAAGAATAAGTATTAAATTTTAAATTGATTACATTATATAAAATTTTTAACCAAATTATTAGTACGTATATCATAACTCAATAATTTTTTGATAGTAATTAATACTTTTCTTATTGTAAATTGAAAAGTTCTCATGAAAATAGATATGTTTGGATTGTTAATTAACAAATGCATGCCTTGTTATTGTTATTAAAAAATTAAATTTATATAATTAAACAAGATAATAAATTCTGTTTTCCTCATAGTATAAAAGATTCACTGGTTGAAAATTTTATCGAGATAAATTTTTTAATGCATGTTTTGTATATTTGTCTGGCCACGTACAACAATGTTATTATTATTTCAGCAAATTTTTCTTCTGTTATATCTTTTTCTTCTTTCGAGAAGGACTGCTTCAAATATTCGCACAAAACTATGATTGCGAAAAACTGTACGTATGATTTTTAAACCCACAGAGTCGACAGAAATAGAAGATAAAAATAAAAATTCTCCAAACGATAATAATCTAATATAAGTCAAAACTGAAACTGGATATTTTTTTTTAATATCGTTCAGAAGACAATTTCACTATAACTGTATTAGTGCATGAATGAAGTCTGGACAAATATCTGAAAAATGAAATCTCTTAGAGAAAAGTACTGTATTAAATGTAAATCTCTTGAGGAGCTTTTTTAATTATAAAAAAAAAAGTAGAACAAGTATAAGAAAATTCAATTAATTTTATTATTATTTTATCGTCATTTTATATAATTTATTGAAAATCTCAAGTACATAACATTTCTATTAACTATGATGTGAACGGCATATGCTGTTGACATATCATCAAACTTGCGTACAATTAGTTTGTCATTACTCAACTACAGTGACATCGTAACATGAGCATCGAAATAACTACCTATTACGTATATGTAAAATAATTAATTATAAACATATGTGAAAATATGGTGGATAGTTGATAAAAACAGGAAAAATTTTATATTGTAGTCAATATTATGCTGTTCTTTTCATCAAACTGCTAGAGGATTCGCAATTAAATAGTTCTGTTGACACTAATTGTGAATGTCAGAGACAGATTAAAGTGTAATAGAGGGTGATAAAAAGGGTATAATGGATGTATCGATTGAACCTCCCCCAAGTTGATTGCAGTTATAGCAATTACTAACTTATCTGCCTCTCGATTCTCTTCAAATGGATTTGATTAGATATTTTTTCAACATTCTATACTTTATTTAATTTTAATTATTGATTTTTTTACGTGAACTTAAAATAATTTAAAACTTAATTATTATATTGAAAATACCTAATTTTAATAAGTGAGCATATTTTACAAATATTAATTAGAATTTCGTTTATAATTACATTATCAATATTTTTACAATTGCTTTTTAGAGTTATTAAAACAATGAAATTAATTTAGAAAAGTAATCTACTTTAAAATTGTTTTTTTTTTGTTTGAATTTAACGGTTGTCGACAACAAAATATATTTGATACACCATATATATGATTTTTAAAAGCATTGAGAATAAAAGTAATATATTTTTATGTTATTCTTCACTTTACTACATATCTATTTTATTAAAAAAAATAAAATCGTTAAAACTAAATTTGTTTCGGGTTGATGTATCTAGTTTTCAGTGTATTTAAATTAAAATCGATGAATTTATCAGTTGTTTCAATCATAGTATTATTTTGTTATTAATAATATTTTAATTGAATGTTTATATTTTTACAAAAATTAATAGATTATCATTAGCCGATTTTTTATTCTTTTATCAGTTACATGTGAATCAAAGTCCTGGGGTCTTGGCATTCTCATTGAAGTACTTGGACAGCCAACAACAAAAGCACTGATTGCAGCTCTCGATTCCAACACATGTGAAGTGGCTGAAAAACTCGCCCACCTGTGGGAGAAGCCTCTACTTACCTGGACTTGTCCTACGGTAGTAAATGTCATGTACTCTTTTTACAACCCAATTATTCTTTACTCACTTGTAGTACTTCCTTCCCTTTTTACTGAAACCTATTTTCTCGCTCTACCTTTGCCAGTAGTTTCACAATTAAACATCCAATTTTCAATACCCTTATGATGAAAAAAAAAAAGAAAAAAATCCTTCACTCAAAGTATTTTTGACAAATGAAAGTGAATTTACTCGTGTTTTTTTCTTCTTTATTTTTATGGAAAAACTTGTCTTTATTCTTCTTTCTGCTAAAGATACTTTGTTTCTTCTCGATTCCAAATACAAAGTAAAAAATAAAGTGAATTGTAAGCATACTGCTTGTCTGTTCAATTCAACAAAGTGGCCTTCTAACCAAATTTACTCCAATCTCTTTTCTTTTTCAACTCATTTTACCATTGTGATTGTATTCTTCTACAACTTCCTCCACTTCCATCTTTGTTTCAGTTTATTCTTTATCCCATCAACAAGATATATCATCATAATTCATTACTCTTGAAGTTATCTAATAACATGTAAATTATTTTATCTAAATTTCAGATTTGCTCTTCTTCTTTTTTCTCGTCAAATACAATAGACTTTAACATTTAAAAACTTATTTTACTATGAAACTGTTGATTAGAATGACTTTTATCTTTGAAAAATATTCTGGAGTAACATAACAGAACGTAACATATGAAAGCATGAAAAATAGTAGAGATAAATATAACGAAGCTCCTGGATTTACAATTTCCAAAGGAGATAGAATATAAAAAAATGATGAAATATTTTTTATTCATAATTCATAAAAAAATATTTTATCATATCTATGAAGTAGATAAATGGAGGACAGTAGAAAAGGACTTGGGTTTGTTCATTATGAACTCTGATAACTATAATAAAATGTATTATTTGCAAAAAAAATTTTTAATTAATACTATTTTTTATAAAAACATTATATAATAGTTAAAATACTTTATTTACAGATATTACAAATAAATCGGTTATTAAAGTTTAGTATTCTTCTTTCTCAATGAAATCTAATTTAAAGTGAAGTATATTAAAGTCAATAACATACATTTTATTTCTTCTTTCTAAAATAAATTAGTATTTATAAAAGTATCCAATATTTTTTGTTCTATCGAATTTAAAATATCAAAAAAAGAATATTTTTTTGTTTTCAATGCTCCAACTCCAGCAAATAAAGTTAATAGTTATTTTCATATTTAAATTGTCTCCATATTTTATTCAATATTATCGAACTTACAAAAAAAGTTATTTTCTTTTTTCAAAACAAAAAAGTTTTAATTAATTTTTTTAATAAAATGTTATTTTCGACTTTTAAAATATCAGAGTATCATACTAACTGTTTAATAGCTATTTTATATATTTTAATTTTGGAAGTATTAAAGTACAACATCTAGGTGTGATGAAAACGGTATTGAATGTCGAAAATTACCTCTATTTAGCCGTATCTATCGATATTTTGCACAAGTGAAGCGTGTATTTGAGGTATCGAGGGTTCATATCGGTAGGCGATTTATCGGATCTAGGCGCCGCTCAATGTTTCTAACTTAGAGGCTCGATTCAGTGCGTATATATCGTCGACCTACTTTCACATAGTTTGCCTGTTGTCAGACGAAAGCCCGAAAAAGGAATCAGAAAAAGGGGAGCTACTTGTGTACATCTACCGCGAAAATGAGATAATTTCACCTTTTTTTTTTCGTTTTTTCTGTTATTCTTCTTGTTTGCTTCTTCTTTCTTTTTATTATTATTTACTTTACGATTTTTCAAGACGTGAAAGTCTTTTTGCCCTCTCTTTTATTTTTCTTCTTTACTTATGATTCATAAATCTAATAAACATTCTAGTCTACCCTCTTATGAATGAGAATTAATTAGTTTCTCTTTGCTTTATTGTATTTGTTTCAATTTTCTCTAATTAAAGTTTATCCATTTTCAGTGTTATTAATATTGTTAATGATTTACTTATACTTTGTCAACCACTCAACAATATTAACATGTGGGAGGTCAAGTGAAAAAAGTATACTTTATTATATTCAAGTGAAACAAGTCAATATGCCGGAAGATATCAACTATAAGAAGTATATATATACATATAGTATCACCTATCTGTGTATATACGTCAATAATTCATTTACATTTAAATTGATCTCTGTGAATCTTTGACCATACATATACACAATTCATGGACGTGTAAAGCTCATACATTTACAGTTGAAACTTTAGTTATGACCACTACTGTATATAATTTTATGGTATACTTAAATTAACATCCATTTTATGAAATTGACTATTTGCAGCTCTTTAAGATAAATTTACCAACACTTTAGCTAACTTATAACGTAGAAAAATTCCTTATATTACTTAGAATTTTCTTATTTTGATTTTTTTTACATTTTGTGTTTAATTACGAGAGTTTCACAGTTATTAATTATGTCATGGGAATTAAAAGATGTCATTAAATTTCCAATTTATAAGTTTTATTTTTTATATTTAAATTTTTGTACTTTTATTGTATTATGATTTTGATGTAATTATATTTTGTTTACTCTTCGTTTGAGCATCGTATATTATATACGAAACTGTTGGCCATTATTAAATTTTATACTCTTGTTTAATAACTTTCATGCCATCAAGCATCAGAGCGTTCATAAAATGGTAATTGTAGTAATTTCTTCTGATATAAAATTAATTCAATCATACAAGTAATTGAAAAATATGTGGTAATCTACGTTGATGAAATAAAAATGATAAAATGTTATAATTATTACGACAAAAAAGTATTATAAAACTTTTTGTTAACAATAATTAAACAGCATTTACTCAACACGTGCGATGTTTAATTTTTTTTAATGAAATGATATATTCTTCCGAACTTTACATACAAAATATTGTATTATGTCATCATTAATTAACTTAACAATTATTAAAATTTTTAATTAAATTGATGTAATGATTGACGACAGAAGGGAAACTTTAGTGATTTATCAAATACTATAACGTCAATTTACTGAAAATTGAAAAATCTTTTTTTAGATGATAGCTGAAGAAAATCGACTTCCATTCACGATAAAACTATCTCCATCGATTCCAATGATAGCACAAGCACTGGCTGAAATATTTTTGCATTTTCGATGGAAATCTGCTGCTATCATTGCAATCGGTAAGTAGATTTCAAATTTCTGTCTTTTGATGCATATTCAATAATTCATCTTTTTTTTGACGTCTACAAATCATAGCTAAAAGTATTATGAAAGAGTAGTTTTATTGAAAACTATTAAAATGTTGAGAGTTGTCATATTTATGTCAATGTTAGATATTGATAATCCACTAAAAAATCAGATTTATCAGTAAAATAATATAATAAATTTTTCAAGTATCTTATTCAATCTAATACAATACTCTAATAATAACTTTTTCGATTATTTTTATTGTCAAACAGATTCTTAATATTTATTTTTATTTTTTTAAGATAAAGAACCTTGGTCAAGCTTAGACCGGCTGATAGTTGGTAATTTAAGGAGCATTGGTATAATCCCACGACACCGAGCTCTTATTTCTTGGCATGCCACTTCTAATTCCCAGATTTATCAAACTCTTTGGTCATTCGAGTCAATAATTTGTAGAGGTAATTGATGTATTTTACTATAATCAGCTAAAAATAATTTATGATAATAGCATTAACCATGAATTAATCTAAAAAAATTTTAACAACTTCTTCTGTTAATGACACAACGAAATAGCTATAATTCTTTGTCTGCCGGCCGACGACCAAGAGTTGACAAATCGAGTGTTGATGCAGCTCCAAGCCATGCGGGCATCGCGACGTGACAATCCGTTTTTCTTACTTATCCATCCCGAAGGTCCCGAACTCTTTCTTCCTCGTCGAGAAACTCTCTTCGATAACTCTACCACTTCGACTACAACAACAACAACTGCTTCCACTGTTACTACTACTACCGTTTCAGCTACACCAGCTATAAGGGAAAGTCAAATCTCAATGGGAAAGTATCCAGATCAACAATTTCCCGAACAACTAAGTGAAAATTTGACGAATTTACTCGCTTTCGTACCTTTTGATAACAGGTTTATAGAACATATGAATTATTTATATATTAAAATCTAATTTATGCATCCATAAAATTTAACTAGTTTTTTAATGACTTTAATTTCGTTTAAAAAATAATTTTTTTTTTGCACAGAAATATATTTTAATTTTTCACGAGAACTTTGGAGAAAGTTTTTCTTTTTTGATAATGCAAAAATTATATATTTCTGTAGAATTTATCGCTTATATGAACTTTATAAAGGCTTTGGCACTTTTGGTATATTCTGGAGAAATAAAATTAAATGTTATTTCTGCGGAATACAAAGTTTTTATTTATTGATTGTGCAAAGCCATGAAAAAAATTTTAAAATGGGAAAAAAATGAAAATTATATACATTTTCGATGGATAAAACTAGAATTTTAAATCAAAATAAATTACTGTAGTCTAAAGTACACCTGAGGTTTCCAAGAATTCAATAGTACATCATTTTTTCACCCCGACTCGTTATTAATATTTTGTTTAAAAATATGAAATATCAATTTATCTTCTGGAATGCAAGCGAAAATTTTATAAATTAACTCTTCAATCAATCTTTTTTCTTTACAAGTTTTCAATTTATATGAAAATCGTACAGTTATTTGAATTACTTTTCAGATATAATATAGAGAAAATTTACAATAAAACAGAAACATATGTAAAGCCAGATACTATCGACCGTTTATCCGAATCATTTGAAATTCTTGCACATAGCAATTTAAGTTTGAGCATCAATAATAACAAACTGTTCAACTATGCTCTTCTATCATGGAGAAAAACTCGTGAAAAAAATGATATCGGATGGCAGCCTCTCGTACAAGTGATCGAAAATCGAGAGAATTTAGACGTTCAAGAGCTAGTCGAGAACAATTTGGCTGATGAAGAGATACTCGATGTCATTTTGTGTGCAAATGGACATGGATGTGATGGTAGAGTACATTTTTCATCCACTCTTTTTGAAACAAAACACTTCCTATGAATATATAATAGCCTCTTTGCTATTCCAACATCAGTAGATATTGGAGAAATAAGTGATCTACCAATTCAAGCCGTTCATATTGTAACCATCGTGATATCGTGTTTTTTTTTAACTCTTCTACTACTTGTAATCGTTATCCTGGTGAGAAGACATTTTTTGAATCGAAGGATGTCAAAAGGTCCATACAAAATTATTTTAACAGCATCAGATTTTGTATTTCCTCAAGTAGTTGATAGTAGGAGGGTAAGTATCATAAATTGTTGTCTAACTAAGTAATTAAAAGGACATCAATAATGAAATAATTGCTTAATATAGGTAGACGAAGGTATTGAGGCAATGTTATGCTGCTGGCTCCAGCAATTTCAAGAATTTGGTGGCCCTGAGGTGGAAAAGCCAGATTTGTTACAGGGGAGTGTTGGGTCCTTGAAACCTCACTTAAAGGCAAGCACAAGTAGCCTTGCTAGGCATACAATATTCAAAGATCCACGGGCACGATATAATGTGAGTGAATGGGATCTAGTTCTATCCACTTTAAGTATCCCCAATTAATACACGATACTCTATCACCAGTTCTTATCAATCTCGATTCTTTTAGGGTGACCTCGTTCAGTTGAAAGAACTTCCATGCCAGGGTACATTTGAGCTTAAGAGTAAAGCCATGGATGTACTAGTTATGGTAAAAGATTCATTACTTGTAATCTGAATCTACAACGTCTTCATTTATTTTGGTTAATTTAATTAGATCCACGGCTTAAGACATGAAAATCTCAACCCTTTAATCGGATGTTTAAACGAGCCGACTCGGCCTTGTCTTGTATACGAATATTGCTCACGGGGTTCTCTTGAAGATGTTCTTGTTCAGGATGAAATCAAACTCGACTGGTCTTTTAGACTATCTTTGCTCACTGATCTAGTTCGGGTAAGTCACTCTATTTACTTTCTCGTAATTAAAATAATTAATTATTCCATTACTTTCCTAAGAAAATTTATTTAAAGTCAATTAAAAATTCATTTCTGTAAAAACATCATTTTTTCTTCTTTTGTAAAAGAATACAAAGTAATTAAAATACTGTTTTTTAAACATTCATAGAAAAGTTTTTTGCTTTTAAAAGTTCAATAATTTACATAAAAAGATATTTAAAATTCTATGAGTGAGATACCCATTTATTTGATGAGTGTAAATTTAAGAAAAGTTACAGTCATTACAAGAGCTAATTTACTTGAAAAAATTTTTTTCACCAGTTTTATTTGATTTTATGATGAATACTTAAATAGTGTAAATTCATCATCTCTATAAAAGAACTCTAGAATCTGATGTAAAGTTTAAGCATGTTTTTATGTCTGCTACTTTCTAGTTAATAACTTGAAAATTTACTCACTTCAACAATTAGTTAAAATATTTCATCAATGTCGAACTTATTAGGAAATTTATCTTTAAGAATTTTCATAAACTATTTATCAATCATGTTTGAAAAATAAATAAAAATAAAAGTTTATGAAACAAATAAAATCATTATAACCTTTAGACAATAAATATCAATTTTCCAAACTTGCAGGGTATGAAATATCTTCATAGCAGTCCAATACGCGTCCATGGTTATTTGACCTCAAGAAATTGCGTCATAGACGCCCGTTGGGTTCTGAAGGTCACGGATTACGGACTTCCAGCTTTTTATGAAACGCAAAATATCATTCCACCAGCAAAGTCTGCAAGAGGTATTCCCTGGCAATCCTATTATATTTTCCAGTACACAAGACCGTCTCATTTTTTCAGACCTCCTTTGGACAGCCCCAGAATTGTTGAGACACACAGGATTGCGTAAAAAAGGTACTCAGCCTGGCGATGTTTATAGCTTTGGCATTATAATGCAGGAAGTTGTTGTACGTGGAGAACCTTTTTGTATGTTAGCTCTTTCACCAGAAGGTTAGTTAATTATTCAACTTAAAATTAACTAATTATAATCAACGTATCTGTTCAGCTCCAATAAATTTGTTAACTTCACTTATAAGTATTTTATATTAAACTTTGCATATCGAGTCACAATTTATGATTTTCTAATAAAATTTCCACCACAATATTACCATAATCTGACAGTCTCTACAAATTTAGAGGAGGAAATGTTCCACCCTTGGGTCAATGTCTGTGATATTACTTCGATAATATCTTAATTTTCATCCAATAGTCTTGAGTTTTCTCATTTTTCTGCTTTTAATATTTCTTATATTTTTCTTATCGCCCTCAATGAAGTATGATTTCATCTATTCCTATTAACCATTCTTTAACAACTCTTTCATCTATGAATACTTCTATTATCATTTTTATCGTTCACAAGTATTAATAAACTTTTCATACGTTTATCTTCAACTTTTTTATAATAAGTAATATTTACTGGTAACATTATTTTCAATTAAAAATCATTATTTCTAGATTTTTCTCTAACCGGTATTGATAAAGATTAAAAGAGATTTTATCTTTCATAACACGTTGTTTCTAAGGTCATTTACGAGAGTTACTTTTGTTAGATTGGTTAACAAGAGAGTTTTTTTTTTTTTATTTTCTCCATTATCAATCACCACGACAAGTATTTAACTGACACCTTATTTATAATCGAAATTAATCTTAACAATTCAACCGCAATGTCATGATTACATGATAGAATTCAATTGACTATTAAACGTATATCAATCAATTAAATATCATAGACAGGTGATGTCAATTTATTTTCATCTTATAATAAGAAAAAACTGGAGTAATGAATTTTAAAGATAAAAGGCGGGTGTTTATCCCTTATGATCTATGGGCAGATAACGAGGTTAATACATAATAAATTCTAGAACGTCTATTATAATGTACTCGTTTATATAAAAACTGAGATTTTATTGATTTTTATCCCCAAGACTATAATAATATCATCGGTAGCCAATGCGCTCATGCTTCAATGAACACTCGACCTCTTCACGGAATATACGTCAAGGAGATTCTACTCTTTTTAAATTTCCCAAGCGGAATGAATACCAATACGACGATTAGATGGTCATACCAATTATTCACCAGTCATGTTACTTGCTTTACTAAGGCATAATTAAATGTTTACAGATATAGTTGAGAAAGTAAAGAAACCACCTCCATTGATCAGACCGTCAGTGAGCAAAGGAGCTGCACCACCTGAAGCTATTAATATTATGCGACAGTGCTGGGCAGAAGCTGCTGACATGCGACCAGATTTTAATGCCGTTCATGACCTTTTTAAAAAATTGAACCACGGCCGGAAAGTCAACTTTGTAGACACCATGTTCCAAATGCTTGAGAAGTATTCGAATAATTTGGAAGAATTAATCCGGGAGAGAACTGAACAGTTGGATATGGAGAAAAAAAAAACCGAACAGCTTTTGAATCGAATGTTACCGAGGTATAATTTATTGAATATTATATTTATTATTAACTGTTTTTTAATAATTAATAAGATTTAGTTTTTATGCAGATTATTTTATATTCATTAATTTATTGGATTATGCAATGGATTAAAAAAAGATTTAACTTTAAATCTCTTTAATGTCTCTCAAATTTGATATTTAGATACGGTTTATTCATTTTTTTAGTAAAAATGTAATATTAAATATATTTTGACATCAAAATTTATCATATTGATTGGTCTATATTTTTTAAAGTGTTTTTTTTACAAAGATATCTTCAATGAGCATTTGCCAATCCAATTAAATTCCACTAAACGACCTCTTTAATTCAACTCTTCCGGATTAAAATCAATGAGAGCAACAGAAAGCTATTATGATTCAAATTTTTTTAACTAAATCAAAACCAGCGAGATTTCTAAAAATAGAATAAAAATTTATTATTCATTATAATGGAACAAAAATCATCAAAAAATTAATTTAAGATAATTCCATGAAATATTAATACCATGTTTTATTTTCAATGTACTCTGCTATTTTTTCTTTGATCATAATTTTTATAATTTTTTATTAAGTTCTGTAGCAGAGAAATTAAAGCTTGGAATGCCCGTCGATCCAGAGGAATTTGAAGAGGTGACAATATACTTCTCAGATATTGTTGGATTCACTACAATTTCTGCACATTCAACGCCCTTCCAGGTCGTTGATTTACTTAATGATCTGTATACGTGCTTTGATGATACAATAAATGCTTACACTGTGTACAAAGTGGAAACGATAGGAGATGCTTACATGGTTGTTGGTGGTTGTCCAGTAAAAATTCCAGATCATGCTACCCAAATAGCGACGATGGCGTTAGACTTGCTTCATCAAAGTGGCAAATTTAAAATACGACATCTTCCCAAAACACCGTTGAGATTAAGAATTGGGCTTCATACTGGTAAATGATTTTCATCATTTTATCAAAAATATTCTTGATTATAAAAAAAATGAAGTCTAAAGTAGAAAATCTTAAAATTGAATTATATGGTTCAAGAAATATAAGAAAAAAACTGAATTAAAACAAATTTTGCATAACATAAAATAAGAATGCGATTTCAATATTCAAAATAATTGATTTGTAGGTCCTTGCTGCGCTGGTGTAGTTGGGCTCACAATGCCTCGTTATTGTTTATTCGGTGATACAGTAAATACAGCTTCGAGAATGGAATCAACTGGTGCACCCTGGAGAATACATTTGAGTCAAGCAACGCGTGATCGTTTATGCCAAGCAGGTGGATACTTTATTGAATATCGCGGTTGCACTGAGGTTAAAGGCAAGGGAAAAATGCCAACGTATTGGTTACTTGGAAAACAGGGTTTTGACAAGCCGTTACCAACACCTCCACCCCTTGGGTAAGTCAATAAAATGGCCTTCCTATTATCGTAATAAAGATTTCACTACTAAATTTATTAACTTAATAAAAGTTATCTTCTATTTTTTACACTTTCAAGAGACGATCATGGGTAAGCAATTACATACATTTTTTAACAAAATTTTTCAATCAATAGTTTATTGTTAACCGACATAATTGGATGGTAGCGTTGAAAAGCTACCTAACAATCCAATTTATTTTTAAAAATTTTTTTTCAATGGTAAAATTTTTAAAATTTTAAAAAGTTTATTTGTCTCTTTAATTATTTTAACAAATAAATAAATTAACGGATTATTTTATTATTCAGATTGGACGAAAACCTGTTTATGGAACGAGCAGAAAGCACAGAGCAATCGGAAGCATCTGAGGATCGGTCTGAATGTTCAGCAGCAAGTGCACCTGTTATTCGTCATCAAATAATAGACGAACTAAATGCCCCTGTGATAGAGGAAGATGACAATAGCTCTGGAAAAAGCAATTGCTCTTCCATTGCTACCTGTATCATTAGTTCCAAATTAAATACCAGTTCCACTATGCTTCATGAAAGAACATCACTAAGAAAAGTTCCTGTATCAGTTCATGATGAAAGAAAGAAAGATAGTTTAGGTACGGGTTTACAAGGTCCATCTAACTTAGTATCTGAAGTGGTATCCATGCCACTGAGTGCAGTTTCAACAACTTCATTAAGCTCAATTTCCGGCACCACATTCCGTGGAGCTACCAGCAAGTATAGAAGAGTTGGGATTATTGACGAGGATGATCTCAGCTCGCCGTATAATCATTACAGATGTCTTTCACCTAACGAACACTACAGTGAGTAGAAAACTTTAGTTACAATATTATTGTTTATTATTTTGATTATATTTTACGATACATTACTTTATAATTCAATTTTTATAGGATAAATTTTTTTAATATTATTGATTATTATTTTGTTTTAATTACTCCTAATTATTAGGTGGTAAAACTGCAAGTGGTCGTTTTCTTAGACGGCAATTCAGTCTTGATCGTCCAGATGAACCGATCTCTATAATTTCTGATCAAATCAATATTTTAACTGGAAACAAAGTACCACCACGAATTTTCAAACAAAATAGCGCAGGCGCTGCTAATGATCTCGAAAAAATTGAAGAAGTTCCATTAACTACACCTACACGTCCTTCTCATCAGAATTATCGTCATGCGGCATCCATGTCACTTTCCGTAGAATCTCTCACTCTTCATTAAATTACAATAATTATCGAACAACACATTTCAACTACCTAATCAACTACCTCCCTCCAAAGCGATTATTTATCTAATCAATTTACAAGGTGATACCTCCTCCTCAGATTATGTCAACATTCAATTTCCATTTAGATGTTAGACACTCTAATTAATCCAATTTATAAGTAAATATCACTATTTTGTTAATCATTAGATGCGTACAGAATAATTCTTTATATATTTAAATTTTATGTGAATTCCACTGCTGGTCAGTTGTATTTAACGACATTTATTGATGGATGATTAATGATCTATTTAATTCTGATGAAATTGATGATGACTAATTACTCATTATATGGAATATCATTGAAGATATCACGAAATAAATAATTTATTGATAATTTCCAATACGTAATATTAATTAAGTGTGAATTAATACATTAAAGAGGCAGAGTGATTGATACTTGATCTAGTCATACAAATAGTTGAGTGACAATTGAATATTTCTAATTTCAAAGAAGATAAAAAAAAAGATTACGATTGAAATTCAAATATTGATCTTTAAATAGTTAAGAAATGTAAATATTAATTAAGAAAATTTGCATACGAAAATTCGTTTACTTTTGTTATTAATATTGTTATATATTCGTTATCGAATTATAATGATGAAATTAAAGCTTTTGATTAAATGTTTTTGATTTCATAAAAATTTCACTCTGCCTTTTAATAATTAAATGATATTATAAAAATATATATAATTGTCGAAAAACACCACATCAGTTTCGACATTCTTGTTAATCGTCAGTATTAATATACAATAATGGTACAATGAGTAAGTTAATTGTAAATAGTCCTTTTCTATCGGCCTAAATACTCCCTTAACCCCATACTTTGTTTTTTAGATTGCTATTTGGTATTGGAAAAAAATACTTTTCCAGTATACTGTATATTTAAATTTATAAAAAGTATAATATTACATATGTTAAAGTTGTAGATTTTATTTTTTTCAATATCTGGAGCAATAATATAATGAATAATAGTTAATGAAATCTTTGAAATAAGATTAATGTCAAAAATGACAATGTCAAAGTTGTGGTAAAATTTGATTAAAATAATTATATAATTGTAGACAGTTGTCAAAGTTTCTTTCTTGATATATAAATTAATTATTTATTCAACAACGTGATATAATAAGACACTGAATTAATCAACAAAAAAATTTAGAAAAAAATTATTCAAAAATCATATATTATATGCAAAAATAATATTACAAAACTTGAGATATGACAATCCATCGAATGACTTTGATGAACGAGACGATAATAATTGTAATATTTTACTATGTAAGATTAATAAGTTAATAGTTTCACGTTGATAAATTATTTCATTAAATATAGAGTGAAGTAAAAGTATAATTAAGTTAATGAAATAAATAATGATAATAATTAACAAGAAAAAATAATATAAATATTCTCAAGAAATATTAAAAATAAGATTTTTAAATATTTACATGTTGTTAAGAGTTTGTGTTAAATAGATACTCAATAATTGCTGATGTAAACAATGTTGTATAGATCAAAGTTTTTTTTACTCGTAACCGTAAGAAAATCAATTGAACTAAAGTATTTTTAATTAATTATTTATTTATTTATTTTACTTTTTACATTCGATAGAAAGTATTTTGTAATTTATAATAATTATTTGAATAATGTTTATTTTTTATTGTTTCTCTTCTTCCTTGTATTAAATTTAATAAGAAATATGTACAAAATTGTATTTTGTTCTGTAGGAGGAAAGTTTTCTTTTACCTTTTTAGTTTTTTACTATTTTCCATAATGTATGTATTTTTATGAATACCACTGATCAATAGAAGTAAGTATAAAAGACAAAAAGTATCGGTTAAGTTGAAGTGATAAAATAAAAGATCGATTTAAAAAAAAAGAATTAAACTAATGATATATGAGACTTAAAGTGAGCTTATTAATTTCTTAAAGAGAATGATATATAATTTATTCATTTACAAGTGTATCTATTAATGCACACGCTCAATTACAGCCCTTAATATTATAAAAAATACAGAAAATCTCTTTGAACATTAATATTATTTGAAATCGATTTTCTCTTATACGAGTTAAAAACGTATTTCATGTGAAATAGTATAGTATGTTACCATTTTTTTAAGGAACAATTTGACATGTATAATTAATATAATTAACTGTTTATTTATTGAATTGTAAAGGAAATTTAATTAGTAATAGAATTTTAATCGTTTACGTTTTTATCTGTGTTACTAGTTTGTATGTATTGGGGATAGAATCTTTAAAATACTGATGAAGTTTTGATGTTAAATAAACGAATAAATACAGAAATTTATTATAATTCGTCAACTCAAGTCTCTAATGAATATCGAAGACACTCGTATTGATTATAAAATGTTTTATGAATATCATATATTTCAATAAAATGAGACAGCAATAATAAATTGAAAAAAAAACTTTAAAATAAAGTGAAGAATAAATTAAAAAAATAAAAAATCGAAAAATTGAAGTACACAAATTGAATTTATTGATTCATAATTGTCTATTTCTATATCATTATCTTTGTACTATCATCATTTATTGGTTATTGATAGTAGTATACAATTGAGTGACTGTGGTATTTTTCATGGCGTGGGTAGGTACTGTAATAAATAGGTCTCTCGACGTAATAAGGTCTCTCTATGTGCACAGGACGCTCCACTATTGGCGGATATATATTCACAAACTTCGAACCATATTTGTAGCTAAACAATAGAAAAAAAAATTTTAATAGATGAATTGGCCAACTTTTTTAAAAATTGCAACTATTGATTCTTTCAAAAAAGTCGAGTGGTTTTTTTTAATAACGAATTTACGTTCTTTTATTTCTTCTTTCATCATTGAATTATGTGTATTTCATTTTTTATAACTTTAGTAGATACAAAAATAATCACACAAATCTTTGCTATAAAAAAATATAAAAGTGAAATACCCCTTTAAAGCACCAAGTCCGATGCCTAATCCAAAACCAAATATTCCAGCGCCCAAGATTTTTTTCTTTAAAAATAGGCTTCTTTTATCTCTGATGGAAGGCTTAGAAATTTTTGATAAAGATAAAATGCTCCTTACATCATCGTGAGTTGAGTGTGAAGGAATTGAAAAAGAAGAGCCCAACAGTAATAACAAAAAAAACCAAAGAAAAGTATAATTTTTGTGGTGCATTGTTTTTACTTTTTGTTCGATTCTGTTAGATGTGATTTATATGAAACGTAGTGACACTTTGAAGTTCTTTTAACATGTTCATACCACTTTTATATATCGTTGACGTTCCCATTTATGACTAGTTACCCGTCGTGCAAACAAGTAGTGAAGAAAGAAAGTAAAGTGTCATATCTTGAGTCATACTTTGTACTAATTACCTCCACATTTATTCGAACAAGTTAGTTAATGTTTCAACTCAAAAAACGTTTTTTTATTTATTATTATTTACTTTTCAAGTCTAAAAATTTTTTACATATTCTCGCAATAATTATTTATTACTTAAACAATTTTTTTTTTTTAATTCGAAGAATTCGATTTTGGATTTTATTCTGAATTTTTAATATATAACAGATTTTTAATAACAATAACACAAGTTGGAACTGTCAATTTATTTGTAAAAAATACATGTATCATTCTATTTTAAATTATCCAAATTTTAATACATTTGATACATGGTAGGTTGTTCAGCATCAATTCAGACTGACGCGTATCTTTTTTTTATTTTAGGATTCAGACAACAGGAGTATAAAAGAGGTCAATAAGCTTTTTATTATTCTTCGTTTGAATTTTTTAAATTCAACCAATCCAAAATATGGGCGGGTAGAAAAAATCAAAATTCAAATACTGACATCTGATGGATTTTTGACTTATTGACTTAAAATACCTCCACTTTTTCTTGTTATCCGACTGATTGACCTCTTTTATCCTGATACTACCTGAATATCAAAAATCATTTTTCTTTCTAAAATCTGCGATCTAAGTGGTTCCGTAGTCGGTGAATTAAGTTAAATTAATTTTTTTTTTAGATCCAAATTAATAAGATAAGGTTTTTATGTTATCAATAAGCTTTTTAATTAATTTAAATTCTGATAATTAAATATCTTTTTGTTCAAGTTGATTACTTCAATTGTAATTATTGGAGTATTATTAAATTTTACGATGAGAATGAAAAAAAAAGAACTTAAAGATGGAACAGAAAGTTTAAAGGAAACAATAGAGTAAGATCATCTTCATACATAAAAACAATTTATTTAAACAGAAAATTTTACAAACAAAACAATAATAACAGAAAATTACACTTACACTTAAAGAATGTCAACAAAGGAAGTGATAAGAAGTGATAACACTCTTATTTAATATATTCTATCGTAAAAATGAAAAAAAATATCATAAAGGAATTAATTAGATTTAAATAACAAATTATGGGTATCCGTAAACGGGTGATGGCTCGGGTTGTGACCAGGGTCCATCATGTATGATGTGGGACTTCTCTACCGGTCTTTCCACTATTCTCTCGATAAATACTGGTTTTTCAACATATTCCACGTACCTAACAGGCGGTGGTGGAGCAGCAACATACACATGATGGATATCGGGCGAATGCTGGTGTCCAACTTTATAACTATACATAAAAATATCAAAGCCAATTTGAATAAATGAAAAAAAAAATTTCTGATTTAATTGGAAAGAATGTAGAATTACCCTTTAGCAATTCCAAGGCCAAATCCAAGCAGTCCAGCACCTAAGAGTTTTTTCTTTAAAAACAGAGTCCTTTTGTTTCTAACATGAATGTCTTCAGGGTTATTTCCCAAGTGTGGGCTTACTTCTGAATCATTTAGCCCATTCATTTCTGTTTTTGCCCACGTGCTCATCCAACAGAAACTCATTATCATTACTAAAGTCAAGGTATTCATCTGAAAGTCATTTTCAAGTGTAAATAATAATAATAGAGATTGACAATTTCAGGTAAAAAAATAATTTTTATAGAATACAAAACATTTTAAATTTGAATAAAAATATTTTATAGAGAAGAAAAAAAAGTATTTGCTATTGCTTCTTCCCTTTTTTTGGGAACTAGGCCATTTATTAAGAATGATTATAAAAGAGTCGAAAAATTTCTCTTTAATTTTGTGTGAAGCAAGAAATTAGATGAAATTTCTAAATTTACTATAACAATTTTATAACTCTTAGCAAAAGTATTAGATTGCTATAAAAGAGATTGATTGCTCAATTCTCACATTAAAAATCATGAATCAAAATTAAAAATATATGTGAATTTGAAAAGTTTTACTAAATCATTTAATAAATGAAAGTTCAATAAGTAGAGTTAGAAATTTGGTCAGACTTAACAATTAAAGTTCCTTTCAAAAAATTATAAGGTACAAAGAACGGATTAAATTTAAATCAGTAACAAGATAACAACATAAATAAAAATAAATTTCAGTGCTTCACTAATCGTTATTATTTGTTTCTAGTTAAAATAGGAAAAAAGAAAAATTCATCCAGAAATGTCAAAACTGTAATGCAGAAGAACAAGTTTTCGTTATTCTTTGAATCTTGACAGTAAAAGGAGATTGTTACAAAGTAAAAGTCATGCTGGATTTTCCTTATTTGAATCTGCTATATTTATCCGGATATCTATAATTGGTTTTTCCGAAACTTTTTAGTTTGTATAGAAAAAAATTAAAAAGAAAACAAAATTTACTTTCGTTAATCTTCGAAATATGTGTATTATTACTTAACGACTGATTCAAAAGTCTGTCGTCGATGAAGAAGAAATATTGACAAAAGTAATAAGTTGTGGTAAAATAAGCCTTGAGGTATGATTAGAGTTCATATGTTTTCAGAAATTTATCGCAAGTTTCACATTTATCTCAACTTTAATAAGTAGTTAAAAATATTATTGCTTAACTGGTTTATATTAAAATTCAACTAATTTCTGAATTATCTCACCTTGTTAATTAATAACTGATTCTTTCTTATACTACACTTGCACTTGCCACCAAGTTTATAACATTATAGGAAGGCTATTGGATTTTATATACCCGGCATTGCTATCCCTACCCATTATATCGCGAAATCGCAACTAAATAATCGGACACGTATATGAGGGGCATGGCATGTTGCGACAGTCGATTCTTAATTTCGATTCCGCATTGTCCCTCAAACATAGGTTTTGTGACATAGAATGAAAGTTAGTTCGAAGATTACGAAAAAAAATATGCCTAATCTAGATCATATGAGCTTCTTTTGCTGCTTTTTTTCTTAAAATAATAAAACAATGAATTATTTAATTTCATTCATATTTTGATAAAAGCTTTGATCACGTATTAAGATTATTTGATCATCCGCAGACAAATTAAAGTCTTCAAGAATGAATTAAAATCGTGCTAGGAAACAAAAGTGACCATTGCGAAAGTCACGTAGAAATTTGTGTGCACGCACTTTCCATATAAAATCATTCTTAATCATCTCTAGACTATCCATCTACTTTTATATGACTACACCAATTCATTTTGTCATTCTATACACGAATGTTTGTTTGATCGTCACTGCACGCTACATACCTATTGTTATGAGAACCATTGATTGCCTAATATGTTTGATAGTTCAATTAGGTATAAGGAAGAAAGTGAGAGTATTAGAAATAACAAGAGAAAGAGTGTTTGCATGAGCCTAGAAAATCAGATTTTTATTTCTATCATAATAAGTTAAAATAATTCAAGTTCAGTAGAGGAAGTAACGGTTATTTAGGAAGAATGTGAAATGTGTTGAACTAAAAAAAAAGATAATAATAAAACTATGAGAGTCAGCGATAATAAATTGTAAAAAAGATGGGATTTTTTTTCTCTTTTTTGGCCATTGCCTTCGTTTACATTTGTTTGAGAAAGAAAGGCTTATAAACTGTGATAGAGGAACAAATATTATTTAAATATGGAAATGATGTAACGAGTAGGCAATTAAATTAAAATAATCTAGCTGATATCTGTAAAAGAATTTAAAATAAGATGTAATATAAAATAATCAATAAAATATATTGAAAACGAGTTGTCACTTTATTTTATTATAAATATGAATAAACATTACATTCATTAGATGTATTATTTAGTCTTGTGTTATTTATTTAAATTATTAGAAAAATTCTAAATTAGGCAGTACATTGAATTAAATACAAACTTATTTTAAAATATATAATTGGTCGACAACACGTCCAATTCATTTTGACCTATCAGCAAGGTGGATAATCGTAATTGTTAGCATATCCATTTCCACGATTGTATCCTCCAGAGACTCCACCGTAAATTTCATAAGTTTGTCTAGGATATGCCGACAAATAAACTGGATATACTCCTTCCCCTAGATTGGCTCCACCTCCACTGGGTGGATAATATCCACCAGATGGTGGAGGATAGTAACTTGGATTGTATCCACCTCCACCATAACCACCGCCGTAACCTCCACCGAGTTTGCTAAGAAAAAATTAAATCATTTTATTAATACCAGAAATTTTAATCAAATTTTATTTCAAATAAGGAATTGCTTAAAAATCTAATTCTAAAAAATCTTATACTGATTCTAATGATATCAAAATATCATCAATTTATTTATTAGAAGTTTTGTTAATAAATAAATAAAAAACTTACGATTTAAGTTTATAAACTGCTCCACCAGCAAGTCCACCTCCAATAAGACCAGCTCCAGCTCCTAAAATTAAAGCTTTCTTTGCTAAGAGAGCTCCACCAAGAAGTCCAAGTTTAGCAGCAAGTATTCCACGTTTTTGTCTTGAATGTTGAGTAGAAATTTGTGATGCCTCTGCATCTAGATCTAGAGGTTCGATGGCAGCATATCCAACCACCATAACAGTGGCTAACACCACGAATACCCGCGTGATCTGCATCTGAATAAATTTGATCACTTTTATTAACAGTAATAAACTCACATAAAATTATTAACACTCATTACATTTATTTCAACAATTATCAACCTTCATTGATAAACGTAAGTTGAAAATTGTTAAAAGAAGTAGTAATTAAATACTATAAAAATGAGTTAAATAGTTATTAGTGATAGAGATACGAACCTTAAGGAACGTATTGGAAAATGACAAGTTTAGACAGTCGAATATGACTTTTATAGTAGTACGATGAGTACCCCTACCATCTAGGTAACGTGGACATCAGGATACTTGCTACAAGGTCATATTCAATTCGTTGCGATTCTAAAAGTCTCAGCACCTAGTGGTCCATTCAGTTCCATCAACTTCTCTATTCCCCACCATCTAGAACCTTGAACTCGAAAAATTCTTTCCCAGAAATATCGGGCGTTCCCACTTGCTTTACTCCATCGTATCCGGTGCTTCATGGATCCTTCGAATAAATTTCAACATTTGCTATCATCTTTTTAATAACAATAATCTTATTTTCAGTCTCTTCATCATAGTAATGTTGTAATTAATATATCAATAAAAGAAAAAATTATATTTGTTAGTAAAAAAAAAGCTTTATGAAATAAATGAATAACGAACCTTATTTATAATTTGTCATTTTATTAGTACCATTATTTGAAGCAATTATAGATCTATAATATAATAAGTCTACTAGAATCGTATATGATTCGTTAGGTTGATTAGCGTTACTAATGATCTCATCGAATATGTCGGAGGTAAGTAACCGAAAGAACATCCGGGAATTCTCTCTTGCCTTTTATTCTTTATTGACATGAATTTCTGATGATAAAAAAAATCACATAAATTCGTAATTCTACGCATAGCTTGACTCCGCTATGTCTACCTGTTAAAAACTTGTTTCTGTTTTATTTTAAGGCATTAGAGTTCGTAAAAAAGAGTGATATTCAAACATCCTATTCTATACAGTGTCGCAATGTCTTACGTAATTGTCATAAAAATTTTTCTCAAAAAAAAAAAAAATAAAATAACTCGTTGTCGATTTTCCCATTGATATCTTGTATTATTTCCTCTTTAATTTTACTGTATTATGTATGAGGAAAAAAATTTGTATTAGCATAATTTCCGAAAAAATTTCACACTCAAAATAACAGTTTATTCCAGATTTTTTTCCATTTGTTGGATAAATTATTGAATAATACTTTGATCAATAAGAAATTCGATTAAAATATTAACAGCAAATTAATATTTACACTTTATAGAAATTCATGAAGAATTTTTTCATCACTAAACCATTTTCCAACAATTAATTGGCTTAATTAGCATTCTAAAAAAAATCATTTATTAAAGAACAAGTCTCATTTTTCAACGAATCGAAATCTGATTATGTCAGAAGTTTGGAGGCTTACTATATATGATTGAAATCAGCTAACTAAAAGAAAAACATAAATTAAAATAAAAGACTTAAAAAAATAGCGAAAATAACTTAGTTTTTCTTTATAAAAAAAGATGATTTCATTATTCAAATTTATTATAAATTTTTTCTTTTAAAATATTTTTATTGTGGTTCAAAGCCATTAGATAATATTCAAGTGGAAGGTATTGATGAAAATATGGAAATCATGAACAAAAAGAAACTAATGAAGAAGGAAAAAAAGAAACAGGATTTATTAAATAAGAAAAAATTATTGAAGCAGCAACAATTATCACAAGAACTAAAAATAGGAATATCTAATGCAAAACGACTTCGATGTATTTGGAGAAAAACGATGAAAGAAATGAAGATTCCAGAACTAAGAATGAATGTAATAGTGACTAGAGGCACATTTGATCGTGCCCTTGACATTCAAGATTACTGGTAATAAAATTTATTCAATTACATTTTTATAAAAAAAAAAAAAACATTTTTACACTAAAAATATCTAAAACTAAATTGATCAAATAATGGAATATTTTTTTGTTCACATAAAAAATTATTTACTATTCTTAGTACTTTTTTCTTTGATAATTAACTTTTGATAATACTAATTGATGACAATAGTGGTAATTTATTGGTGGAATGTTTGAATCAATGTGAGGAACAGCATCAGAAGAACGTTAATCATCATATGGATATAGTCAAAAAGTTTGAAAGAATTTATGGTAGCAGATTAGAAGCCGCAAGCAATTTTTACGACTACAATTTGGGAGAATTAATTGAAGAAACCAATTCCGAACTAAAAATAATAGATTTTCTGCAATATGATGATGAAATTTTCTTAGAAACACTCATATTTCAAGGAAAAACTCAACTGAATGATATATTAGATAGTCTAAATAGTGACAATTTCTGTATGTATATACATTCATATTCAATCATATAAACAAAATTTAATATCGAGTTGATTTAAAATGAAATAACAAACGTGTTTTGTGTTGTAATTTATAACATTATTACGCATGATCTTTAGACAAACTTGAGAATCTTCAGAATACTAGTAACAACATGACAGAAATAGCTATGGTTCACCTAGCGGAAAATATATCATCCACGTGGGAATCTTTGAACGCTGAACTTTCCAAATATTTAAAAGGTAAAATAAAGTGTGAATTGAAAGCAAATATATAACGAGATACATAAAAAATTATGTTTTTATACAGTTCTTATTAACATAAATATTGCATAAAAATTAATACCTACCTCTCAAGTTGAAGTGTATAGAGATTATTTCTCTTTAATATAAAAAATATTTACATTTTTTGAGAGATATGTCTCCCACTTAATATTCTTATACGATTCTTTTGAAAATTTAAGTAATTATCATTCAAATTTTTCTAGACATCATAAAAAATTCCTCAATTATAAATCCTGAAGAATAGATAATTAATTTAAACATCGAATTATACCGCTGTCTTTTATTAATTAATAATTCACTATTGAAATATCTTATTAATATTCTGGTTGCTATTTCAGCTTATGATGCTCATAAAAGTATATTGAAAAAAAGTCTAAACACGTTTTTTATACAATAAAAGTGTAACAAGGATATAAATGAATGTTTATTTAACTTAATACAAATTAGCAGTTATATATTTGTACTGAAAAACGTGTAAATGATAATTTTATTTAATAAATTGATGATGACAGAAATGGATTTATCATTTTTTTTAGATATTGAAAATCGACAGGTATCTTATTTATATCTTAAAGCAAAAGATGATAAGAATAGAGAAAAAATTACTCAACAATTAATAGAAACCGCTAAATTGATTGATTTCATATTTAACATTAAAACTAAAATTATTAGTTATCGAGACAAATCCAAGAAAAAAATTACAAACATAATTGTGAATCAGTATACTCCAATTCAACGAACAAAAAAGTTATTAGAAAAACAATTTGAAAATGGTAATTTTGATAAATAATAATAATAATAGTTCGAAAATTATTAATAACATATTAATGTTAATTACAGAACAAACGCGAGATAAATTACAATTAAATTTACTTACAAGTCAACATAATTCAACTATGAAACATTTAGAAAAGATAAAGGAAAAGTCTTTCAAAGTTTTATTTTTAATTCAATCATGCCAGAAATTACAACTTAATCAGGAAAAATTATATCCTATTGAAGTTAATCAAGTAAACATTGGATAATTATAAGATATAAAATATCTGTAATAAAAAAAATAATTTATTTTATTAGGTTGAGGACAATTTTGATTATTGTGAATTTCTTTGGTATCGAGTAGCATTAGCAAATACTATCATGTACGAATATCAGTGTGAAAAGAAACAATTACAGGAGGAAAATAAATATTTGCAAGAATGTGTAAAAAAGCGAATGAATGAATACTCTTCGTAGTAAATAAATCAATAAAAAATAGTTTATAAATCTTTTAATATATATAAATTTATTCCTTACTCAATATTTTTAATAATTAATTGCTTATTATAATCATTTGCACTCTGTACAAAAGGAATTTTTATTTCAATTCATCATCATTATCGCATTTATTCTCAATTTAAATGCTTATCAGTCATACTTTTTAAGACGCACACAGTGATGATTAGAAATTTACAGCTTACCTGCATCATTAAACGTAATTTTTCTACAAAATACATGCGTTATGTTTAATGCTGTGATGAATATATCTATCCATTAAACAGGGTCATCTTGATTAAACTCATTGATCTATTGATCGAGTGATGCTTTTAAATGAAAATGAAATCATGTGATGGAAATGTCAACTCACAATCTATTAACGAGTAACTTTTTGATTGTGGGCAATGTGAGATAATAGTTTACTGCCTGCCAAGAAAGTTACGACTCCGAGACCTAACAAATATCGTAATGTAACAAACATATTTAGTTTCAACCAAAAAACGCCGAATAGAACGAAGATACCTGGAAAAACAGAAAAATATTAGGTCTCTATGTCATTTTTAATCGACTTTATATTTAATAAAATTATTGTAAATGTCGTGAGGATCGGGCTACAATTATAACTAATAATTTGTTATAATTGTGAAAAACTCACGCATTTCTTTACGCCCAAATTACAAAAATTAATCAAAATACTTGATTAAATTTTAAAGATAAAATTTAGGCAACAATTAATTAGAAAGATACGTGTTTACATAAAAATTCTTCCAATTAAATTATTTACTTAATGATATAATTTTTAGTACTTACTTCCTAGTCCAACATGGAATAAAACTGCACTAAGCGAAAACGGAAACTTGGCAATATTGACATCTAATTTTGCCCATAAAATCAACAGCAATAAAAGTGGAGCTAAACAAAGTCCAGTAAACAAATTTGATACGAAAACAGGTGGTCTTTTTTCAGGTTCACGGAACATATGCTAAAATAAATAAAACTAATTAAAATAATGTCAGTTATAGGATTTTCAGTGTTTTTCGAACCTATTGGCTAATTAATTGAATTTCATATAATTAGATTGTCAGCTCATTAATTGTAATTAAACAAATGTTTAATTAATGTCGAAAAATTATTGAGCTTTTAATTTTCCAGTGATATGGAAGTAACAATAATATCAATTAATGCTACCAACAAGCACTGGGATGCTTTGATGATCAATTAAAAATAATTGACTAAAATAATCAATGAAGTACTTGTTATTTACCTTAATCTCTGATTTAGGAGCGTAGATATTTGATTTTTTTTTTAATCCTTCTAATTTACTTATTGTTACGGCATCAGTTCCTGTTGGTTCAGGGAATTTGAGACCAACTACAGCCACCTCCCATTGGAATGGATTACTGATGAGTGCATCACCGATAATGAGATTAAGATGATAATCACCACTTTGAAAACCAAATGTTTGAGCATCACTTCCTACAGGCATGTCAAACTTGTAAACATTAGAGGCATCTGGTTCAGCTACAAAGATAACTTCACGAGGCTGTTTATCTTCTCCAGGCTTAACAATTGCTGATAATCGTACAAAAGCCTGATGAACACGCATTGGTTTATTATTTGCAGCATCTCGTAACATAAATCTCATTACAAGTTTTTGTTGGGAATCAGCTTCAATTTTGTGAGCTAGTTTATTAGGATAGGCCACTCTGTGAAATGAAAAAACAATTGTAAGAATCAAAAATATAGTTTTTTACGAATTTTAATTAATGAAAGTAGAAATTGCGTTCCCGATATTTCTTTTAGTTTAAATAATTAACTTACTTGAGTAATTTAGGTTGAGTTGTTTGATCAGCATCACCTGTTCCAATTTCCAAGTAATCAACTTTTACCTCTGATAAAACTTTAACTGTAAGAGTGTTGGAAACCTCACCGGCTGATACGTTTATTTTATAGAAACCACGTTGTGGTTTAATTTCCATGAGATTCATGGTAAATAGAGTCCTAGTAACAAATTTTAATAAGGTTATTGTAAACACGTAATATGTGCATAAAGAACTTATTGAAAAAAATACAATTTATGTAAGCTTCAGAAATAATATTGTTTGTTGAGACATTTTTTTTTATCTAATATGATAAAAATATAACATTAGTTTCAACAAGAGTAATTTACCCCAAGCGTATAACCAATTTTAGAGTAATGAAAAAAAAATCGGCAAAAAATTGGGGATTTTAGAATTCATTTTTCTTTGGAATATTGGAAAACGATTTATGTTATGAACTTACTTATCATTGTCTGATGATTTGAAGTTTTGTTTAGTAAGTACAGCTGTATTGTCATCAACTCTTGTTACTGAATTTGCAATAACTGTAGGAATATTAACTAAAGGATTGCCAAGAATATCACAAACTCGAATGCTAACAAATGGTTGCTTAGTAGACACAACATTTCCACCTTCAGCAAGTGTTGTACAGACTGGCTGGCTAAACTCGTTATAAGCTAGCATCTTGAGAGCAGAAAGCAGCTTGACTACGCCTTTCAATGTTTGAACAGATCTTCGAGAAATTAAATAGTTTGTCAGTTTGACAATTTGTTCTGCTTTAACGGGGGGTGGTGTATTTTGGGAGTTTGACAACTGTGCGATTCCATTAACAACGAGACCTGAAATTATATTGATATGCATTAAAATTTTTGCAAAAAACTCTGAATTATTGTATAAATTTTGAAGCTTATATCAGTAGAGTGAAATTTCTCCACAGGTCTTACAGAAGAACGAAAGTTTTAATTAACATCATTTAATAAACAATATCATAATAAAATTTCCAATAAAACAATAAAAAATAATCACAAGCTTACTGGTTATAGAAAGTCCACCCTCGAATTGTAAGTAACGACCATTAATTTCATCAGCTTGAATCACAGCATCTTCAATTTTACTTAAAGCAAATTTACCAGCAGGACCAAGAAGCGCAGCGATATGAAATGCATAACCGAGGCTGTAAAAATTTAAAGATTGTACTATAATTTTTTACTGAAATGTATAGTTATTAATTTTTTTATTTACTTTTGAAGACAGTCATCTTTTTTTAAAGCAGCTTGTACCATATTGGCAATTTTAGTGGCCTTCGAATCTGGTAATGGTTGAGAAAGCTGAACATAAGCAGATAATGCATAGTATAAGTCTGGAATAGTTGAAGTTTCTTTATCTATAGCTGTATTTATCTTTTTTAATAAATAAGCAGTTTGAAGAGGTGGACATGATCCTAAGGTTTCCCATGTAGAAACAATGTAATGAATGTTTTCTAAAGAAGTTTCATTTCCACTGTTCTTCACCAGAAAATTACAGATTTCCTGAAACATAAATAAAATTAATTTATATCGTATGATGTAGAAAAGCTTCCAGAACACTTACAATATATGTATATATTGTGTCAGAAAGACTAATCAAATTAATCATCATATATCTAAAATGGATATTTCATCATATTATATGTATTCAATATAATTTACTTAAGTTAATAAATTTAAAAATATTCTTACAGATGTTTTAGGTATTGCTTTTCCAAGCAATTTATATCCAAAAGTGGCATAGTGCACTGAAGGAATATCAGTGAGTTCGAATCCTGGAGTGAGAACATTTTGTAACCTAGTTACATCAAATTCTCGAAGATATGATTCTGTTGACATAACAGTTTCAGAAGAAACTAAGGTCCAACTTATCAACGCGATCAAGGTGATCCATCTCAAGGAGACTAAAAACAAATTAAATAAATTTTTAGATAAAATCATATTTGTTAAAATAATTTTTACACAGTATAAATATAAATTTAATTCTGTTTGTGGATAAAAAAAAAACAATTTACTATTTTCCTTTAATCAATAACATATTTCTAAGCATTACAACAAAAGCCACGTTTTTTTGACTGAATGCCCGTTCACGTGCTGACCACTTCATTGAGCATTTATTGTAATTCTTAATTATGAATTTACTTTGAATTAATATTATTATACATACAATAATTTTTATTTTTATACTCACTATTTTTCATGATGATAGAAAACTATTTAATTAGCCGGTCGCCACGTCGGCTTCTTTAACAAAATGGCTATCACATTGCGCGTGTCAAAAAAACATGGATGACGACGAAGACTTCTGGAACAACAAAAATTAATAGAGGACTCTGCATGTTATTTTTAGAACATCACAAGCGCCGTCTAAGTGCGCTCAATATAAATTTTCAAACTTAACAATTGATTATTTGCATAATTAAAACCATATTTATAAATAAAATTAATTACAAATTAAAAAGCAGTCATTTTTCTAATTGATTACGGTTTAAATCTGAGTACATAGTTTCACAATAGAATTCTCATATTATTTTAAAAACCATTATTGCTTCTGTTAAAGTAGATCATAAATATTACAACAATAGATTGTTCAATATTGACATATATATAGCTGTTTCAAACCTTTTCCAAGCTATTTGCTTATTTAACATTTGATAAGAATAATAGAGAAACAATTCTTAAAATTTCTTTTGGAAAGTACAGTAGGTCGTATTTGTTGAGGTTTTATAAAATATTTAGATCATTGAAAATTTGTGTTCCCAGTAAATGTCACAATGAAATTTTTTACACAGAAATACTCTGTAAATAATGATAACCACGGTATATAAATTCTTACAGAATTCGATAATTGCTGTCAGTAAAATTTTATTCTTTTCGTGGACTTGATTAATAGGTTGAAGCTAAATCTATAAAAATGTTTTCATTACGAATGATGCTCTTAGCAGGACTTGTAATCTGCTATGTTAGTCTGGTAAGATCACTTTAAAATATCATCTATTTTTTGAACCATAAAATTTAATTAGATTTAATTTTCCAGATAACCACTCAAGTTGATGCTAGAGCATCACCACAAACCTTATTGGGAGGTCTTCTCAGAAGTAAAGGTAAAATTAAGAACGCTGTGAATCAAAAATTAGCCAATACTGTGGACAATGTAAGATTATCAATGCATATTTTATTTTCGTATTATACTGTAATGTATTGTTTATTAATATTTGTTTTCCGATTCTGTAGATTGCTGATAAAGGTAAAAACATTTTAGATAAATTTAAAAATAAATTAAGCATTTTTGGAAAACCGTCAGAAGAAAAACCATCAGATCCCAGTGAAGCTCGTCCTCTCAGTGGAATAAGAAAATGGATCAATGATAGATGGTCTGCTAACAGAAATACTAATTCTTCAGGTGAAAGAAAACCGATTTTTGGTATAATTGTCATTGGAGGTTCTAGAAAAGATAGTACCACCACAGAAGCTCCAGAAACAACCAAAGCCCCAATCACTACAAAAGCTCCAATTAAAATAAAATCACCCGCTACTACTAAAGCTCCAGCTTCTTCAACTACTGCATCAACAACAACTTCAACAACCAAAGCTCCAGCTCCTTCAACTACTATATCGACAACAACTTCAACTACCAAAGCTCCAGAACCTTCAACTACTGCATCGACAACGACTTCAACTACTCCATCGACAACAACTTCAACTACCGAATCTACTACAACTTCAACTACCGAACCTACGACAACTTCAACTACCGAACCTACGACAACTTCAACTACTGCATCGACAACAACTTCAACAACCAAAGCTCCAGCTCCTTCAACTACTATATCGACAACAACTTCAACTACCAAAGCTCCAGAACCTTCAACTACTGCATCGACAACGACTTCAACTACTCCATCGACAATGACTTCAACTACTGCATCAACAACAACTTCAACTACCGAATCTACTACAACTTCAACTACCGAATCTACTACAACTTCAACTACCGAACCTACGACAACTTCAACTACCGAACCTACGACAACTTCAACTACCGAATCTACTACAACTTCAACTACCGAATCTACTTCAATTTAAATTACTGCATCAATAACATCAACTCCTGAACCAACAATCACTCCAATTATCAAAGACGAAGATCGACTAGTCTCAGAGGCAGCGTATATGCAACCGTAATATTGACAAGACGAAGATCAGTGGTCACCACAAATATAATGGAGAAAGTATCTTTGGTGGAGATTAGATTTTAGGCAGTCTTGATTCCAAAACAAATAAATATTTTATTATTCGAGTGTTGCATATTTATGTTGATAAAATCAAGTTCAGAACATTACAATTTCAAAGTTAATTAAGAGTGCTTGAAAGTGTATAATTACAAAAAAATATATTTTATCAAACTTATATTAATAATAAATAGTCAGAATCAATTTACTTTATGTATATGTGTAATTAATATGTTTTTTGTACACAGATATTACAATAAGCAATTAGAAAATAAAATTATACATTAATTATAATTTTTATGTGATCATTAATATACATATACTTGAAATTTAATGATACATGTTTATAAATTCGAAAACTTTATTACAAAAATGACAGTAAACATAAGTGCTTCGTGCTTTGTTTCGAATAATTGACAAACTACACTTGTTCGCGTTATCCATCTTACTTATATTATTATATCCTGATTAGCTAGCTTACTTTTAAAAAAAAATTATTAAAGTATAACGCAGATACAGTAGAAATAATCAATTATATTGTTCTATTAGTTTATTTTAAATCAATCAATTTTATTACACCCATTACTTTTCTTGAGCATTTTTTAATGCGGAAGAGAAAAAAAAGGATTTGTAGATACTTTTTTTTTATATTGTTTCTACATGGAAGTATATCTGATGATGAGAGATGCTGCACCATTGACAATCAATTATGCATTTCAAACATTAACAGATAAAATCATTACTACTTCTTGAACTGGATATAAATCAAACCAAAAATCATTATACCAAATTTTAATTATAATTATTAAAATTTATTTATTAATAATAATTACTACTAAATTGATTATTGTGTGCTTATTTTATACACTGCTTAGAATAAATGCTTTTACATCATTGTTTTTTTTTAATTATTTATTTTTACTCTCATATTATATTTTTGTGTATATAATTATAATATACGACGATTACTATTATCATTTGATTTTTTAGACTTATTGTTTTAATCATTATCGTCAATTAATTATTTAAATGGACTTATTAATTTCTTAGTACATTTTTTTATTAAAAATTTCTACATGTCATTTTCAGATGAAAAATAAATGGAAAAATGACTAAAAAATCATTATGAAGTTCTTAACCATGAAAATGAATTATACAGACAATTATCGCATTGATAAGAGTATATAAATGTAATCAAATAAATTGAATTATAAATATTTTTCAGTATATACACAGCCAAGTTTTCTTTTCAAATTATACCTACACGGTTTTTACTTCATTTTTTCTCACCTTAACATTTCTTTATACTTTTTATTTATTTCAAAATTAATTTCCTTTCATTAAATTGTCTTACAATATTTTGTCAAAATATGTAAAATATTTTATAACAACCGATCTGACTTCCTTGAATGATTCGTCTTCAATGATTATTAATCTTCATTTTTTTTTAACTATTTACAGACAAAAACTAACTTTTTTTTCAGTAAGCATAAAAAAGATATATAATAAGTACTGTTCATAACTGGGTTGTCTGCTACTAACTTTGGTATTTACAAAAAAAAAACAATCATACAAATGCTATTATTTTATGCCATTTTTACTCTCATGGCAAAATAGCCTTTCAATTTTTTTAATTAAAAAAAGTAATATTAAACATATTTTCATCGTAATGTCCATTTTTTCTATTTAGTAAATAACTACTGATTACTTTTAATTCGCTTTTCATCAACATAAAAAATATATAATCATTATAATCTTCAGAAAAAATTTGCATTCAATTATCTTTAATCCGTAGGTCCTTGACCCCATCTTGACTTTGTTCTTGGAGCTTTAGCAGTAGATAATGAGCTGGTATCATCATCTCCCTTGCGTTTGATATTTAAAATCACTCCAGTTTTAGGCATAGAGTTAAATGGTGGTGGAGTACTTGGAAATATTGGAAAATCTTCGTCCTCGAGACCTGGTGGTTTAGGTTGATCGGAAATACGACTAGCTTGCACAGGATCTATAAAACTTTTAGAATAATTAACCTCTGACGAATCCATGGATGATGATGAAGAGAAAGTTGGAGTTTCTACTTCTGCAGGAGATGGAAGAGGTTCAGTGATTGGTACAACGGTAGTTGAAGACATTGAAGCTGCTGCGACAGCTGCTAATTCTTCTTCAGCTTTTTTTATTAAATCTAAATCACTTAAAGACCTTAAAGTACTTTTGCTTTCTTTAGCAACCGTTGTTGGCATATAAGTTTTATCCGGCTTTTGATAGTTCGATAAATTAGCGGAAGTTAAAAATGATGCACCAGGTTTAGTAGGTAAATAAGGATCAACTTTAGAAGTTTCTTGACGTTTAACATTCGCTAGAATTTCTTGAAGATTAGGAGGAATAGTTATATCAGAAACTTTATCGAGAATTGGTTGAGCAAATTTGGCAAGTCCTTGAGGAGGTGGAGTGAATGAACGTACATCAGTAGGGCTATAAGCTTCATTGGAATCACTGGTCCCAATACCTGGTGGATCAAGACCAAGTCCCGGTAAAGTAGAAACTGGTTCGCTGAGAATGGATGAACTAATACTCTGTATTTGTTGCTTTTGCTCTTCGATCTGTCTATTGAGTTCCTCCATTTTTCTTTGAAGATCGCTTGTGTTTTTCGGAGTTGCCAGTAAATTATTAGTATTATTCAAATTAGATATACTATCTTCTACATCATCATCAAGTTCACCAGGACTATAGGGCTCGTCATCATCATTTTTGTCTGCAGAAGTTTTATCAGGTGAAGACGTTAAATCAAGTTTGGAAGAAAGTTCAGGAACAATTTTCGATATTGTCACACTATCCATAATATTTCGAGGGATTGATTTATCAGCATTTACTTTTTCTTTAATTAAAGGAGGAGTATAAGACCGATCAGATTCTTTTCTTTGTATTTTAGGTGGGATTTGATTCAGTAATAATGGCGGATGAGGTAACCGTTTACGTTTGTTTCTTACGATTATACCTAGAAGAAGATGAGGTCTTTGATCTTCGAAGCCAGGACCACTTAATGGCATTAATACGGGTGGTATCTGACTTTGACTTGAAAAAGGCATTATATAAAAGTCTTTTATATTTTTCGAACTTCCAACAACCCCTAAACGACTTCTACTGTTCAAATAACTGTAAAGAGTGATATAGGGAATTTTTTCCTCGTCGTTCGCAGCTGTCAATCTTATAACAAGAATTTCTTTTGATCCGGTTTTTTTCATTTTGGATAAATAATCCCAAACAGTCTCATGGCTAATTCTTCCAATAACATCTACCGTATCAGGAAGATCTTCCATAAGATCTTTAGCATTTCCGCTAACTTCTTGAGCTGTAATAAAAAACTTGGCCACGTCCACCATATTAACAAATCCTCTCCAAACGGTTTGTAATGAATTTTTAGAAGATTCTTTATTAAGAATTTGGTCTTCTTCTGTATTACCTTCTTTTTCTTTCTCTGCCTCTTCATTGATGTCTGGAGTTTTTATATTCACCGTAGAACTTGGTTCTCGATCAGAAACATCCGAATCATTGCCGTCTATAGTATTTGTTGTGGTTTCTTCTTCAACATGTCGCCATAATCGGTCTTCAATGGGCTTGTCTGATTGCACTGGTGACGGCTCTTTCTTTTTATCACCTTCCTTTTTTGCTTCTTCTTCATTATCACTTTTCTTTTTATCCTTATCTTTATATTCTTTATGGCTACTACTTTTTCCAGTACTGTGTATACTTTTACTCTTACTACTTCTTCGTGAACGGTCTCTTTCTTTATCTTTTTGCTTTTCCTTGTCTTTATTCCTTTCACGATCCTTGTCTTTTTCACGGTCACGATCACGTTCTCTCTCTTTATCACGTTTTCCATCCTTACTCTTTCTTCGATCTCTACTTCTATCTCTACTATGATGACGTCTACTTGAACTTCTATCTCTTTTAGAATCTTTACTTTTTTCTTTGTTCCTTGACCTATGATCATCCTTATCTCTTTTACGATCCTTATCTTTTCTCTCATCACGCTTTATTTTTTTAGTATCTTCTATTGAAGATGAAGTTTCCTCTTTGTCATCCAAGATCTCTGAATTTTTATTATCAGCATTATTCAAAGCTGTTACAATATCTTGAACTGGCGTTTTAGGATCTACGGCTCCAATTCCACCATCATTTTCTATTATTTGTTCCCCTTTATGAGTCTTTACTACAATGGATTTTGCTTGTGCCATCAAATCCAATTCATTTTTCTTTATCATTTCTAACTGGTGTTTTGTTTCTTTTTCTCTCCATTCTGCCAACTCTTGACTTGCCATTTCTTCAGGACTTAATCTGACAACAGCATCCGGAGTTAAAGATCTATCAGCAATTTTTCTAAATAATGTTAAATTTTTTGTGTCTTTTATGTTAAATACTAAACTGCGATATTTTGCTTTATACTTAGATCCAGTATCTCTAAAGTATTTATAAAGCTCTAATTCAATTTTTAATGCAAGGTCTGTAATGTCTTCGTCACTTAATTTTAAATCTTCTGTTTCTTTAATTCGAGTTGTTAAAAGTTCTGCTAAAGTTTTCCGTACATTCAATCTAATTGGTTCCGGTTCAGATTTTTTAACCACCGTAGGTTTAGGCTGAGATTTTGCAATAGATGTTGATGGTTTTGGTTCTGATTTTTTTATTTTTTGTTCAGGCAATTGTTTAATTTGTACGACAGATTTATTTGATTGTTGTGGAACAGTTTTTATTGTCGTTTGCTTTAAAATTGTAGGAGATTTTTGTGAAGTAACAAAAATTTGTTTTACTTGGCCACTTTTCGCAATAAGATTAGGATTTGATAAGCTGGAAATCACAGTTACTTTTTTACTAGGAGCTAAAATAGTTTGTTTTGATCCTACGACTTTAGCATATACCATTTTAGGTTGCCCAGTTGGTGATTGTTGTTGAATTTTAGTGATTTTTCCCGATCCATGTGTCTGAATAGCAGTAATAGTCTTCCCACCAATCTGAAGTGTATTTAAATTATTAGGTCGAACTACTTCAAAGGTGGGATGTTCTTTAAGCCATGTTTTTAAATTTGAAGTAGTTGGAGCATCAACACCCGTTAAAACTTTTCCAGTTCTTCGTTCAAAAACTATCACACGCGCATCAGAAGATGGTTTAGTAGGAACATCTGCACTCGTTTTAACAGTTTTTGATGGTATTTGCTGATTTACTGGTTTGTCTTTTGTTAATGTCTCTTGAGCATGCATTAATATACACGTATCTGAACAATAAATGCTTGAAGATCTAGCTTCTTTTTTACACACTACACACTGAGTTGGTATTGAATTAGACGCAGAACTTTGTTTTACGTCAGAAACTGCTTTTACTGGTTTATCGGATTGTGATCCAGAATTGTCACTAACATTATGACTTGATGAAGGAGATTCTGTGATTTTTGAAGATTTTCCACCTGGCGATTTAACTTTAGATACTGGTGTATCTGGTGATTTTTTCTTCAAACAATTAGGACAAACCCATTCTATTCCCTGATCTTCCATTTGTTTTCCCATAGCTTTACTAACATTTACACACTTTCCGTGGAACCAATCTTCACATACATCACAACAAATCATAAACCTATTATCATGAGGTCGTTTGCAAATACACCATAGTCTATTAGGATCATCTTCGGAATCAGAATTTGCTTCTTCTTCGTCATCAGAATCCATGTCATCGATTTGTTTATTAAATTTATTTTCTCTTCTATCTTCGCTTTTTGGAGATACTTCCGCTTTGGCTTGCAATCTTTTACTTCTCGTTGCTGGGGCTTCTATCGGTGGTAGTGTTATCACCCTTCCTCCTCTGATAATTTGAATCACATCTTTTCCATCTTTTTTATTGCCCTGATCAAGTAACTGATGATGAGAAAGATCACTGCTACTTTTTGATATTGGTGGTTCAGAGCTTTTTATTAATGATATCTCTGAGCTTTCATCTGGATTTTGTAGTATTTCCGCATCAAAAGATGATGCTGATAAAAGTGGTTCTGGAATAGCTGATGTTGGTCCATCCAAAACAGTCTAAAAATAATTGATATCAAAATAAGTTCGAGATTATAAATAGCTTTGTCAAAAAAATAATGTTAAATTTATGATAAACTTCTTTTACTTACTGGATCAGTTAAATCTACATCAAGTTGTTCTTGAAGAAGAAGAGCTTCAGCAAGAAGTTCTTCTTCATGTTTACTTGCTTCCATTTCTAATGTTGCTAAAAGATGTTCTTCACCTTCTATTCCACCTAGAAATAGTATTTTAGTAATCAACAAAAAATTATAGTTTTTAAAAAAAGTATATCATTAATTTAGATAATTTTTATAAGCATTTAAATTGTTTTTGGAATCAATAGTAATGAATTCTTGTAGACAGAAGGAAAAACTTTAAAATAATAAAAACAAAAACAATTAAACTTACTCTGGTCAGAAATTATATTTCGAACAGAATCTTCTGAAGGACGCGCAATTTCTTCCCTAGCTTCGGTATTTGATGCTAATAAAACACAGGAATAATAAAAAATAAATTCATGCTTTATTTAAAAATTTTGAATAAATAGAAAACAACATAAAGATTTAGATATATTAAAAAAATAAAATTTTAAAAAGCGCAAGATATTATTATAATTATTATAATTACACTTTGGTTTTCTTACCAGGGTCTAAAGGAGGTTGGATATCATCGCTATTAGATAATTTTGATTCTAATTTTTGTTCTTCAGCATTTAAAATTGCTGAAGCGTCATTTATTTGATCATTACCTAAGCTGGCAGTAGATTCAGTCAATAATTTACTGGTATCTGGTGACATTTCTGAATTTGAAAAAGGTGAAGGATCAGTTTTTACAGGAGAATTTTTCGTATTAACATCGGAAGACTTTTCTAATACGTTAGACATTTTTTTATCACCTGAAGTTATAGCTACTGATGAAGGATTAGAGTCAGAAGCTTTCGATTCACCAACTGAACCGACTCTTCTAATAATATCTGGTGTAGAAAAAAGTGCCGGACCCAGAGTATCAACAAAATTTCCTGGAAATTTCTTTTGGTCTTTTTTATGAATTTTTTTAGCTTCTGGTGATTTTACTTCGGGAATTATTTTGGAAGATTCTTCAGATTTTAATGAAGAATCATGTCCTTCTTTCTTTTTATCTTTTTTTCCATCAGTTACAGGTTTCCCTTTAACTAATGAAATAGATGATGGTTTTGGCGCTTGTTTTTGTACTGGAGATTGCGTAGGAGTCATTGAGTTAACTATAGGATCTTGCTGGGTCGCCTGTATGGAAGTTTGGACGATAGGCTTTGAGGCTATCGATATTAGTTTGCCATCGGGTGTAGTTGCAAGTTTTGTTTGAATTTGGTTTACCACTTTTGAAAGATCTTTCATTACGGGCATTGAATTTTGCTTCTGAACTCCTAAATTTATCAACTCATTTGGTTTCATAACAACTTTTTTTTGAACAAAAAATACTTTTTGATTGTTTCTACTTTGACCAGGTTTTGTTACAATCATTTCGCCTTTTATCATATTTGCATTTATAAGATTAGCCTTTACTTGGTTCGTCGTTTGCAGAGGTTTTTCGACTAAAGGCTGAGAGTCGTTTGAAATGCTACGTATTAATGAGGATTCATCTTTTCTTCTACTTGGGATTATTTTCAGTTGTTTTTTAGATTGATTTGGAGACAATTTTTCAATTCTTTCTACTTTATCAGAATTCTTCATTGCATCTACAGCAACAGACATTTCTGCATCAAGTCTACGGGCTTGTTCAATATCAACTTTTTTATTTGCTCCACGTCTTCTTGATGCTGCCATACTTCCACCACGTGTCGTAAGTCCTCTTCGTCCACCTCTAGCACGAATACCGGATCTTCTGGGTCCTCGAGGTCCAAAATCAGAATCATTATCTGAAGTTTCTGAATCTGAAGACTCAGTAGATGATGAAAGTTCTTCTTTTTCTACTTCTTCTTCAGTAGGCCTTAAAAGGGACTTTTTAGAATCTTGAGAATTACTAGAACTTCTTGAAATAGCTGTTCCAGGACTACTTGATGGTAGCTGAGTATTAGATACTAATTTTCTTGGACGACCAACAGTAGGTTTTGTTTTTAATGGTACTTTTATCTGTGTTGATACAGAAGAAGTATCCTCTACAACAGCGGGTGTTGTTATTTGTTGATAAGTGGAAGAGTTTGCTATATCAATTTCTTCATCTTCCGGTGAATTTGCTACTGGTAATGGATCCAATGGTTCTGGATCAGAAGGAGACGTCCGACTCGTATAACAATGATCAAGCTCGATTGCGTATTTCATTGAATTTTGTTGTTCTTCTACTGTTAGCATATCTAAAAATATAAAGATAAAATTAATTAAAAGTTATTTAAATATTACTTTACACTTAAATAAATTTAAATAAATATTAAATAAAATAAGTAAACTCAAAGTAAAATTATAAAAACAATTTACATACCAAGCATCGCAGCAACATTCTCCCCAAGTATTTGTTTAGCTTGTTCACTCTGTAAGGCAGTTTCAAGCTTCTCTAACTGCTCAGGATCCATTTCCATAAATGGATCAACAAGTCCGGTGTCTGTAGCACCAGATACTACATTGGCTGGATTGCTTATTGCTGTATCAAATACTGGTGGATCTACTGTTAATGTTAAATCTCCATTTGCTGAATCTCCTTCTGCTTGTCCAACTCGTACAACACTAACATTTGCATTTGATTGATTCACTAAAAAGACACAACATTCCATTTGAATAATAATTCTGGAAGTGTGTAGGCTCTACTATTATTACATACAAATATTGAATTGTCATAAAAGATAGAATTATCATAAGAGTTGTCAACTCACTGATTAAATTATGTAAAGTTTCTTGGTCGACTGCAATTGTTCCATCATCGTTGACCACAATAATAAGAGTATCATCTTTTTTAGAACCTGTTTCTTGTGGTTCCACAATGTAAGAGTTGGACATTGTATTCTACTAAAGTAAAATATACCTGAAAGGAATATAAAGTTAAATAAATATCAATACTACATTATTCACAGGAAGTTTTAAAAAATTTCTAGAGTGTTATTATATATAATCCATCAGAAAAATAAATCGCGCGCTTTGCTTTAATAATAATAAACAAAAATCAAGGAAAGATATGAGTAGCCATCTTGTTTAGTAGATAGTAACAGGAGTGAGGTGGATACCAATTAGAACAAAGAAATAAATATGTACATACGTGTTGTTGTAAACTTTACGACGATTATTGTGTCAAGGGAATAAACTTATATTACTGAGGAAGCTTTCTTATATTTCTTTTTCGATGATATGTCAATAAGAGAGCGGATAACCGCGTTTTTTTCAGCGAAACATCGTGGTCTGAATCACTCTAACTTGATGCGCAGAGACGCTATCTGCGCGTCTTTTATTGCGCAACCTACAAAGCGCCAAATTAATCGAACAATCAAAAATATTTACATAAAAGAAGTATCAACAATTTTTATTTTATGATAAGCGAAAAATTTATCATATTTATATTAATACGAATAAACATTTTTATATAATAGCTATAGCGGTATTTAGTTTGTATTAGTAATAGTATTTTAACGATTTAAATAAAAAAAACTTTTTTATGTAGCACCTGTGTAAAAAGAAATTCGGTAGCGGGAAATTTTAAAATATTTTAAAAAATATTTTTGATACATGTCAAATATTTTATTGTCATACATTCTTCTTCAATATTACTTAATTATCTGAAAAGTTTTTATGTTAATTAAATAATCTATCATAAAAAATATAAAACTGTCTCCAAAAAGATTTACAATTGATATTCCAAATGATTTTTTTAAATAAAAATTCCTCAATATTTGTATTATATAAAAAATATATACCGGTGTAAATTAATGAAGTGATTGCATAATTTGACTAAAAATGGAATAAAGTTATTGTCATGATTGTGCGAAAAAATACTATCAGTTATTAATATTCATACAAACTCAGATAAGTCACCCAATTATTTTTAAAACATTTTCTATAATACTTTTTATGCTTTGACCTTCATTAATAATTTCTAGATCCCATTTTTCCACGTCATCCAAATTACATTCTGTTTCTGAATCGTCCACTCCTGGTGTAAAAATCCAACCACGTTGTTCTCTAATTTTATCGTCACATATGATTCTTATCGTACGACAAAGTGAACCATAATTTTCCATAAACCATTGAATATCTGTTTTTCTTCTTGCATCACTGACGATCCAGATACTTTTATTTGTTGCTAAATAATTCGTAAATATTTATTAGTATTATGAATGATCAATTATTTGTTTTAATGAAGCTCATCAATACTATGATTATTTAAAACTATTTTACCATTATACATTTTGATAGCAGCTCTGCAAAAATATCCATAATCTTTTTTCCTAATATTCTCTCCCCATTTTACCATTTGTATACGATATTCTTCTTTATACTCTCCATCGCTCAATAATTCATTCAAGTTCAAATTACATGCTTGTGCCCAATGACTCTTGATAGGACCAGATAATTTAATAATAACACTTTTCTCTTCACCAAGTCTAAAAAAAAATAATTTTTAATTAACTGTAATTGAGTGAATTAATAGTTAATTAATTGATAAAAACATTTGATGCTAATCGTTTAATTACTCGTTTTGTAATCTGTCTGTAATGTAATCTTTTCCTGATTTCCTCTTACCACTAAACAATAAAATACAATTAGGATTTTGCATCTTCAAAATATTTAAATGACTTAGATGTCTTCTGCTCGACGTTACACTGTGTATATTGTTGTACTCCAAATGAATGTTTCTTAAGTTTTTTTGATCTACAGTTCACCACTGCAGGAATTTTACCTATGACTGCATTCAAGAAGTAACTCCGAATTCTAAAAAGTTTATTTACATACCATAATATATATATATATATATATTCTGAATATATAAATTGCGTATCGTTTAAAGAGTTTACTACATCATCAACTGGTGTTAAAATAAATTAAATCATGCAAGAATATTTTTAAATTCAATTTCTGATCATTTCTTATTGTCACTTTATGATAATGATTTTCTTTTGTCTTTTTGATATAAACATTCCTATTAATGTACTTAATATTGTTTATATTTTTAACAGTATTGACATAATATATCTACGCACGAAATATTCGAAAACATTTACATTATAATTATATAAATATTGAAACTATTTAGTAATCAGAATGTTGAAATGAATGTGTCCACTTTTGATGATAAGCATGAGTGAAAACAGCTTAAGTTCCATTGAAGTATTTATGAAACTAATATCGTAAATATTGATAAAATATTGGTTTTTTCATTATTCAATACACATATTCAATTCTTTTACATTCCTACTTGTTTTTCGTTATAGGCTCTTGTGATCTTCTAATAAAACACTGAATTGAAATAATAACTGTGTAATCCTCATTTTCATATAAGTAGGGACTAATTATTAAGAAAAATATCAATCTTAGATTATTTAGAAACTATCCTCAATAAGTGAAAGTTAAATCGTATTAGTAATAAACATAAGAATATATAATTATGCAGATAATGTTAAATTTATTTTTGGTAGTATTATGGATTCAATTAATTCAATTTGTTCAAGGAGATAGAAATAATTGGAAACGCATTGATGATAATAACGAAATATATCCATGGTTGGTACAGATTAAAATAAAGGTCAGACCGGAATTAAATGATAGTAAGTATAAGACAATTTAATCATTTTTATTCAAGAAAAAAAAATTAATTTCAATGATTTCAGAGATAGCTTACGGCTCTCTTATATCTCATAATGCTGTCATTACTACTCAAGAGAGCGTTATTGTATATACTTCCATGTATGTAAATGAAAATAATTTAACTGTATAACAAAGATTAAATGTTAACTATCTATACAAATTTTTTAGTCACAATATGCGTAAACTGGTGGTTGAATCGTACTGTCCCGAGCCAAATGTTGATATTACAAATGATTGTTTTACAAGTGACGTTGCTTCAATAATTTCAGAAACTTCAAGTGAAAGTTCCGCCAAAAACCAAGATCCATTATCTATTTTAATATTAACAAACTCGTTCAATGATAATTATTATGTGAGACCACTGTCTATTGCAAACATTGATAATATTGATAAAGATAATTGCTTCTTGGCTACTTGGCCATCTCATGATCCATCTGAATTTTCTAATAGAATCGGTAAATTTCATGCCAAATAATTCATCATGAATTAATCTCAAGTATTGAAAAAATATATGAACAATTATTTAAATTTTTAGACCTACATAAAACCGCTCATAAAGCTACAATTACTTTTGGTAGTTGTCTAGTATCTGATTTGGATAAAAATGTCATTAATGCACTTTCTAGAGAACCTTATTATGATTATCTTCGATTTAATTATTTATATTCAGATGATTACATACCTGTAAGTATTCTTTCACTGAAACTTATGTATTTCTCTGGTCTATTATTTAATATCGATTGAAACTTAAATTTTATTTATTACAGCAAATTGATGGAGCTCCTTTGATATGTTCACTTAAAAATAATTCAAACCAAGTTGCTCTTGTAGGACCGATACCTGGTTATTTCTTATACGCCTGTAACAGAGAGAAAAAAGATTGTCGATCCATAATATATTTTATCGACTTGATGTCATATTCCACTAACTTGATGAATAAACTTAATTCACAGCTCAAAAGCTAAGATACATATATTTTGATTATTCTATGCAAATATAAAAAATAAAAGAATATTTGTGTTGAATTCTTGAATGATAATGAAGTCAATAAATTTTTGCAAAGACATCTAAATGTTATTTATTTCAGTAATCTTTATCTGTCTTACATGTTTATGAAAAAATAAAAAAATTCAGTGCATACAAAAAACTTCAGTGATGATAAAAATTTCTTTAGAATTTTGTTAAAAATTTGCATATAAAACTATAGGACAGTGATCACTACCAAACACATCAGATCTAATAACAACGTCACAGACTTTATTTTTAATACGCTCTGACACTAAAAAGTAATCTAATCGCCAACCAATATTTTTAGCTCTTGAATTAGCAAAATATGACCAGAATGTATAGGCATCTGTTCGATCAGGATACAAATGACGGAATGAATCAATGAAACCTTCAGTTAGAAAATCATCCATGCCCTCCCGTTCTTCTTTAGTGAATCCAGCATTTTTTACATTGGTTTTTGGATTTTTTAAATCTATTTCTTTATGAGCAACATTCATGTCTCCACATACAATAACAGGCTTTTTTTCATCTAATTTTTTGATGTAATTTTTAAAAACTTCATTCCATTTTAATCGTTTTGGTAAGGTTACTAATTTTTGTCCTGCATTAGGTACATAAACATTAACTAAATAAAATTCTGGGTATTCTGCTGTAATAACTCGACCCTCATTATCAAATTCGGAATTTTTTACTCCATACGTAATTGAAATGGGTTCTTGTTTGGTATATAAAGCCATTCCACAATATCCAGATTTTTCACTATCAAGGAAATAATATTTATATCCATTTATTTTTACTTCTTTGGGTAACTTATTCTTATCGCATTTCGTTTCTTGAAGAACCATAATATCTGCATCTTCTTTAACTATATAATCCATACCATTTTTCTTTATCATGGCCCGAAGACCAGCAACATTCCATGAAGAAATTTTAATATTTGGTTTTTTACCCTCAGCGTTCATTTTGTCACAATTAAAATTGACAGTATCCAAGTTTGATCCTGTTTGATTTATAGGTTGTTTACCTTCGCTTTTCTTACTTTTAGATTTTTTAACTTCATTATCACTTTCATTACCATTTTTTGTAGCTTCAATGGAAGGATCTTTTTGTTGTTTAGTATTTTCTACTACTTGTTTTTTGGTCGCTTTCGTTTTTCGAGTCTTTGGAGGTGGTTTAGGTTCAGGATTTGTTTCTTCTACTTCGGATTCACTGTCTGATTTTTCTTTTTTTGCTTTTGGAGCTCTTTTTGATCTTGTTTCTTTCTTTTTGGGCTCAAGCTTAAAAGCTTCAACATTATCCTCTTCATGAGAATCATTTTTTTCTTCAACAATTTTCTTTTTACGAGATGATTTAGGTTTTTCAACAGCAGTTTTACGTGGCTTCTTTGCTAATTTCTCCTCTTTTTGGAATTCCTCTTCACTTTTAGTTTCTTCAACTACGTTGGTCTGTAAGAAAACAAAAGAATGACATAAAAGTTTAATAATTCCCATTAAAAATAAATTATTTGAATTTTATTTTTTGTTTATTCCAGTTTATAGTATTAATTCATAAAAAATATCATGTAGATAAAAAAAAAATGTAGAAAATCTGAAAGCAGTATTATTGTACAACACTAAAAGACTCTAACCTGTGCAGTACGCCCGCGTTTCGGCATGTTAAATACTTCAAAACCTCCTGATAATGATGGTTGAGTAACAGATTTTTGTTCTACTCTACTAAGTTGTTCAATTAATTTTAATGATAAAATATTTTTATATTCTTTAACACGTGGAATAATTTTACTTCGCACTATTATATTACCCATTCGCCATCATGTGCAATTTACAACCCATACAAAATTGATCTATAGACCAGTAAACTTGATACATTACCGAATCTGTTGTTGAACAACTGCTATAATGGGATACTTTGAAAATTATAATTTGTACTGATAAAAAATTTTCAGTAATCTTGGATTTTAATATCATGCATATAAATATGTATAATTTCCACTATTTAAATTTATGTAGACAATAATTTACATTTTTTAAAAATAATTTTAAAAATTAGCGCAATTATTAGAGACAGCTGTTGCACACGGAGGCGTTGGCATCTTATTTAAATTTTGGAAAAAAATTTAAGATAAAATTTTTCGACATTCAATTGTAAATAATTTAATATTTTTGTTCAAATAAATAATACAAAAAAATCATTGCTTAAATAATAATATAAATAATTAGAATATTAATTAATCAACAATTTTATACTGGTTGCATAATAAATTACAGAATAAATTCAAATAATTATCATCATTATTCGATTGTGACTAAAAAAGAATGTGTTTCTGCATTATCCCTATAGCAGAGTACGTCTTCGTAAGCTTTTGTACATCTTTTATTTAGTGCAATAAATGTAATTAAAAAAAGAAACAAATAAATATTTTTTATGACATTATATGTATTGAAACTTTTTTTATTTGGTATCAAATGACAACCAAAGTATATTAATTGAAATTTTTATAAATTAAATAATAAGTACATTATCTTGTAAAATTTATTTTTAACCTCACTAAGAAAATATGTCGTGGTACAGTGGTGGTTAATAACGATACACAAATCAGCCGGATTGATCTAAAAAAAGAAAACTTACGTTATTAATAAATACTATGGTATTACGAAGAAGTTGTATTTTTTTACAAAATAATTATCCAAAAGTTAAATTCAATACAACGTTTAACAAAAGTCGTAATTTTGCTCGACAACATGTTCCTATACCAATACTTACACCTCAGGAGGTAAAAAATTTATTAAAAATCTATAATAACATGAAAAAATATCAGATATTTATTATTTTTAGGTTACTAAAATTCTTCGTTCCAATGAATTTACCAAAGAATTTGAAAGTCCAAGCCCAATAAAATATTACGATTCCAATCAGCTTGCATCGAATAACCCAGTTGAAGATACTAGATCTGAAGCAAGATGTAAATTAACTAATGGTAATATAATTATCGAATTAGTATTTGTTGATAAAAATGAATTTACAATTATTATTTTTAAAAATTTTTTAGGATTTTTATTAGGAATATTCGATGGTCATGGTGGTAATTCATGCTCTCAAGTAATTTCGAAAAGACTGTTTTATTACGTTTCTGCTTGTCTTTTATCGCCGGAAACTCTAAAGAAAGTACTGGAAACTGAAGTGACTTCAAAACAAATAAAAGAAAAATTATTAGAGTCTTTTAATGATAATTTTGAATTTGTATCTGAATTAGGAAAATTATATTGTGAAAGTTTTTTGACTTTCGTAAGAGGTTTATCAGATAAACCATTAATAAGTTCATCAGCAGAAGTAGCACTGCAAAATGCATTTATTAGTTTAGATCAGGATTTATCAAATGAAGCTTTAAAAAAGTTAGCTAGACGTGAAGCAGCAAGAACACTATCTGTAGCTATGTCAGGATGTGTTGCAGTAGTTGCTCATGTCAATGGGCCACATCTTCATGTAGCAAGTGCTGGAGATTGTCAAGCTGTTCTTGGTATTTATAATGGTATATTTTCAGTCATCATTCATTATTTTTTTTTAAGTAGCGTACAATTACTATATTTAATTAAAATCTTATTTATCAGAAAATGAAGGATGGACTGCCCAAGTATTAAATAAAATACATAACACTGACAATGCAGAAGAAGTTGAACGAATTTTATCAGAGCATCCACCAAGTGAAAAAAAAACTGTGATAAAAATGGATAGACTTCTAGGTCAGTTAGCACCATTGCGAGCTTTAGGAGATTTTCGTTATAAATGGAGTCGAGAAATAATGAAAAAAAAAGTTATTCCATATTTTGGAGAGTCAGCAATACCACCTAATTATCATACTCCTCCATATTTAACGGCTGAACCCCAAGTGACCTATCATCGACTAACTTATAATGATAAATTTTTAATCATTGCAAGTGATGGGTTGTGGGATTTAATGACTCCTCCAGAAGCTGTTCGACTTGTAGGGGAACATATGAAAGGAAGAGTAGCACTAGCGCCTTTTAAATTACCAGAAAAAGGCACAAAACTATCTGAGATAAATAAATTATTGATTGAAAGAAAAGAAGGATTGAAAAAGCAACCGTTGGATCAAAATGCAGCTACACATTTATTGAGAAACGCACTCGGAGGAACAGAATACGGAATTGATCACCACAAATTATCACAATTCTTGACGTTACCTAATGAAGTAGTTCGTATTTTTAGAGATGATATAACAATTACTGTTGTTTATATGGACTCGGATTTTTTGCAAAATTATCCGTCGTAAAAGATTTTATTTATTGAAAAAATTGACATCGTTTTTATGTGCCATTAATTTAAAGTTGAAGATTGAACAAATAAAAAAATAATCTTTTAAAAATGAACAATTATAAATTATTTTTGTATGAAAGTTGAATCCGATAATAGTTGAACTTTTTTTATGTATTTACATTAAAATTTATTTATTTAGACATAGCCATAAAAATAATTTACACCAAAATAAGTTTTTTTTTAACATAAGTATTCATGTGTACAATGAATTGAACAATGTATATATTATGCTGAATATTGTTTTCAAGTAGATAAATTGTAAATAAGATAATTTGAGTATAGTTATTGTTTTTATAGTTATCAATATTATAAACGATATATATGAATAAGTTAATTTTTTTATCGCTATATTTGAATTACTTAATTTATAATTACATCTAAATTCTATGTACTTACATGTGAATCGGTATATTATACAATTCTGTAATTTATTTTTTATTAATGAATTTACAAAGCAATTAATAAAATAAGTCACAGTGTGATTTTATATAATATATACGATGCTTAAAAATTTGAAACATATAAAAAAATAGCATACTTTAGGAACAAGTAAAACAGTTACTATGACTTAAAATATGAATAAACAGTAATTCGTAAGGACAATACATTATTTAATTTTTATGTTATTCAATTATTTAAAAATCAAGCATTATGGTTATTTAAGGCAAGGAATAATACCTTATTAGAATTTTCAACCTTCTTGACCAAAATCTTCTTTAAATTTTTCTAATTTTGCCAAATCTTCTTCATTGACTGTTGGACGGGTTGTTGCTAGGGATTTTAGCATATGTTTCTGTAATAATTTAAAAATATTAATTAACTCTATTGCTAAATATTAAAGAAAATGTTTTTTGAGGTAAAAATTTATTACCATTGTAACAGGAGGATCATAGAGCTTATCGCTTTCAACTTGAGTCCAGCTCATTTCAATAGCTCCAGGATCTCCGGGAGAGCAAGGCGTAAGCAAATCATCAACAATAATGGATCGATCTTGTGGAGATGGACCACTAACTCGTTTAAAGTGTGTTGCAGTTTGTACAAGCCTCACCGGTTGCATTAAAGCATCACGGACAATTATACTAATGTCAGCACCGGAGTATCCTTCGGTTGCTGCAGCTAATTTTTTGAAATCTTCTTCAGTGAGATTGTGAGGAGTATTACCTAAATGAAGTTTAAACATCGTAACTCGAGCATGCTCTTCAGGTAATCCAATATATATTCGTTTTTCAAAACGTCTTCTGATAGCCGCATCAAGAACCCAAGGTATATTCGTTGCTCCCAATACGAGTATTCCATCATTATCCGTACCAACGCCTTGCATCTGAACCAAAAATTCGGTTTTAATTCGTCGAGCAGATTCTGATTCGTTATCAGAACGTGATGCACATAGAGAATCGACTTCATCAATAAAAATGATGCTTGGTTTGCGTTGTCGTGCTAACTCAAATAAATTTTTAACAAGCTTTTCTGATTCTCCAAGCCACTTGCTGACTAAATCTGATGAAGATACTGACAGAAAGTTTGAATTATTAGCCTCAGTTGCAACAGCTTTTGCCAAAAATGATTTACCAGTTCCAGGTGGCTGTAATTACATGGTTAAAGTTATTCTCATTTTACTAAATATTTAATACAATATAATATTCAATTATTAAAACTTACGCCGAATAAAAGGATTCCTTTCCACGGTATTCTTTTGCCAGTAAACAAGTGGGGAAATCTTATAGGTAAAATAACAGCTTCCTTAAGAGCTTCTTTGGCAACATCTAATCCAGCTACATCGCTCCATTTAATATTAGGCCTTTCAACTATGATAGCTCCTTCCAATCTAGATTGTAATTTCTTTTTTTCTGGATCACTGTCAGTATCACTATCTTCACTATCACCTTTTTTATCATCTTTTGAACTGTCATCACCAGCAGCCACAGGTTTCTTTTTTCCTTTCTTCAAATAAGCTTTAAGCTTTTCAGCACGATCGAGATATTGTTGACACTTTTGTCTGATACTTTCTTTCGCTCTTTCCCCTTGGGCTTCATCTAAACATTAATCATTGTTAATAAATGCACGATTACGAAAATATGGGTAATCGAAATTACGAGTATAATCAGTGATAAGTATAAATATGTACATTTTATTGAGTGCAGAAAATATTCAACCGCATGTTCATAATATTTAAGAGCTTCTTCATAATTTTTATTCCTATCTTCCTCTGTGGCTTTAGTCACCAAATCTATGGCTTTCTAATAATAAAATATTTATTGTTAGTGTAATATGCAATCATTTAATGAGATGGATATTTAATAATAAAATTTGTTACTTGTAATATTGTTCCAGCAGCCATCACTCAATATTTACACTATTTTTTGTTATATTGAAATACTTAAACGCGAATGCGTATAGGACCGTGTAAATTCAGAAAGAATAATAATAATAAAGTTTGGGTTTTATTGGTCCTGTGTCATATGTACTCATTGGCTATAAGTTCAGAGAAAGAAGTCTTCTTTTTGGCGAATTAATATGATAGCGACGTTGCCCAATTGAACTATTTTCTACCAATTTTTATGTGGCACCAGTATCTGTTGGCGCTTTTTACGGGGTATTTTGCCAAGAATTTTAGCGGGAAGTTTGAATCTTAATTTCAAAATAAGGGATTAATTTTAATTCAATCGTCATCGAGTAAGTATTAAATATCATAAAATTAGTTTCGTAAGGTATGCTAGCGCTTTATCTTTGCTAAATCCTTATTATAGAGAGTTCTATTAGATAGTAGCTCCGTGAATTTTCCTTGCAGCACTGCCATCAACTTACTCCAACTTTCCCGATCTCATGGAGAATATTCTCCATGCCTGATCTCTTTGATACACTTGAAGGAGAGAGAGGATTAAGATGGTAAGCTAGAGCCTTACTATATCGACATTTCTTTCATAATTTTCGTTGACAATGAAAACAGAACTTTATATGCAGCCATTTTTAAAAATTATTGTGAACATATCTTAAGAAATTATCTTGTTGTATCGCATGCGCGAAAAAGAGAAAAAGATAGAGGCTTCATCTCTCATCATCGGTGTAATCTTGGGCTGTTGTTGCACGAACCAGCAATCTCGCTGGCTTCGTAAGCACGTCGGAGGAAATTATAAACGTCATATACATATAAACCAGCTGCTCTTCGGTTGTTAAAGTTTTTATAATTAACTGATGTGTATAATTGAATGTTTAAAGAATAGTCTAAAAAATTTTTTACATTCAAAGCAATTATTTAAATAATTTATTTTTTTATTATATGAGTTTTTACACAAGATCTCTTTGAGCCTCTTACGGATAATCCTCGCACCTGCTCCGTCTTCATTTTTATTCTTTTTCCACTTGTATAAATTTCACATACCACCCCCGTGCTTACTTTTAACCTCTGTTCGTGCCTGCATCACCAACGAAAAAGATCTCATGCCATGAATACCTGATACAAGTTTTTCATCAATTACATCAACAGTTTTTGTTTCTAAATATTTTTTTTTCATCTCGAAAAACCTGGAAGCGACCAAAAATTTTTCTCTATAAAAGGTAAGAATTTATGTTTTTTTTGTGTGCAACAAAAATTGAAAACTAGTCCTATGAATAACATAATTTTTTTACTTACACTACATATTTATAAAATCCTATAGTTCTTTACTTATTATTATTGAGGTTAGAATAATTAGTAAATTTTTTTTATTATCTATTAATTATGTCTCATTAATACGGATTTTTGGCTGATTTTTATCTTAATGATAAATAATTTTATTTATTTATTTTAGGAAGACCATAGGTCGTGATTCAATTCAGTAATGTCCCAACCCTCATCCTCTTCATCCTCATCCTCATTATCTTCGTCTTCGCCTTCCACATCACTTACATCAACTAAAGAGATTGAGAGCGAGAAGCCAAGCGGAAGTAGTCCCAGTCCTGTCGAAGGTATTCCAGGTCCAAGCAATGTGGAAACTGCAAGCTGTCTTTTGCCAAAGGCTGAGTCAGAAGAATTTGATGAGGCAGATGAAGGAGAGGATGATAGTAGTGAAGAGGAAAGTGAAGTAAGCTATTAAACTATTTTAAATCAGTAATAAGCCAGCAGTTTTTCACATTTTTATTCATAAACACTTTTTTAGCTGACGTTTTTTTCCATCATATAATTATAATCATTATAATGATAATTTTTAGGTCAGTGATAATGGATTATTCTGTGATGCCGAGTGTGAAGAAGAGATAGTAGAAGACGAAGACAATGATGATGATGATGATTCTCTAACAAATTCTAATGTACAGAAACCTGTAGTTCTTTGTACTCCTGATCTCGTGTACGGAAATGAAGTTTCTTTAAACGACACTGCCGATATTCCTTTAGAAGAAAATTCGACGTGCACATCTTCAAATCTTTTTCAACAAGTTAGAAAAAGAAAAAGTGAAACACAATTTATTAGCTTACCATGCAAAAAACTTAATCCCGAAGAAAAGACTAATTCCATAATGTAAAAATTTTATCTTTATTTGTTAATTCTAATGAATTTTGTCAAATATATTTATTTTTGATTATTTTGGATGCAGGATTCCAAAAAAATTAGATGAGAAAGGGAAGCACGTGAGATTTGTATTACCAACAAGGACAAACCCACCACCTGAAATGAACAGTTGGTTAATTCAGTTTCAAGTAAGTATATTAGTATTGACCTAGTTATGAATTACTTAAAAAAGTTACCTCATCTTTAAAAAATTGTTATACATTTTTACCTATTTAACGTAATTACTATTAAATGTTGAATATAATCGTTCACTTTAGAGCACAATTTTTTAAATGTTTCCATTCCATTATGAACTATTTTTTAGTTATTTCAATTTAATTTAATTAATGAAATTATTGTTTTATCAAAATAAAACATTGACCATTATATCAATATGAATTATAAATTCATTGATTGATTATTTTAGCGATGGTCAAATGCAGAACGAATGTTAGCAATTGACGAACTGATCGATCGTTGTGAACCAACACAAGTGCGACATATGATGCAAGTGATAGAGCCACAATTTCAAAGAGACTTTATATCTTTGTTACCAAAGGAACTAGCGTTATCTGTGCTTGCATTCCTGGAGCCGCGTGACCTTCTAAGAGCAGCACAAACTTGTCGGAATTGGCGGTTTCTTGCAGATGATAATCTACTGTGGAAAGAAAAATGCAAGTCAGCGGGTATTGATGATATTAAAGATTTTCCACTTACAAAACGTAAAGGCAATCGCAACGCTGGTGTCTGTAGTTCGCCTTGGAAGCAAGCATATATGCGTCAATATAATATCAAGATGAACTGGAGAACTAAACCTATCAGACCTCCTAAAGTTCTTAAAGGTCATGATGATCATGTAATAACGTGCTTACAATTTTCGGGAAATAGAATAGTTAGTGGTTCTGATGATAATACCCTCAAAGTTTGGTCTGCAGTAACGGGAAAAGTAAATATTACAATTTATTCTCTTAATTATAACATATGCTCGTTATTTAATTAACTAATTATTTTTATTACTTCATTGTAGTGTCTAAGAACATTAGTCGGTCACACTGGTGGTGTTTGGTCATCTCAAATGTCTGGAACAACAGTAATAAGTGGGAGCACAGATCGTACTTTAAAGGTATGGAACGCAGATACGGGACAGTGCATTCACACTCTGTATGGTCACACGTCAACAGTAAGATGTATGCACCTTCATGGGAATAAAGTAGTGAGCGGTAGCAGAGACGCAACTCTTAGGGTGTGGCAAGTTGATACGGGTGAGTGTTTACACGTTCTCGTTGGACACTTGGCTGCTGTTAGATGCGTGCAATATGATGGTAAATTGGTCGTAAGCGGTGCCTATGATTATATGGTTAAAGTCTGGAATCCAGAACGTGAAGAATGTCTTCATACTCTTCAGGGACATACGAATCGTGTTTATTCATTACAAGTAAGAATTTATTATATCTTTTGTGTATTGTTAAAAAATGAGTCATTTTCATTCTTATCACTCATTAAATATTATAGTTTATTGATAAATACATTAAATAATTAGTAAAATAATTGATAAATTAAAATTATTCTTACAGTTTGACGGAGTTCATGTTGTTAGTGGATCATTAGATACTAGTATAAGAGTATGGGAGGTAGAAACAGGAGCTTGTCGTCATACACTTATGGGTCATCAATCTCTTACATCAGGAATGGAACTTCGAAATAACATCTTAGTGTCAGGAAATGCTGACTCTACGGTTAAAGTTTGGGATATAGTGAGTGGTCATTGTTTACAAACACTTTCTGGACCAAACAAACATCAATCAGCCGTCACTTGCCTTCAGTTTAATAGTCATTTCGTTATTACGTCCTCAGACGATGGAACTGTAAAACTTTGGGATGTTAAGACTGGTAAAATTACATTAAACAAACTAATATTTTATTCATATTGTTTTTTAAATATCTATATTTCACAAACCAACTAATGATTGTTTGTATGGTATATTACAGGTGAATTCATAAGAAATCTCGTGGCTTTAGAAAGTGGTGGAAGTGGTGGAGTTGTTTGGAGAATTCGTGCAAGTGATACAAAACTTGTATGTGCAGTAGGAAGTCGTAATGGAACAGAAGAAACTAAACTTCTGGTCTTGGATTTTGATGTCGAAGTTAAATAATCATCTTATTGTCCGTCGAACCACTTCGTGCCTCGGCTCGTTACGGTATTTAGACTAATTGATACAAAAATAACAATATTTATGGTAATAACAATAATAGTAATGATGATGATAACTACTGAAATAGATTCAATGATAGGATTGTAATAACAATTTAGTTTAGTAGGGTTTATAATAACAAAAAATAATAATAACATCAATAATAAATAAATAATATTAATATTGTACATAAAACTAGGTAGCGCATAAACAATCTACTGTACAATGTTTCATGTATTAGAAAATGGTCTGATTGTGATAAGACTGTATGTAAAATTTTTTTAAATAGAGAAAACATTTAATGAAACATAAACAAATTGACTGTAGTGAAATGGGATAAGTAAGATATATCTATCCTAAAAAAATGTATAAAGATTAATGAGACTTAAACGTAAGGTGATAAATACAATTAAAAGCATATTATCAAATGATAAAATGCTTTATTTGTAAAACAAAAAAGAAACAGCTTTACCTCTGAATAGAGCGTGGTAATGTTTTGATTTTTTTTTTATTAATTATCATTAAATTTAATATACATTTTTCAAACCATCATCATCATTTATTTTTTTTTATTATTTTTTTTTTCATTTTAGGTAATGAAATACACTTAATCATCCTTATATTAATTTCATTGATAAAAATGCCAAATTAATGTAGTTTTTTAAAAAAAATATCTTAACTTTGTTAGTATTTTAATTGCATTAACAAAGTTCATAAAATAAGTGAATATATTTGTAATAAACATTTTTGATAATCTCACCGGTTAATCAAAGTAACAATTGTTTATTTATTTGTTTTTATAAATAATTCAAATATATTTTTTTTATTGCTTCGTGTAATGGCATTGTAAAGAAACGTCTGACGAGAAAAACACTTTATAATAATAAAATATACATAACGTAATCATTACATTATTTTTATAACTCTCAATAAAATACATAAATGTCGTTGATAACTACTTATATAATAATCATCATCATTTTTAATATAAAAAATAATCAGTGAACTTCTTATGAAGAGCAAAATTAAAATACAATTTTTAATAATAAATTAAATGGTATATTAATAAATTTTTGAATTAATAATAGATGTAAATGTCATGGGAGGGAACGTTTTAATTTATTATTATTATTGTTATTATTATTTTTATTGCTATTATCACTGTAATTATTATGATTACTGTTATAGTTATGATTATTAATTTTTTTCGAAAAATATTTAAGAAAAGGAGTACACTGTGATTTTACGATTTTTTTCTAAACGTATACATTTTATTTTTGCATGGTCCGCATTTTGTATAATTATTACAGATATAGTAAGAACACATGCGAGACAACGATAGATTGATACAAAAATTATAAAGAAATGAACGTGATCTATGTATATAATCCGATATTTTTTTTATTAGTTGAAATTATTTACGGATTATTATAATACTCGTTTAGTCGTAAAATCTTCTAAGTGTGCAAAAAGAAATAAATTGGTAAGAAAAATGGTAAATATAAATAAATAAAAAATGCGGAGTCTCGCAAGTGTGGCGAAAGTGGATGACAATTTGTACGAAAGAATGAATAATAACTTTGTAAAAATAATGATTCAGGTAATAATGATGATCCCTATAATTATTATTATTAAATTTTTGTCATATAACATTATTTCCCAAATGGCCAAGAGCTGATTCAGCAATTTAATCGATATTTTATCGATGAATTCGTGTTCATTATAATGAAAATAACAAATAAATACGATAGAAGTTGGAAAAATTAATCATTAAGATAAAAATAAAAATTTCCATAGTACTGTGGTGCGTTAATCAGAGTTGTTCATTTTCTATAAATTTATGTGCAATTAAATATATAACAAGTAATCAAAGAAAAGTAAATTATGTAATCAATGTAATCAGAGAATTCTTAAATGATTGACCTCGTAGGATGAATATTTTTTTCTTTTAATTTATTAGTGATTATTTTTAATTCATATATAGGCATATTATAAATATTAGTGGGTTAAAAGAATCAGCTGTCAAAAGAGCAACTTTGATTACTGGGCCTCGGATGAACCAATGATCGCGTTTTATTTGTATATTGCTCAATAGTTTATATTATTATACTATAATGTGTTATCTGTTGTATCATTTTTTATAAGAAATAGAAAATGTTGCTGCATTTTGAGAATCTGTCTTACGTTGATTATTTATTTATTATCCTACCATCTCAATAATTTATAGGCCATAAAATAATACATTAGTTGATTCACATTTTTTCAGTTCATTAGTTTAGTTTTAGTATTGAATTGAATTAAATGTAAGATTAATAATCTTTGAAGAATAAGCAATTTTTTTAATTAAGTAGCACAGAACATTTTTCAAATAAAAAATTGATCTTATGTTCATGATTATAATTTTTGTGATAATTCTATGGTACTAGGTATTAGGCACATGAAGGTTAAATAAAATTTCAACAATGAAATAAAACAAACAATGTTAAAGCATTCTATTAGTGCATACCGTTCTTAATTTAGTATCTTATTAAATAAATTTAATTCTTCTTGAAATTTTTAAACATGAAAGTATTAACTGGCATGGTAAATATTAGAATATATGAATACCCTTGTGAGAAATTTTTATAATTTATTACATAAATATTTTATTTCTCTAAAACAATACAAAAAGTGCATTCTTGGCACGGAATGTATGTCACCTCATTACTGTCCTCGTTAATATCACTTTTACTGATCAAGTAATTACTACCACACCTGCAAGGATAACTTAAAAATTTATCATCTTTTTCTTTCAATTGATCTAAATTTATGTTATCATAAATTAATATATTTTCTGACTCCAATTCAGCTTGTCGACATTCAGCATCGTATTTTTTCCGCGTTTCATTGTCACTTAAAATACGCCACGCTTCTTCAATGGCGAGAAATTTATCATTGGTTAGATTATTTTTATCCTGGGGATATTTATCAGGATGATAAAGAAGAGCCATTTTTTTATACGCTTGTCTGAGCTCTTCATACGAAGATTCCTTATTACATCCAAGTACTTCGTAGTATTTGTACAAATTCTGCTCAAGTGCCATTTTCTGTAAAACACTTGTTTCAGTTGTTGCACATTTTATCGAAATACACTAAAACAAATCACATTAATTATTTATTTTTTTATATGTAAGTATAATTATAATAGATAAATAAAAAAATTACAAAAATTTATTTACTTTACATAAATAATTAATTGTTACGCAAAAACTTTTAGGTTACAAAAAACATAATTTATTTAAATTAGTACACATATTTTTTGTTAGGGGGCATATAGATAAAAATTCAAATATGCGCGATAAATTTAAATCTATAACCTTTATTTGCATACCTCGTTAGACATATGTCAAAACATGATTATGTAAAACAATAACAAAGTAGATTACAGATTGTTGGAAAATACGCAAGTCATATACTGTTATCAGTTAACTAAAACATATTTTATATTGACAGATCGATATCGGGAAGGCATTTTTAAAAAGAATAATGGCTCAATCAGTACCAATGGTGACACTTTCCAATGGAAATAAAATTCCAATGATTGGATTAGGTACATGGAAAGTAAGTATTTCTGATGCATCGTCAGTATATTACATTTCTATTTTGTTAAATTATTGAAACTTCAATGCAATATTCAAAAATTTTAAATGCAATTTTTATTTACTGAATCTTAAAGTACTAGGACTAACTGCTAATTTATTCTAAATAGTTTAATTCTTTAACAGCGTTTCATTCTTAAATACATATCTCTACTGTTATGTCTTTGATATAGCTTCTAAAGAGTACAATGTACAATTAATAAACATCTATCATTTTATCATTCATTTCCTTTTTAGACAATGAAGCACTTCAATTCTATTATTCTAACATCTCTAGTATTATAACACAATTTTTTTTAAACAAAACAACTTTTTTATTTAATTCAAACACCAATTATATCATTTAGTCTACTTATTTTATTTGTGATAAAAAAAGCTATTGTCTTACTGTTAAATTAATATACAACTTCAATTCATAATAAATGAGTAGAAAAAAATATTGATAAACGTAAATGAAACGTATGAAATCAGATTAAAAATGAATAATGAATTAATTAAAAAATCAATTCATTGTTTAGTTATTTAAAGTGATCATTTAATGCGAATTCTATTATGACCTCGAATCAATAACAGACTTATTAAATTTCTTATTAATTCAATTTCTATTCGCTATTAATATTTATAAAGAATTATTGAAAAATATTAAAAAATATTTTATTTTTTAAATAATAATAACTTGATTATTTTATTTATTTAAGGCAGGTGTTGGTACAACTTGTCAAATTGTTAAAGAGGCTATAGATTGTGGATATCGTCATTTTGATTGTGCTCTTGTCTACGAAAATGAAGCTGAAGTCGGTCAAGCTATTAAAGAAAAAATTAAAGAAGGAGTTGTAAAAAGAGAAGATATTTTCATTACAAGCAAGCTATGGAATACATATCATAAGTTTGAATCAGTTGAGCGTGGGATCAGGAAAAGTTTGGCGAACTTTGGCCTTGATTACTTGGATCTTTATTTAGTTCATTGGCCAATGGCATTTGAGGATGGCGATGAATTGTTTCCTGAGAACCCTGACGGCTCTCGTAAAGTTAGTGATACTGATTATTTAGAGGCTTGGAGAGGAATGGAGGGAGTTTATGAGAAAGGTTTGGCAAAGAACATTGGAATAAGTAATTTTAATTCTGAACAAATTACTCGGCTAATAAATAATTGCAAAATAAAACCTGTCGTCAATCAAGTTAGTATTATTGATCTTAAAATTTTGTTATTCAATTAAAATTTCGGAATAAAAATTTTTTTTTCATATTCTTTAGGTTGAATGCCATCCTTATTTGACTCAGAAAAAATTATCTGAATTTTGTAAAGAGAGAGGTATCACCATTACCGCTTACAGTCCTTTAGGATCGCCAAACCGTCCATGGGCTAAACCTGATGAGCCAAAATTGTTGGAAGATAAAAAGTTGATCGAAATTGCTAAAAAATATAATAAATCACCAGCACAAATTGTCATTCGTTATCAAGTAATTGAAAAACTGTTTTCAATTCGATTATGTGTCAGAATAATATAATAATGTGTTATATTCTAAATAATTCTAATAGTATCAGAGATTTTGAGAATAAATTTACTTATCTATGTATACGTTTCATAAGATAAATTCAAATTTTTTTTTTAGATTGATCGTGGCCATGTAGTGATTCCAAAAACAGCAACAAAATCACGTCTCATTGAAAACTTCAATGTATTTGACTTTAAATTGAGTCCAGAAGATATAACTTATATTGATAGTTTTGATGTGGGTGGAAGATTTGTTGCATTACTTGAGTGAGTGTTGTATTTAATAATTACTAATTATCTTCAATCAAATAAATATCATAACTCCCTATACTAAAGCCCCTACTAAATATTTGAGTTTATTTTTTCAGCCGTGCTGGAAGCCCAAACTACCCATTTAATATTCCATACTGAGATGATTAATCATGATTGACATTGAGATTTATTGTTATTGTGGTAGTAGAAATAAAGTAGAGAGCGAATTTTTTTTATTGATGTATAAAGAATATAAGAAATGAACTTTATGAAGAAATGTAAGTATGTTCCAACATCAGCATGATTTGATACTATTGTACATTTCACGAAACAAAATTTTATATTCCATGATAATTTTTTAACAATAAAACACAATAAATATCAAAAAACATTGATGAAGTTGTATTAGCTCTGATTTACGACGATCTTTACATACACATGCGTTAAATACAGAACATTAGACCGACGTCTGCTCGCTGGTATTTGTCCCCTCCACTCAATTATAGACAACCGCTGTAAGCCGACTTTATTCATCATCAAACAACCGAACCGTTTGCTGCAACTTGCTCTTGCATTTTACTTCGTCTCATCGTATTAAATTTATTGTGCGAATATGGCTCTAAGCGTTCCGAAAATTAAGTTTTATAACGGAAATGAAATTCCAAGTTTTGGTTTAGGAACTTGGAAGGTAAGAAATTCAATTTTTTACCATATTCTAATGCACGTTCTAATGGAAAATTCCCAATTTTTTACTTTCAAGAATAGATCTAGTACTTTCCAAACAAGAGATGAATCTTTGGGATTTTTCCGTTGAAATAATTTTTTGTTTTTTATTAGATTTTTATCAAAGACATAATCGTGATATGTTATAAAATAATAGTTAATATTTTTTTATAAAAAAAAAATTCTTTGATATAATCTATAAATTAAATTGATGGATACTTTTTATAAAATTGTATTAATAAGTTTTTCAATAAGGTTAAAAAAATTATTAACAATCGATTCTCAATTTTTTTTGCCTAGTCTAAACCTGGTGAAGTAACGGAAGCTGTGAAATATGCTATAGATATTGGGTACCGTCATATTGATTGCGCTCATGTCTATGGGAATGAGAAGGAAGTTGGGGCTGCTTTGAAAGCGAAGATTGGTGAAGGGGTAGTAAAGAGAGAAGATCTTTTTATAACCAGCAAGCTATGGAATAGTTATCACAAGCCCGAAAGTGTTGAAAAGGCTATCAAAACAACTTTGAGCAATCTTGGTCTTGATTATTTAGATTTATATCTTATTCATTGGCCAATGGCATATGAAGATGGTGATGTTCTTTTTCCAACTAATCCCGATGGCTCACCGAAAATGACTGATACCGATTACGTTGATACTTGGCGTGGTATGGAAGGCGTTTGCGAAAAAGGATTGACTAAAAATATTGGATTAAGTAACTTCAATTCTGAGCAAATTGAAAGAGTTTTGAAAAGTTGTAAAATAAAGCCTGTAACCAATCAGGTATATTATTAATATAAATTTCTACATATTCTTTTTGTCTTTTTAGAACAAGTACAATTGATAATTCAATTGATATTTATTTCTTTAGATTGAATGCCACCCATACTTGACTCAAAAAGAGCTAACCAAATTCTGCAAAGAACGAAACATTGTAATTACTGCTTACAGCCCCTTGGGATCACCGGATAGACCTTGGGCAAAACCTGATGAACCAGTCCTTTTAGAAGATAAGAAGTTAATTGAGATTAGCAAGAAATACAACAAAACTACTGCTCAAGTTGTCATACGCTATCAGGTATTTGATAATAAAAGTAATATTATTTCAGCTTTTTACTCATCTCCCTTCAAATTTGCCACAATTAATTTAATTCCTAATACGAATATGACGAATCATAAACTAAAAACTTTTGAAACAGCTGTAGAAAATAATCTTTAATCTTTTCAAACAACTATACAATGATATGATTATATCTATTCGCTCACAAATACCATAACTTGGCAGTACTTTTCCATCACGTTTCTAAGAATTATTTTTTATGTTACGAAAGAGAACCATTAGAAGCTTCTGTATTATATACTTCTTTCAATAATTCTTTTTGTGTGAGTCAATATTTACATCTTTGTTTCCGTTTTTTAGCTCGACCGTGGACATGTTGTAATACCGAAGTCAGTAACTAAGTCACGTATTCTGGAAAATGCTCAAGTATTCGATTTCAAACTAAGTGATGAAGATATTGCTTACATAGATACATTTGATATTGGTGGAAGAATTTGTGCAATGCCTGAGTAAGTATTTTATTATAATTATTCCTAATTGTTCTAATTACACTTATCTACTACAGCTAATAATTAAAATAAATAGAATCAAATTTAGTGACTATTAATTTTATGTAATTTTAGATGTTCAAAAAATAAGAACTGGCCATTCCACATTCCATTTTAATACAATGCAGGACATTTTTACTTCATCACAGATTTTTCAAAAAATGAATCATAACAACATAACATATGATTACACAAACTTTTGTAAGAATTTGTAATAAGAAAATCAATAAAATGAGCAAATCATTTCAAAAAGCTGATATTTTTATTTAATCGAATTATTTAATTTATTAATACATCACAACTTATTTATAATTATTATAGTAATGAATTTATTTTTGTAATGTGACAAATGTAACTGATATTTGTTTGTGTTGGTAAAAATATCAATGAAAGTTATTAATATTTTGTATACAGAATGAAGATTGAATATAATTATTCTAATTAAACAAATTGAATATTAATTCAATTGCCTTTGAACTAAATTTCTTACTTTGAAGTTTCTTTTTCTATTTTACAAATTTTCTTGTAGATGGCTCTGTAATACATTTCTCGAGCTTCTGTGGAGTTTCTTTTCTGTGCGTGCTTTATCGTAGACAGCATAAATTTTCTGTCAGAAAATCCTATATATATATTTTGTTTTTAATTATTTTATTCCAGTAAATGCTTTCATAATAATTACAAAAAATGGTAAGTAAATCAATCACATACAATTTACTATAAAACTTATATAAACATAAGAATTGAAGTATATACTATGTAACTTTCTAACCTACAAAAAAAGTATAATTTATTAAATGATGAATTTTTGTAGAAACCATTGATGTTACATGGGCACGAACGTGCTATAACAAAAATCAAATACAATCGAGAAGGTGATTTAATTTTTTCTGCAAGTAAAGACAAAAATCCAAACGTTTGGTATTCGTTGAATGGAGAAAGATTAGGAACTTTCAACGGTCATAATGGGTCGGTATGGTGTATTGATGTTAATTGGGATACAACGAGATTTATAAGTGGTTCCGGAGATAATACATTGAGAATTTGGGATTGTCAAACAGGTTTGTATGAAAAATTATTAATTAAAGATGCCTTTCAAAATCTTCTGAATATTACATTGATTATTAGGCAAAGAAATTGGTCAACTGCCTACAAACAGTTCCGTTAGGACATGTGCATTCAGTTATTCGGCAAATACTGCTGTTTATTCTACCGACAAAGCTCTTGGTCATCAATGTGAAATGTTCATCATTGATACGAGGAATGTTGACCCCGTAATTTCACAAGAAGATGCTATTCGAAGGATTCCAATTCATGGACCAAGAATCTCAGCTATTCTTTGGGGTGCTTTAGATGAAACTATTATTACTGGTCATGAGGATGGTGAAATAAACGTTTGGGATGTCACCGTACGTAAAGAAAATGAATGATAACTAGTATTTCAATTCATTAACTATAATTAACTTTTAACACTAAATAATAATATTATTTTAGTCGGGAAAAAAATTAAACAGTCAAAGAAGCCATAAGTCTCAAATAAATGATATGCAGTTTAATAAATACGGTACCATGTTTATTACGGCATCTAAAGATCACACTGCTAAATTATTTGACACCGAATCCCTAATGCATTTGAAGACTTACAAGACAGAACGGCCAGTAAACTCAGCAACAATATCTCCAATTTATGATCATGTAGTCCTTGGAGGGGGGCAGGATGCTATGGATGTAACAACGACATCAGCCCGTCAAGGAAAATTTGATGCTCGATTTTATCATCTAGTTTTTGAAGAAGAGTTTGCTCGTTTAAAAGGTCACTTTGGTCCCATTAATTCACTTGATTTTCATCCGAACGGTCGGAGTTTCTCCAGTGGTGGAGAAGATGGTTATATTCGTATTAATACATTTGATCAATCTTATTACGACTTCCACTTTGAATTTTAATCGATTGTATTATTAGAAAATTGGAGAATAAAAAAAAATTGAGAAAAATATAAATTTTTAAACGACTTAATTAATAAACTTATTTATATAATTATTGGTGGAAATACTTTCAATTTTCAATTATTTCACTTGTTTGATAATTATTAATAAAAGTGTTTTTCTATCAATTGAAATGTTGATCCTTTATTTATCTATATAGTCCACTTAATTATCATATATTCATATAATGATTAATTAATCGATATTGTACAAATTATCATTACAATATTTACCCTCTATCATAAGATTATTCTTAGTAGTTTATGTTTCTTACTTAATTATCCATTTAGCTTAACAATTTTGTAGGTATTATCAACTGGTTACAAAAAAAACCAGTTTTGGAGTATGTAAATAGTACAATAGACATTATGTGCACTATAAAAAAATGCACAAATATTTATTCATCATTTATTAATAATATTCTCGTATTGAATACAATTTGTCGAATTTATAATTAATATTGTTTTTACCTATAGTAAATGTACAAAAATTATTTAAGAAGAAAAAAAATAAGTAAATTTCATTAAATTAATATTCGTTACTTTTTCATCTTTTTTCTGAGCGTTATTATGACTATCTACATTTAATATTCATCGATTACATTTTTTTTACTTTGATAAAACTATTGATTTTAGAGTTTATACAAGAAAAATGGATAAAAAAAATGAAATTTAAATTTCCTTGTGATACTAATCGATTTGAATACATAATATTTATCATTCAAAATTTATTTTATGATATATATATATTAAAATAAACTCACTGTATTTTATTATATTGAAGAAAAATGTTATATGTAAAAGAAATTTTATTTGGTAAATGAAGTAAAATCTAATAAAAAATTTTTACACGCGCGTATTTACCGATTTATTTGTTTTTTATTGATATAATTTTTCGATTTCATTATAGACCCTATGTTAATGTACATTTGTTCTTTAACTTATATTATTTTTCTTTAAGAGCGCAAAAATAAAACTGGATATATTTTTTCGTTTTTATTACAATGCATTGAAGGATTATGCAATCCAACTTATAAGTAAGTAAATAGATACAATGTACAGTGTTCCGATTACCCCGTTGATGATGATGATCGTTTATATCATAAATTATTTGATACACACAAATCTACAAATTCATAATATTCGACGTTCTTTTTTATATCAGTAAAATAATTAACCATTAAAAAAACTATTAAGGAATTCATTAACATTAAAAGTTTACATTAATTATAATTAGAAAAGTATTCAAATTTGCAACGAAAAAGAAGAGTTTTCATGAATTAAAAAAATACTTTCATAATATTCTTTCAATTTATCTCTGATATTAAAGAAAATAAATAAAAACATCATCATGATTTGATTGAAAAAAACTCATCGTAAAATCATCAAGAGCTGATTTGAAAAAAACTTCACAAAGAGATCAGGGTTTGAAGCACAACACATTTGTCAACTAATCTTCGAACCTCATAAAATATATATGTATATTCATATATATAAAGGACTATTCTATTGACAAGCCGTGATAATCCACGACTTAATCAAGCACAAAGACCGTGTTTGTGGTTGTTAATAAACTACAATTTTATAGGCAATTTGGGAAATACGCGTCTTCAGGATTAACCAAGGAGTTATTACTGAAGGCCACCCTTGTATCTTGTTCTTAGTTTGTTTCTTATTATTTTTACAGTCTATTATTATTTTTATGCATGTCCGATAACAACAATAAAAATTCTTAAATAAATATATCGGTATAATCATCGATGGAATATTATTACGCAGTCAACTAGTATGTGTGTGTTTCTGTATTTGTAATTTCACCATTGTTATTTATCTTATTCATCATTTTTATCATAATTATTATTCTTATTTTTATTACTATATTATTATTTTATTATTATTTATATTCGCAAAAAATTCGCGGATGACTCTTTTCTTTCTGCCTTTCTATATTTTTTATTTGTTCACGTATATATTAGCGCGCTTTAAGCATCACTCTATGCTCACACATATACAGGGCACAAATTAACGTTCAATGAACGAATTTTCACTTCGTGTTTCATTTAATTATTTTTTTTTTTGTTTTTTTTAAAATATTTTTTGAAATATTTTTTTTTTATTTTTTGAGATTTTTCGCCTGTTTAATTTTTTTTTTTTTTATAAATGAAAAAGGAGTATCATTGAACGTTTTATGCGACATTCATCGAAACAAAATAAACATACATCACTCGGTCGACAATTGCTATTTGCTTCTTCCTTGTGAACTATTTAATCTTGTTGTCGTTTTCGCTGGCTGTGGTATAATTGTAATTTCGTCATTAATTTTCAATGGTTTTAAGAGTGAATCATTAGATCTCGATGATGGTGATGATGGTGTATTTTTCTTGTCTATTACGCGTTTAGCTACCACACTATGTGCTGAATACACATGATTTTCAAATTGCTTATACATCCCGAACGTGGCAGTGCATACTGTACATTTGTATGATAAATGTGCGGGCTTTAGTGTCATTCCATGATCTCGCGCGACGTGATTCAATAATTTCCATTGATAGACCTAAAATAAAAAATTAAAATTGTTATGAAATGAATTATTATTATATTTTCTTTAATAATCATTTTCTTTCGTATATTGAAAAATATCTTACTCTGCCACAAGCTGGACAACGGCCTGCGTCTTTCCCTTTATTTGCAGCTTCTTGCATACTTGATGTAACGAGTCCATGCGATCCAAGTAAATGTCTCTCCAATCCCTTTAACACATTAATTTATAATACAATATCGATCATAACGATGTTAATAGTTATTACGTTTGAAATAGATAAATAAAATTTCTCACCTGATCAGTAAAGAATCGGAATTGACACTTTTGACAGTTTAATGGAGGTCTATTATAAATCATCTTTGGATGTATTTTGACTTTATGAATCCATTGCATATGATTGCGAAGTTGTTCTAGATCCTATATTTTTTAATTAATTATTAAATAGCAAATACAGCTTCTGTATTAAATTTATAGAAATAATTTCAAAACCATAATATTACCTTGATATATCCATCACAAATTTCACATATAACAAATGTATTTTTTCCACCAGGCTTTGACGGTGAACCGGAGCCTAAGATGGGGGCTTGACTTGTAGTACGTGGTAATGGAGTTATGGATATACTTGGCTGACTTAACAATTTTGCTGCAGGATTCTTCGAACTACTTGATGTATTCTACAATATGTAAAATTTTTAATTAGATAAACAATACGAAAATTATCATATATAAACACTAATGAAAATATTGAAATAGAGTTGACTAATCTAAGTTAATCAAAAGAAATGAATTACAAATATAGTGCTCAAAATTTGTAATTTATAATCGATGACAAAATTATTAAAATTCATGTCAACATTAACATGCATAATTATACTCTTATAATTAATAAACCATTCTGAAAAATTTAAAAAGCATCATTAATAACACTTAGTTGCAAAATGGAAGCAAAAAAAAAAATGATTAGCTGTGAATAAAACTCTATTTTTTATTAATATTTTACATTACATCCGGGTTTGAAACTATAACGTAAATGTGTTTCGAAAAATGGATGTAATTTAACTCCTAAGTAAATTGCAACATGAGATTATTTATAAACAAAAATTTCATAAGTATTATTATAACAATAAATGTGATCACATAAATAATATGTGAGTAACAATAAAAGTTTGTCAAAGGATTAACCCATGCCCATGATAGTATGTGTCAATCATATAATGAGTATAACGCCCTGCAGTGTTATCCCGATATTTATTTACCTGTAATGAGGACAATCTAGACTGAGAGTCGATTACGTTGGATACAAGGGCAATGGGTGTGGGTCGACCGGAACTGCCGCAGCTACTGCTACTCACCCCCGATGCTGATGTGACAGTCCCAGAACCACCCACCACCTGTTCACCACCCACATATTCCGTTATCAACTCTTTTTTCAATTAAAACAGGAAAGTATAATATAACAAACCGACTTTCTCCTTATCTACCTCACTTTGGACAAATTTATCGGTATTTTACGCTCAATATAAATAATACATAAACAAATGTCGATGAATAGTGAATTTCAAACATCGAAGGATCCTTGTCATTATCTTTAAAAATATAAAACTGTAAGTTTTAATAATAAATACCTGGAATATTTGGTTACTGCCAAACTGATAAGATGTAGGTACTAAAAGTCCTGAAGATGTTGGTCGATACATCATTCCTGGTACATTATCTATAAGAAAATAAATATTTTAAACTTTAAAATACATTCAAGTTGATAAGAAAAATAATGAAACAAACCTTGTCGAACAGGTGTGCTGCCAGGTCTCAATGACTTTATATCTGAATACCTTGGTTGCATTGGTGGTCTACCTCTTCCGCGACCAGTGATTGGTGTTGGAAGTAATTTTGGTAACAATGGCTGAGGTCCTTTAGAGCCCATAGCCATAGCAAGAGCGTTAGAATTAACACTACCAACATTTCTAGCACGACTGAACCTTGGTATTTTAGCAGGTGGTTCCCAATCCGTAGCAGGTTCAAGATTGCGTTCAGGCCTAAATTTCTTTGTACATGCGAGTATATGTCGGGTAAGTTTACCCTTTTGATTGTCTTCAAATGGACAATTAGGACATTGATGGAAAGCTGGACCGCGTTCAAGTCTTCCACGTGTATTGTGTTCAGCTTCCATATGAAAAAGAATATCATGTGGACTTCGAACTTCCAAAGGACAAAAGTTACATTTATACACATAATTTCGCATATGTGGTGTTTCTAAATGATGCTGCATTACCAATGCTGATTCTGTTTTAAAATTACAAAACTCACATTTTTTCATCTCTAAGTGGAATGGTTCATTATTTTCTTTGCTAAATTCTAAATTTTTAATCAATGAGTTTATTGCCATTTGCGTTTCCGCAGATGTACTACCTTTACCCTGCTTACGTTTTTGAGTTCTCAATAAATCTGTTTGTACAAACTCTTGGACGAGATTTACGCCAATTTGCATGAAAAATTTTCCAAGAGGTAAATCAAAATAGGTTAAAATTTTATTTTTATCATCTTTATCGTCACCTCCGAATTGTTTATCAGCTAAATCGACCGAATCTCCATAATCATCTTTTTTCATGCTTTTCACACTTCCTTCACTTTCACTATCATTTCTGGAAGATTCTGAAGAATCGTCTTTATTTTTGCGATTTTTTTTATCTTTTTTCATAGATTTCTCTTCTTTGTCTATTTCTTCAATGCATTTTTCTAACTTTGTGACAAATTCTTTTAATGGTTTCAATGGTGGCTTTTCATACACATAAGGAACGATGAAGGACGGCGCTTCAACAACAAACATGTCATCAGTGAGAGTTGGCAAAATCTGAGGAGCAGGGGCTGGTGTTGGTATTGCTGTTATGCTACTAGATAATTTGGGACTGAGCTGAGCAGTTTTGGAAGTCATTGGTACAGGGGTTATTGTAGTCCGCATATTCGGGTAAATAGTTTGAGTAGCATTTAAACCTACAGGCATCACTGAAAAGCCACTTGAGCTTGATACTGAGTGATGTGATTTACTATTATTTATTGGCACACCTCCACGTCCTGAAAGGATTGAGTTAGTATCAATAATTACTAAAGTTGGTTCTTTTTTACCACCTTTCGATGCTTTACTACCAGCTGCGATTTCAACAAGACGTTTAGTATCATTGACAACAATTGTCGTTTTACTTGTTTTTATAGGTGATTTTAATTTTGAATTCTCTTTATCTTTACTATCGACACAAGCCAATGGATCTTCTGGTTTAATTTCTTCTATATCAGATGATCCATCAACTTCAACTTCTTCAGGTTCTTTTTCGATATAACTAGTACGTTTGATATTTCTTGAGCTACGTCTAGGAGTTATATTGCTCAAATCTATCTGTTTTCTAGCTTTTTTCTGTTTTGGTTCTTTTGATAAACGTTCTTCAGATATATTATGGCCATTGCTTTTACTTTCTGTAATTTCTTCAATCTCTGGACTACTCAAGCTACCATTTTCTTCACAAATTTTTAAATCTGATGTTTCAGCACTAGATATAGACACTACGCTATCATTTAAATGTTGAATATCGCTACTTTCTGATACGGCTTTCACATCATCATCATCATCATCATCGTCTTCATCATCATCATCATCATCATTAATATCATCGTCCTGATTTTTATCAGGTTCAGTGTCAACTTCCATTTGTAGATCTGTTATATTTTCGTCAAGACATTCGACGTCAGAATTATTATTTTGATAATCAACATCCATAGACTCAGAGAAATTATCTTTACACTCTCGTTTGTCGTCTAACACTTCACTAACATTTTTATTATCACTTTCAGCACTCTTAGAGTCTTCTGTTGATATTGGTTCTTTAGTTGAATTTTTTGAATCATTATCACATAAATTTTTATTTTGTGATGAATTTAAAGTTTTTTCATGTGGTATATCTTCATTATCCGGTACATCTTCTTCCTCCTCTTCATCATCCTCTTCTAAAGCATTATCAGTGGTCACCATTTTACTGTCTGGTGCCATGTCATTATCAAGTTTATCACTGTCATCACAAGAGCCATTGACACCATTCAAAATTACAGCATCTGAAAGGATGTAAATATTTACTAAAATGACCAAATTTTAATTCATAAGATTTTTTTTGGATATAAGTATTTGCCAATATTATATTATAGTGAAATACATGGTTTTAACGATCAGTTTTTATATAAATCTTACTTAATAATGACGAATGACTAATGACAAATAATAAATTAAGGGCAATTAGTAATGTGAAAAACCATATTGATACCTTTTGCTACATCAGAGTTGTCGTTAGATGGGTCCTTGACCAGTGGTGAATCTTCCAATGTACCTTCCATGGGGCCACTGCTGCTGTCCGGCTTACCCTGAACAGCCAGTAATAAAAAAATTTATTTCCAAGTATTGGTTTAATTAATGAAACGAAATTGTCAACCTCACGGACTGACTGCGTCCGGGGGAGGTTGGACGCCACGTTATTTCTTCACAATAATAGTATAATACGAACTTCACTCCACCACGTACGGAAATAATAGTTGAGGAAATTTTTCAAAATGGCGCACAACGAATTCCGCACTCTCCGGAGAGCTCCCTCAACGTCCCATAACCAATAAACTGCTTGCCGTAACCCCGATGGCGGGGTTGTGGTTTGTTTCTTATCCGGAGATTCGAGATAATTAAATGTAACTCTTTAAATAAAACAACCACGTTTTTAGACTTAAATGATTGTTTGTGTATTAAACCTCTCGACTATCTCCTAACACAACAGATACCGTCAGCTTCCTCGGGGAAAATCCAGGAAGTCCGAGTCAGGAGACGCCGAGAGGTGACTCTCCTGCGTGCACGAGTATGAGACGTTGAGAGAGGGGTCGGGAGAGGAGAGGAATGAAGTTGTGGCGTCGCTCAGTCAGTCAGTCAGTCACCTGCAAGCCGAACTACTTGCATGTACCATCATCATCACCAATTTTTCATCCATTATTTGTTTCTCTACTACGTTTACACTTATAACAAATCTACTTTAACAACCAATAGCAATCAATCGTTAACTTTATACATGTTTTACCACTTACTTTTTTTTCCAATAATCGATTATTTATTAATATAATATTTAGTGAAGATGACAACATGTTTGATTAATTGATAAAAAATTTTTTAGTAACAAAAATATTAATGCATTGAAGAATTTGAATAGTTTACAAAGTTGTTGAAATAACGATTGCAGTAAACACAGACTATTTTGTTTTTATTTTAAATTGTCAAAGTTTTTATTGTATAACTGTATAAAAAATGCAATTAAAACACTGATTGGAATAAATAATTAAACTAAATTAGAGAAACAGATAGAGAAATTTGGAGATGGTGTCAGGGGAATATTTACAGTTTCTTTGAAAAGAGCTGACCTACTCTGTAACAGGAAGAAACCTTTCTCTTGATGTTAAAGAATACTAAAAGATACTAGTATAACTCATTCAATTCCGGAACAATCGACTTTTATCTAAGCTATTCAAAAATCATCAAAGCAGTAATACAAATAAGAATCATATGATACCTATCAGAAATTATAGAACTTCATAAGTTAATTTTTCAGAGAGTCATTTCTGTTTAAAAGTCAAATAAGTATTCTGGGAAATAGTTTTGAAAAAATTATTTTTTTATTATAGACATTTGGATTCTCTTTTTCAGCCATTCTGTTTAGGACTCATAAAAATCCGTCTATAGTTTATTAATGAATGGTTGAGAAGCGTATCCTCTGAGCAATATGACAAGTGCATAATGTTGAAAACTATGTGAGATAACTGAAGAAAAAAAAATTTGATAATGAAATAAAAATAAATAAAACCATTAAAAAAAAATTAAAATTATTAAAAAATATTTATCAGTAAAAATTTTACACCAGATGGCAGCTAATACTATGGTAACGTTAAAAAAAGTTGTACTCCAGGGCCGTGATCAAAATCCATTATACAATAGACTATATTGTATATGCAAAATAAGGTGAAAAAAATCAATTAAAATTTGAAATAATTATAAAATTTCAATTCATATGTAGAATATTTAAAGCTTAGTAAAATTGATAAATTTCTTTTAACTTTGAAAATATTTTCTACTATAATTTTAATCACAATACGTGACAATTTGCAATGATTAATTAATAGTTAAAAAAAAATGTTTTAGAAATTTCTAGAATAATTTTTTTTACATTAAGTTAGTTTTTTATCAATAGATAATTATAAATATTCCATGTGAATCATTAATTATTAATAACTATTGTAAAAATAATTTATTAATAATTTTATCAAAGAAATTAGATATTCAGAAAAAAAAAATTGATTTTAAATGACTCAAAGCATAATCAATTAATGGTATATGATGACAATTACATAAAACTAGATATAACATTAAAGAATTATTTAGATTAGTAGCGATTTTAGAAATAGGATTAATTAATCCCGTAAGGGTTCATCTAATAATTGGCACGGCCCTGGTTATATTGTGTTATTCGATGCCGCAATTGCAGAAATGACATGTTTAATATGACTCGAATATCCTAGATAATTCAACTGAATTCACGCGGTTCCTGTATTTAATCAGCCGCGTGGTTGTGCGTTAACACACGTGGATTCGGCATTTAAGTACTGTAAAAAATATATAATTCATATATTCCCGCGTTTTTCTAGTATTTTGGAGGTTCGCATTAACCTTACACTCAACAGCTGCCGTGGTAGTATGCTATCCAAATGCTTTAGACGATGATCACCCTGACGGAGGAGGCCACGATAATGCACACACGGAATACACCACCACGCTTTTCTATCTCTCTTTCTCTCTCTCTTTCTCTTTTCTATTCTGTCTTCCTCGACTATTTTAGATGCCGCGCTTATTCAAAATCTCCACACGTGTATATTCTATCACAAATACTAACACTAGATACTTTGATCTATCACTCACTTATTAATAATTCAAACTGTTATTCATATAACAATTAATTCACATATATTTTATGTTTATTTGGGTTCGACGTCACGAATCCTCCTTACCTCCATCGTTGGAAACTGCCAAGATGGCGGACACGTCAAATCACGTGATCGCTAAATTTTGTGACGTACACCCTATAGTTCATGAAGGGACTCTTACGTCCCAGTAAAATTTATTATTTATTGTCACGTGATCAAATTCTCTTCATTCAACCAATCACTAATTTTTTAACTTAATCGCCATATCCAAGTCACTCAACTATTTTTTATATTAACCCAATTATGGTTATTAATAGCTCATAGCTATAATAAAAAAAATTATTCATAAGTTTATAACAAATAAAAAAATACACATACTTGGAAAGAAAAAGAAATAAAAATTTTATACTTATGATAGAAAAAAAAACAGAAGTATATGATTACTTTATACAAAAATCTTCATTTATTGTCGACCCATAAAATTTCTCCTAATGATAGTTGTCCGTTTATCTGTATGATGATGCAATCAGGTAGTGAATTTTTGAGCTATTCGTCATCGTCATCATTAAAGGACAAGACAATCTTCGTTTTTGATTCCTTAGATTTTTTGATTTTCTTTTTCCTTGGTTCTTCTATCGTTGAAACATCTGTTTCTGATATTTCTGACGATTTGATTTTTCGATTAAATATTATTCTCTTAGAAAGATCTGCAGGCGTATTGGCTTCTTCTACAAGTTTATGATATCATATCAGTAATGATGTTCATTCAATAATGACTTTAACATACTTCTCTAATAATCGAAAATATTAATGGTTTTACTAAAATCTAATCTATGAAAAAGATTTTGTCAAAACAGGTTATTGACAAAGATGCTTTTATTGACAATAAGGATCATAAGCCCACAAACCGTCTTCCTTTTTCTTGAGAATAGCATCAACTTCTTCAGCGGTTAAATCACCATCGTTCAATACAACAACAACCGGTTTTTCTTCCAATCGATCCTGACAATCATCTTCTTCTCCTTCTGAAAGTGCTTCTCTCTACGTGAAATATTGATATTTTTCATATTTTTAAGCTTTGCTTTTTATTACTACTATAATATAACCTTCATTTACCTTTGTTTCAACAGTAGGACCTTCTTTATACCCAATTTGTGCTTTAATTTCTTGAAGAAACTTTGGTTCTTCAGGTTTTGTGTAGGAAACATTGTGTTTCTTTCTGGACATGATTTATTTAGAAAAAAATGATTTACCTAAATTAAAAAATATAAATTAATGTTCTTCATAATTATTTAACAGATATACGACAGAGAACATAATCAATCACATTTATAAAATTTAATAAATATTGAATATCAGAAATTCACATAAATTCATCAGCTGATGTAAACATCTATACGATTGATTTAAAACGTTTTGATTCCATTAGTCGATAAAAAATTTCATCTATTTTATTACCATCCATCTGCAAATATAAAATAGATGTCGCGTTGTATGTATCTGCAGTGAGCTTTCAATTACTTTGTAGATGTCCACTGGACTTCTATAGTGCAACTTTATTCTCTGGTTTGCATTCACATACAGTACTGGAGATAAATGTTGTTCAATTTTTTAAAGGTTATACATGTGATTTCCCTATGCCGTCTTATAGAAAATCACACAGCATTTATGTCCGGTACTGTATAGTCGGACTGAGAAGAGGATTCCTAATGTGCTCTTGTACGCTTGCGCAGTAGTGAAAACGTGGTAAGAAAACAGTGGTGGGGAACCCGAAAGGATCAGGAGGAAGCAACTGAGGAACGCTCTTCTCATTTCGACTATATATGAAAGCATAGTATATATTCATCAATCAGTTGTGAAAATCTACACGAACAACATAAGTGTATGTCATGGGAAAAAGCATTACTTCAATTTGTTGATTATTTTATTAAATAAAGTGATTTAGTGATAATATAATTGATTTACCCTACGAGTGAAGTATCTTTTTTACACAACTTTATTATACAAGCGTATCGAAGCAAAGAGTCATGGCGACAACACAAGTCAAAGGAAGCGGGTGGCCTCGACGGGCAAGTAATAGTTCATTTGAAGGAAAGCCTGTCCAAAATCAGTCTGTAACAATTAATAGGACAGTAAATTTGTAAGTAGTTAATATCTATTTTAGATAAATACTTTGACTATTTTAATTTCATTATTAATGGTATGCTTTAAAAGGTTTACTCATGCTCAATGAATGAATATACTATGCGCTCTATATACAATGCCGGTATGCGTTGTGTACTTATCTAAGAACGTTTTTGTCAACAAGCTGATTTAATGCGCCAATGTTATAATAAATAGTCATATGTACATAGTTTATCTCATTAAAACTATGAATAATTTTGATTTTCTTCTACACTAATAATTTTGGAGCAAACAACATTTTTTCTATAAACTCTACTCCGTTTTTTATTTTTATAATATTGAGGTTAGAATAATGCCACATTAAAAGAGCACTACTTGTTTGAAATAAGAATTTTATTATTTTGTTCCAAGTACTTGTTATTTTAGAAATTATCTGCCAATAAAATTTTTAATTCTGAGCATCAAAAAAATTTACTACAATCATGCAAAGAAAATAAAGCTTTGAATCTTTGGATAAACAAGTTGAGAAATTTTTAAAGTTGTGCGGGATTAATGATTTATGGTAATTACAGATATCCTCTCACAAACTATACGTTTGGAACGAAAGAACCACTGTTTGAAAAAGATCCATCGGTCCCAGCAAGATTTCAACGTATGAGAGATGAATTTGATAAAATTGGCATGCGAAGAAGTGTTGAAGGTGTTCTCTTGGTTCATGAACACGGTTTACCTCATGTACTTCTCCTACAACTAGGAACAACGTTTTTTAAATTGTTAGTATTTTTTAAAGTTATTTTAATAATATCTTAAACTTAGATTAATATGAATTTTTATTGCAGACCTGGAGGAGAGTTGAATGCTGGTGAAGATGAGGTCGAAGGTTTAAAACGTCTCCTGACTGAGGTATGAACTTTTAATATAATTAATTTTTTGGAATATTTATTTAAAATTTGTTTTTTATAATAAATAAAAAATTTTTTCTAGACTCTCGGACGTCAAGATGGTGTAAAACAAGAATGGGTAATTGAAGATACAATTGGAAATTGGTGGCGACCTAACTTTGAACCGCCACAATACCCTTATGTTCCACCGCATATAACAAAGCCAAAAGAACACAAAAGATTATTTTTAGTTCAGCTACAAGAAAAAGGTTAATAAATGTGAAAACAACATTTCTGTAATAGCTTTTGTTAAAAAAGAATTAGAAGAAGATTGTATAAATTACTTTTTCAGCTTTATTTGCCGTTCCAAAAAATTATAAACTTGTTGCTGCTCCTCTTTTTGAGTTGTATGATAATTCACAAGGTTATGGACCCATAATATCTTCTTTACCTCAATCACTTTGCAGGTTCGTAAGAATTATACAAACATTTGTCTTTTTTAATAATGTAAAACAAATAATTGATTTAATTTTTTTTTACAGGTTTAACTTTATTTATATGTAAGCTGTAATAAATTGGAACGATTATTGATGAATTTTTTTTTATTTAAATTGAATATTATCGTGTAAAGAAGAATGTGTATTTCTCCAATAAATGTACGTGATGTTGAATGGAATTTAACTGATCTCGATTGTATGGTTGTATAATGTGACATGTGACAAAAAAATTCTCAAATATTACTAACGATAGTTTCGTATTTCAATTTCCTTATTAATTGAATACCATTTTTGCTAATAATAAATTAAGAAATAATCTCTATATTTTTATATATATTTAATACGCATTCATAAAACATTTACTTTAAGAAAATATGTAAATAAGTCAATCAAGTTCTGTTTTATGTGAGTCAAGAGTTGTATGAATTATCTCTTAATTTTATTATTTATATCAATTTTTGAGTGTGTATGGTAACAACCGTCTAAATGAATGAATTATAAACAGATTGTTAAAGAAATCGACATTTATAGAAACGAATATTTCATTTTTAAACTAACATTCCGATTGTACTTAATTTTGTGAAAAATATGGAGTACAACTGATAGTATTTTAATACAATGATCTCAAAATACCATTTTGTGTTCGAGTGATAATTATTTAAAATTATCACAATGAATCGAAAATTACAAATATTGATGATTATGTATATTGATTGAAAACTGTAAATTCAATACATAAAATCATTTTTTAAATTATTATTTAATTCATTTTATACGAAGAATAATTGATATTGAACAATTCATTTTCTTATTCATTTCAGAAGCTTAAGTTCACTTTTGAAATTTAAAAATAAAAATATGCTATAAATTAAAATCCTTTTGATAAAAAATTTGTTAGATAAGATATATTTTTTTTAATTTATCGAATATAAGATTTTTAAAGTGTTCTTTATTTGAACACATTTTCTGAAGTAGGATTATGTTGTAGCAGAGAAGAGAGACCAGTACAGAAGTTCAGTCCTTATGGGAGCTAAGAAATGCAGTCAGCATTTATAAAAATGACCGCAAGATAGCATGCCAACCCGGTATCTCGCCGAATAGTGAGGGTAGAGTGGACGCAGTCCGAGCCCATATTTTTCTCTAATAAAAAAAAAATGGAGCTGAAGTGGAGGGCGGGGAGCGTGACATCCGTCCCCAATAAGATGTCAGTCAAAGGCATTTTTACAATCTTTTAAATTTAAATCTTTAAATGTATAATCTTACTGATTGTTAATCAAATTCTATGATGCCCAGATTTTTTATCTAATGATCATTTTAAAAATAAGCTTTATTCTTTTAATCTTTTAAAATTGGTTTTTTTTATTTTCAATCATTTAATATTTAATCAAATTATAAAAATTTTTCTTTTTTTAATGTTTATCATTTCGTTGAACAGTCAACTTAAGGCTGGGCTGAAGTCAGAAAGGCGACTGATTCCCCCTATCCAAATACATGGGATCGGGAAATTTCTAATTTCTTCGCCAATTTACAATTATTTCTATAAAATTAGGTACCAAATTACAGAGGAATTAATGCCGGACTGACGTAAAGAACAATTTTTTGTATATAGTGAATATTTTTATTAAAAAAATTAGAAAGAATAATGAAAAAATTATGAATTGACTTACCGCGCTTAAATTTCAAGATGGCGGCCACATCATTCAGATGAAAAATCACTAATTATTCTATTTTTATACGTTTTTCGCCCAAAATTCGTGTTTGCGTCAGTCCTTGCCACCTGTCTGAATGTTAAAAAAATCAATTCATAGTATAAAATTGAATAATTTAGAAATAATTAGAAATCTTGTATTCCAGATGACATTCTCCGGAAAATTAGTTTGAAAAAATTCTGATAGGTGACAGCATTATGCTCGCAGACATGAAGACTACAGAACAGGAGTCCAAACTCTGGGGCCTCTCATACACTGACAGAAAAAATGTGATAGCTAGAAAGTATACTAGCGGCAAACACAAAATATACTCAATTTGAGTATAATTATTTTTTGATGCAAGTACATTTTATATCAAAATGAAGTTTAACGTGTACTGTACAATCATAATAACATTAACTTGATTTTAAATTTTTCATCACTCAATCCTAATATAATATTAATTTATACCAAGAATAGCGATTACTGCATTTTTGTAAATATTTTGTTTATCTCAAGTAGGTAGATAATAGAAGAAGATTACAAAGTTTACTTCAGTTGATAATATAGTTTTCTTACACTGAGAATCTTCCTTACTTACCACAAGTGTATTTTATACGGAGATCCCGTATAAAGCGTACTTATGCTAAGTATAATGCTGTTTTACACTTTAAACACCATGTTCTCACATTATGAATCCTTTTTTATTAATAAAAAAATACTTGTTACTTGATTCAAGTATATCAATTCTTCACTGCAAGTATATTATATACTTAAATTAAGTATACGAAGTACTCATGCTAAAATTTTTTTCTTATTAAATTTAAAAATTTCAAAATATAAATAATTATATTAATAATAAAAAAGTTACTGTTATACCCATTGGTATTGGTCAATTTAAATTAGTGACCATTACTAATAAAGTAATTTAATGATTAAATATTCAGTAATTAATAAATAGATGAAAAGTAATCTTATAATAATTACAACAATTACTGTTGTACTTTTAAATACGTGGAGCTGCTACACTTACCAAATATTTATACCTGTATAACTTTTAACAGGTGCAAAATAATAAAAAACTTTGCATGGATGAAATGTTCCATTTTTAATTCTGCACATTTTGAGCCCAAAATCGGGCTGATCGGTGCATTTGAACCAAAATGGGAATGATTTAAATAATTCATTGTTTATAAAAATAATGAAAAAATCAATGAAAAAAAAAAATTTTTCTCTAAAAATGAAATTCAATATCTCCTTTTTCTAAATAAATCGCCAAAAAGTAATATTTCTAACATTTAGTATTTTTTATTAATTTCCTTAGACGCGACTGAAGCTTTTGTCAATAGTGAAGCTTCAGTCGCGAATAACTTTTTATCTATCTTAGATATGTTCAGTGCTTTTTTTTTATTAAAATTACATTCTGAACAACTTTTATTTAAAACATTTTTTCATATCTATCATAGAAATCGAGAAATTCGCGAGGGGGGGCGGTTTTTCGCGATTTACTCCCCCCCCTATGTGTGCCAAACAATTTTAACCTACACCATTGTGTTTCTCGCAAAATTTCCGATCCAGTCATCTATAAATCATTAATTTGGCCGCAGCAAACCAAAATTATCTCATTTCCCTCGTTTGATTGGACTATACAATTATCCTAAGGACACAGAAATACATTTTGCGTTTGTTAATATTCATAGCCTCTCATCCTCAATGAGTCTAAACCTCTTTGACCTTGACTCAAGCCACCCCACAAAATAAAGAAATTCATAAAATTGATAAACGACTTAAAATGATTTTTGTTGTCATGATTACGTGGAGACTAATAATTTGTGGCTTAGCGCTACGTTCGAAGAAATCTTTCGATCGTATTTAACTAAAGCACGTGCAACATCAGGCGTCAAACGCCATATTGTAGACAGTATTTGTTTTTGTAATTCGAACTAAATCACGGTTATTTTTGATCATTAATTATTGTACAATAAATAATGTATTCATCATAATTAAATACATAATATTAAATAATTTATTGCTGAGCGCTGAGTTTGGAGATGAACTTTTAACAGTAAAAGAGTCTGACTGCAGAAGCTCGAGATATTGAAATATGCAACAATAATTGTGTTGTAATTATAAGAAAATTATAATTACCTCTATGGATTTTTTATTGTTCAATTAATAATTTATCTATCATCATCAAAGATATGATATTAGATAGTTTATAGCTAATAGTCCAGTCAAACGAGGGAAATGAGATAATTTTGGTTTGCTGCGGCCAAATTAATGATTTATAGATGACTGGATCGGAAATTTTGCGAGAAACACAATGGTGTAGGTTAAAATTGTTTGGCACACATAGGGGGGGGAGTAAATCGCGAAAAACCGCCCCCCCCTCGCGAATTTCTCGATTTCTATGATAGATATGAAAAAATGTTTTAAATAAAAGTTGTTCAGAATGTAATTTTAATAAAAAAAAGCACTGAACATATCTAAGATAGATAAAAAGTTATTCGCGACTGAAGCTTCACTATTGACAAAAGCTTCAGTCGCGTCTAAGGAAATTAATAAAAAATACTAAATGTTAGAAATATTACTTTTTGGCGATTTATTTAGAAAAAGGAGATATTGAATTTCATTTTTAGAGAAAAATTTTTTTTTTTCATTGATTTTTTCATTATTTTTATAAACAATGAATTATTTAAATCATTCCCATTTTGGTTCAATGCACCGATCAGCCCGATTTTGGGCTCAAAATGTGCAGAATTAAAAATGGAACATTTCATCCATGCAAAGTTTTTTATTATTTTGCACCTGTTAAAAGTTATACAGGTATAAATATTTGGTAAGTGTAGCAGCTCCACGTATTTAAAAGTACAACAGTAATTGTTGTAATTATTATAAGATTACTTTTCATCTATTTATTAATTACTGAATATTTAATCATTAAATTACTTTATTAGTAATGGTCACTAATTTAAATTGACCAATACCAATGGGTATAACAGTAACTTTTTTATTATTAATATAATTATTTATATTTTGAAATTTTTAAATTTAATAAGAAAAAAATTTTAGCATGAGTACTTCGTATACTTAATTTAAGTATATAATATACTTGCAGTGAAGAATTGATATACTTGAATCAAGTAACAAGTATTTTTTTATTAATAAAAAAGGATTCATAATGTGAGAACATGGTGTTTAAAGTGTAAAACAGCATTATACTTAGCATAAGTACGCTTTATACGGGATCTCCGTATAAAATACACTTGTGGTAAGTAAGGAAGATTCTCAGTGTAAGAAAACTATATTATCAACTGAAGTAAACTTTGTAATCTTCTTCTATTATCTACCTACTTGAGATAAACAAAATATTTACAAAAATGCAGTAATCGCTATTCTTGGTATAAATTAATATTATATTAGGATTGAGTGATGAAAAATTTAAAATCAAGTTAATGTTATTATGATTGTACAGTACACGTTAAACTTCATTTTGATATAAAATGTACTTGCATCAAAAAATAATTATACTTAAATTGAGTATATTTTGTGTTTGCCGCTAGT